TGCTGCTGCTACTGCGAGGAGGGTCCTGGGGAGTAAACATAGGGCTTCACAGTGCTGAGTGAGCCCTTGTCCTAACTTTTGAATTTTGAAAGTTCCTCAGGGGCTGGGGATTTAGCTCAGTAGCATAAGCACCTGCCTGGCAAGCGTGAAGTTGTGAGTTCGATCCCGGTACCGCAAAAAAAAAAAAAAAAAAAAAAGTCCTCCAATATAGTTCTTATTTTTGAAGATCGCTTTGGCTATTCTGTATCCCCTGACATTCTGTATGAATTTTATGGAGACGGTTTGTCCATATGTGGGCAAAGGCTCTTGGAATTCTGATAGGCGTGCCATGGAATCTGTCTTCAGTCCACACCCAGTGGGTGTCTTTCCGTCGATTTAAATGTTTTATACTATTTTCAATGTATAAATCCAGCATTTAAAAAAGTTTTTATTGGTATTTCCTGTTGATACTTTAAATGGGATTGTTTTCTTAATTTCATTTTCAAATTCATAGTATACAAAAATAGAAATGAGTTTTGTTTGTATTGCTCTTGTTGCCTGCCACTTTGCTGAACTCATTTGTCAGCTCTAAATACTACTTTGTAGAATTTTATTGGTTTATACCTAAGACATTATATCCGTCTGAAGGTGTCCCAGTTCGCAACCCGATGCTTTTATTATTTTTTTCTTGTCTGCTTTTCCTTGGCTAGAACCCCCAATACTATCATTTCCCTGATCCTTTTAAAAGGGAATGCTTTCAGTTTTTCAGCATCCCCACCTGTTAGCGCTGGGTGTTTCACAGATGTCCTAATATCAAATTGAGAAATTTTCTTTCCATTCCTTGTTTTTTGTTTGTTTTAATGCTTTTATAACTGGACAGTGTTGAGTTTATAATTTCTAAGGCAGTTAAAGGCTTATCGTATTTGGTTACTATTTCTCAGCTGTCACTCCTTTTTTGTCTGAAGTCCAGTGTGGTGAAAACATTATTTTATACTACTATGCCCAACTTCTCAGTCATTTAAGATGGGCAGAGTAAATCTGGACCTTATTACCCATCTTGGCTGGAAGTGGAAGTCAGTTTTTGTTTTGACCATTTCAGTTTCTGATTCTTTTAGAGTATATGAGAAGTGGGTCTAATTTTGTTTTTTTGCATACAGTGATTTCAACTGATTGAAAATTCAAATTAGGGGCTGGAGATTTAGCTCAGCGGCATAAGTGCCTGCCTTGCAAGTGTGTGGTTGTGAGTTCGATTCCTGGTACCGATAAAAAAAAAAAAAGACAAAAAACAAAAAAAAAATTCAAATTAATAGTCACTGGTTATAAAAGTGCCATTTTTCCCCACCATCTTTTTCTTACTAAGTCAATACTTAGTGTTCTATTTTAGATTTTCTATTCTATATATTGTTTATTCTGTTTTAGCTTTAGCTTTTTTTTTTTTTTTTTTTTTTTTGTCTTTTTGAGACAGGGTCTTGCTGTGCAGTTCAGGCTGGCTTTGAGCTCTCTTTGTAGCTCAGGCTGGTCTTAAACTTGCAACAATCCTCCTGCCTCAGCCTCCTGAGTGCTGGGATTACAGGTGTGCACCACCATGCTTATGCATCAAGCTAAAGCTTTTTTTAAAGTAAGTCGCGAGGGCCAGGGATATATAGCCAATAGCAGAGCACCAATCTGGTAAGAGTGAAGTCTCAAGTTCGAGTGTCAGTACCAAAGAAAGAAAAAAAGAAAGGCTAATATTATCCACGTTGTTCTTTTTTAAGATTTTTTAAAAATTTTTTATTTTTTTTTCAAGATTTTTTTTTGCCTATTGTTCTTCCAAATAACAGTTGTTATGATCATAAAATTTAAAAAAAATTTTTCTTTTGAAAGTTAATTTTTTAGCTCCACAATTTCTTATGGTCTAATTATAGAGCCTTAAGATATTTTAAGTAAGGATCAAATTTGATAACCTTTACAGAGAATATAAGTGGAGAATTCAGACATAATTATATACTTCAAATTGCTGTTGGCTCCACTAAGCACAGTTTTTTTTTGTTTTGTTTTTTTTAATCAGCATCAGGGATCGAACTTACGGCCACGCGCTTACAAGGCAGGCGCTTATGCCATTGAGTTAAATTTCCAGCCCCACTAAGCACAGTTTTAAGAGATATTTCAAACAAATAAAAAGATCTGGGGGCCAGGTGTGGTGGCACACACCTATAATTCTACCACTTGAGAGGCTGAGGCAAGAGGATCACCATGAGTTTGAGACCGGAGTTCAGTCAAAGCCAGCCTGTACTACATAGTGAGACCTTGCCTTAAAACAAACAAACAACTACAAAAATCCTGCCACATGCCTGTAATCCCAGCACTAGGAAGGCTGAGGCAGGAGGATTGCTTTGAGTTCAAGGCCAGCCTGAGCTGCAAAGTGAATTCAAAGCCAATGTGAATTGCATCCTGTTTCAAGAATACCAAAAAAACAAAACAAAGAAACACCACAAATTATTTAATTCTGGAATTTTTTTATTTAGTGTTTTTGAACCACAGATAATTAGAAACTACAGAAAACAAGACTGCACGTTAGGGGGAGCTACTATACATGTAATTGAACATTAATAAGTAACTCAGCAAATACATAAAATACCTAGGTGGGTTTTCATTGAGGTTCCAAAATATTCACTATCTTCCCTCCCTCCCTCTCTCTCTTCTTTCCCCTTCCTTCCCTTTCCTCTCCTCCCTCCTCTATTAACTACTTTCTCCCTTCTCTCCCTAAAAGTATTTTAGGTTTGTAATGTATTTGGCATAATAAAATGATGTTTGTTTATTTATTTATTTTTGTGTGTGTGGTACCAGGGATTGAACTTACCACCTTGTGCTTGCCAGGCAGGCACTTACGCCGCTGCGCTAAATCACCTGGCCCGATGTTTATTTTCTTTTCTTTCTTTTTTTTTTTTTTTTCTTTGTCTTTTTCGTTTTTATCGGTACCAGGGATCAAACTCACGACCGCACACTTGCAAGGCAGGCACTTTTGCCGCTGAGCTAAATCCCCAGCCCTCCAATGTTTATTTTCAATATATTGCTTTAGTTTTAGAAATGCTATATTCCTGCCAATAAGCTTATTTAGAGGCCTATCTATAGTACCAGTCTTTGATAGCAGAAACCAGACCTGCTCCTTTCACATTTCCTTTTATCATATTCTGAGAAAGGTTGTAGAATTCTTTATAAGGATAGATGCAAATGTAAGGTATCATTTATTAGGTCTGTTTTCTGTTGTTTTTCTTTTATAAAATAATACCTGGGTGTGATGGTACACATCTGTAACCCCAGCACCTAGCGCAGCTGAGGCAGGAGGATCACTCTGAGTACAGGGCCAGCCTGAGCTACCTGGCAAGAGTCTGTCTCAAATTAAATAAATGAAAATTTTTAAAAATTATAAAATGAGCTGAGTGTGGTGGTACATGTCTGTAATCCCAGCACTTGAGAGGTTGAGTCAGGAGGATCACTGTGAGTTTCAACTGTGATGCTGACCTTGACTATGCAGTGAGTTCAAGGCCAGTCTGAACTACACAGCAAGACTCGATCTAAAAAAATTTTTTTCAATTAAAAAATTATATATACATATCACATGATATCTTGGGAATGCCCTTTTTCATCATCATTCAGAGTTACAAATGTTACAAGTAAATTGTAACAGATAATGTTGTAGGTAGGAGAATAAAATGACATAGATTTTACTCTCAAGGGTTTTTTCTTCCTAGTTAAGAAATACATTGAAAAATTGAAAAAACAGTAGCACTGCCAAACAAGTAGGAAGTCACACCTATAAAACTTTTTAAGATCACTGTGCCAGGTTGACTGTGAGCTAAGATTTTACAGTAAAAGTAAAATTTGCATGAGTAGAAAGGAAGACAGCTTGGAGAGAAGATGTAAAATGAAACAGAGGGCTGGAGACAGAAGTCACATTTCGAGGTCTTGTTGTTTTTGTTTTGTTGGTATTTTATGTGTGTCTATGTGTTTGTGTGCTGAGGTTTGAACTTAGGGCCTTGTGCATGCTAACGCTCACTGGGTTTTAAGTCAGTGATGTGACCAGCTTGACCTAAAGCAATCGTGGTGAACCTGTGGCACTCAGGCTGCAGCCACCTGTTATCCGTGAACCCTTTAACAGGTTCGCCGTCACTGACTCGGGGTTTTGTTAGAAGAGCATTGGTAGACATAGCAGAAGGTACTTCCAAGAGCTGACGTTTAAGAGATTTCTCTGTGCCAGTCATTGTACTGGTCAACTTACATATTTTACTACCATTAATCTTTACAAGATAAGACAGATAATTCATTACTATTTTGAAAATCTAAAGAAATTACACTACCTGTTTATGGTCTCATTCTCAGTGAAGGGGTGTCAAAGCCTAATTTAAACCACTTGACTTAAATGTTTGTATTTAAATTGCATATAAAACTGCTAACATAGTTAGGTTGTAGAAAGTGTCTCACATGCCAAGGTGAGTAGATTTTATCGTTGCCTGATGTACGCAGTAATCATCTAATGACCGTTTACTAACAAATTATCTGGATTTAGCTCAGTGACATAAGCACCTGCCTCGCAAGCAGGCAGTCGTAAGTTCGATCCCTGGTACTGATAAAAACGAAAAAGACAAACAAAACAAATTATCCAGTAGGCCTCCTGAAATTAATCTGTGTAAAGTAGTTGGAAATTTTGGGGCCACTCAAAATATTGTCCTTTTTTTTCCTTTTTATCAGTACTGGGGATTGAACTCCCGACTGCCTGCTTGCAAGGCAGGCGCTTATGCCGCTGAGCTAAATCCCCAGCCCCCAATATAGTCCTTTTTTTTCAAATGCATTTTATTTCAAGGAGAAAAAAGGAATAAGAAGAAAGGAAACTAAAAATTCCAAAACATCAATTGAGGGCAACAATGGTACATTGCATACTGTAAAATATAGTCTTAAAAATATTGTAGATACTAGGATTTCAGCGTTAAAAGCAAAGGCAAGTTTTCAAAAGACCAGAATAGATGACTTTCCTTTTCTGTCAGGCAACACTGGACTATGGAATGTATTCTCGAGAAGAAGAACTATTAAGAGAAAGAAAACGCATTGGAACAGTTGGAATTGCTTCTTATGATTATCACCAAGGAAGTGGAACGTTTCTGTTTCAGGCTGGTAGTGGAATTTATCACGTAAAAGATGGAGGGCCACAAGGGTTTACGGTAAGTTGGAATTACTGTTTGTTACATATGTTTTGAGGTCCTCAAGATTATTTGCACCTGAATCAGAAAGATACCTAGCAAAAAGAATCCACAGTATAACCACTGTCTCAGTTAATTTTCTCATTGCTAAGCAGAGTACCTGACATTCCAAGTTAAAGCACAAAAGGCATAAGCTCACAGTTTGTCAAGGTTTCAGTCCACAGTTGGCTGGTTCCAAGGCAGGGTGGCTTGGCAGAGGAACATGGCAGAGCAGGCAGAGGCAGCAGCAAGTAACCACAGCAGCCCTCTTTCTGTGCCTTGTATTCCACTCAGGCCACTTTTTGGGTAGCACTCACACCCAGAGTGAGGCACCCTTAATCCCAGCATCACACCATTAATCGCAGCATCATTCACCCTATGTCTAGCCACCTCCAAAAAATTCCCACTGTGACCACATGAGGCTTCGCAGGGTACATCTAGATACAAGCCATAACAACTTGCCAACTAAGAAATTTAATGACAGCTAAGCTTGTGGTGCATGCATGCCTATAATCCTAGCTACTTAACAGGCTGAGGCAGAACTTTTGCATGTTCAAGATCAGCCTAGGCAGTTTAGCAAGATCTTGTCTCAAAATAAAAAAATGAGTAGACTGGGCTCCATGCTTCCTGGGCTTAACTCCCAGCACACAAAACTGGGAGGAAGAAAAAGGAAGGAAAGAAAGTAATGTATTTCTAGTGAAAACATGAAATATTAATTATTAATATTAAATAGTAATTTCCTTTTTTTTTTTTTTTTTTTTTTTTTGGTACCAAGGGTCAAACACCACCTTGTACCTGCCAGGCAGGTGCTTGTGTTGCTGAGCAAAACCCCAGCCCTTAATTCCCAATTTTCAGAGTTAATAATTTTCTAGTGTCATTAAGATTAAAAAAAAATTTTTTTTTTCCTGGCAGGATCAACCAGGTAAAGATAAAAATTTGAAGTGCTCAAAACTTTTGCTATATAGAATGATACAGTAAAAGGGACCAATTTCTATTTTCTATTTAAGCTCCGAGGGAGATGCCATATTATATAAAGGCAATATAATAAAAAACAACATGACTTTCTCATACAACTACACAAATATTGTTGCTCCAACCTGTTTGGAGTAGTTACTATTTGTTAAATGTTTTTATTAAATAGTTCCTTGTTGAATATTTATGAAATAATTAACAATTAAGGATGTAATCACAGGGCATTTTTGTTTTTGCTTGTCTTGAAAGCTAATTCATCTCAAAAATTTTTATGGTTTTATTTTATTTTTAGCATTTTTTTTTTCCAATGCTGGGGATGATGAACAGTTGGGTGGCTGGTTTGTTTAGACAAGGTCTCACTATGTAGTTCAAGCTCAGGCTGTCCTAGAATTCACGCCATTCCTCCTGCCTCAGCCTCCTAAGTGCTGGGATTACAGATGTGCACCACTGCACCCCAGAGTGTGAGGATTGAGCTCAAGGCTGTTGTACTGAGTTATATCCCTATCTCTTTTCTATTTTGAGACAGGTTTTCACCAAATTGCTAAATTGCCTGAGTTAGACTCAAATTTGTAATCCTCTTGCCTCAGCCTCCCAGAATGTTGTGATTACAGGCATGTGCTACCATGACTGACTACTTACTTAACAGTTCTTTACAGAGATATTCTTTTGATAGAATTGTGATGATCCTGGTTTTTGTTACATTTTTATGAGCAGGCTATTTTTATTGGTAAAAATCTTATTAAATTGTTTCATAAATATTCAACAAGAAAATATTTAATAAAAAAATTTAACAAATAATAATTGCCCTATCAAACAGGTTGGAGCAACAAAATTTGTGTAGTTGTATGGGAATGTCATATTGTCTTTTATATTGCCTTTATCTAATATAGCATCTTCTATTAGTCTTAGCCTTTTTGTTCATAATAAAAAATGAGTCCTTCTTTATAAGTTAAAGCAGTTGAAAGTATGTTTCTCTGAGGGCAGTTTTTATAGTTGACATTTTATCTAGAAATACTCATTGTACAGAAGGGATGCTGGCAGACACGTGTATATGTCAGCCTGATACCTACTTTAAAATGCTGTTTACCTTTCTAGCAACAGCCTTTGCAGCCCAATTTAGTGGAAACTAGTTGTCCCAACATCCGAATGGATCCAAAATTATGCCCTGCTGATCCAGACTGGATTGCTTTTATACACAGCAATGATATCTGGGTATCCAACATCATAACCAGAGAAGAAAGGAGGCTCACCTATGTACACCATGGTAAGGCATGGTTTTCTAAGAAGTCTTTTTGAAGTTTAATTTGCTTTGCTTTCATTTTTTTGAAACTGAAGCAACCTGAGTAATCTTTATATTTTAAATTCAAGTCTTATTTTAATTTCGGTGCTGGAGATTGAACTCATGACCTTGCACTTGCCAGGCAGTTGCTTATGCCACTGAACTAAATCCCCAGCCCTAGTCTTTAAAAAGTTAAAAATATACAGAAAAGTACTGGGATAAGTGGTCTTTGCCAGTATGATGCTGTCTTGTTTAAAATTTATTTTCAAGCTAGATGTGGTAGTGGCACATGTTTATAATCCTAGCACTTGGGAGGCTGAGGCAGGAGGATTGCTGTGAGTTCAAGGCCAGTTTGGACTAATTTGTGAGACCCTGTTTTAAAAGACAAAAACAACAAACAAAAAAAACATTAAATGAATTTATTTTCAAGCAGCACCACGACATGGTGTACCTGACATGATTGTTCTTTTAGACTAATAAGACTGACAGAATTTCCCAAAATCATACCTACTAAAACATTTTGCTATGGACTGGGGATTTAGCTCAGTGGCATAAGTGCCTGCCTTGCAAGTGCGTGGTCGTGAGTTCGATCTCTGGTACCGGTAAAAAAAATAAAATAAAATAACATTTTGCTGTGCTCTGTGCCTGGGCACACACTTGTAGTCATAACACTTAGCAGACTAAGGTGGGAGACTCACTGGAGCCAGGAATTCAAGTCTACCTTGGGCAGCATAATAAGATCTCATCTCAAAAAGAAGGAAAAATTAAACAGAAAAACTATCTGAAAATTAGTATTTCTGATTTGAACAGTCTACTAGTATTGCTGTCATAATGAGGAAAGCAGAACTTTGTGGGACCATGTGGATTATGGAATCTTTAATTAAATTTTACTGAAATGGTTACAGTAATGCACTCAGAACACAGATGTAAATATTATCCTCTAAAGATTTCATACAAATGAAAGATGAGAAATAGTATATTGATTTTTCTTTGAACGTGTAAAATAGAGGTTAAAACTCCATAAGGAAGGATGGTAACTCTGAAATTTTATTTGTCCTTTTTTTTTTTTTTGGTTTAACTTTTGTTTAATCTGATATTCCCTTTCCCATTCTGGGAATTGAATTCACGGCCTTCCCGCTAAGCTACAAAACTAGTGCTTGCTTTGCTGTTTGGTTTTGTTTTGTTGGAACTGGGAATCGAACTTGGGACCTCACACTTAACAGGCAGGTATTATGCCACTGAGCTGTGCCCTTGTCTCCTTTTTCTTCTTTTTAATTTGAGATACAGGATCACTAAATTGATAAGTTGGCAAAGCTGAGCTCAAACCTGGAATCTTCCTTGTCTCAGCTTCCTGAGTAGTGGAATTACAGGAGTGCACCACCACACCAGACATGGTCATCTTTCTTAATCATCCCCCTCTCCATCATTAATCATTAAATTATGTTCTTTGACAGAGATTATAATAGATTTGGGGTAAGAAAAAATGATAGATTCTATCCTCATTTTTTCTTTGGTTAAAGAAAAAAGTGAAAATAGTTGTATAGGGCTGAGGATTTAGCTCGGCGGCATGAGTGCCTGCCTGGCAAGCACAAGGTCGTGAGTTCAATCCCCAGTATCACAAAAAAAAAAAAAAAAAAAAAAAAAAGAAAATAGTTCTATAGCAAAATAAAGAAATAGTTAGCTCTACACAAGTCTTAACAAGATCATTGTGTGCCACAGTAGGTCAGGAAATTTGCTGGTCAACATTGAACATGCTAAGTTACTTTAGTACACAGTAATGTAACTAACAGCAAATACTTTTTTACCATGAGGTTATGAGTGTTTTGAGGCATTTGTTTGAATAATTTTCATTACTAGAAAAAGTGTTGAATTAAGAGTGAAGAAATGAGGGGCTGGGGATTTAGCTCAGCGGCATAAGCACGCACCTGCCTTGCAAGTGTGTGATCGTGAGTTCGTTTCCTGGTACCAATAAAAACAAAAAGACCAAAAAAAAAAAAAAAAAGAAAGAAAACACTAGACTCCTTCAAGATGTTATACTTGTGGTTTTCTCTTTGCTGTGGATCTAGGTATGTGACATATTGACAGTAATTTGGTAATTAAGAGTGCAGATAGAGAATACAGTATAGATTCATAGCTTCTGGTTTAAGTCTCAAATTGTTAATTCTGTGGTCTCATCAAGTTATTTAACTTATCTGTACTTCTGTAAAAACATTAATTGCATATTAACTATAAAATTGCTAGGAGGCTTCAGTGAGTTAGTATTTGTGTAATGTTTAGAACTTTATAAGCCATCATCCTCCCAGTCTGTTTATTCATGGTAGGCTCTACATCACAATGCGTTTAGAAAGTGAGATTGGCCAGTTGGCATGCACATGTGTTTATTTCCTAACAGGATAGGGAAATTAAAAAGTAACAAAGTTCTGATTTCTAGTTTCTGCTCCTAAATAGTTTCTCTTATGGGAGAACAACTTGATGGCATTTGTTCAATTAATAAATAATTTTTAGGGGAGTAGTGAGGGGCTGTATTGGGGTTGTACTGGGCCTTCACACTGAGCTAGGTCCCAACTCTTTTTTTTTTTTTTTTTTGAGACAGGGTTTTGCTAAATGCCTAGGCTGTGCTCCAATTTGCAGTCCTTCCTCCCAGAATGTCAGAATTGCAGACATGCACCACCACACACAGCTCAACAAATAACTCTTAATAATTGAGATCGGTAGTGATAGGAAGATACCTATAAATAGTACTTGTCCTCATATTTAAAGGAGACCAAAATGTAAAATAGAATTGGGGGGCTGAGGTTTTAGCTCAGCGGCTAAGTGCCTACCTTGCAAGTGTGAGGTCGTGAGTTCGACCCTTGGTACCAAAAAAAAAAAAAATAGAATTGGGGTATAATTGTGAGGTGATTGAAAGACCCAAACACATGGTGAAAGTGAAACACATGGTCTTTGCTCTGTTATTAATTCCAAAATTCAAAGAAGTCTGAAAACATAAATTTTTGTTAGCTTGGTGCTAAAACTCATTTGGTAGGAAAAGCCTGACCCTAACTGACCTAAGGTTATCTATAATCAATACTACTCAACTTGCCTGTTCGTAAGTTTGCTGCAGTAATATTGGGGTATTTGATTACAACTTACTTGGTTACTCTGCTGGAGATGTTGTATAATATATAGATGCACAATATATGGAAAACACCTAAAATTATGAGCTCCACATACTTCTAAACTCAAAAAATTTTTCAGTTCGGGAGAAGGTTCATACTATGCATTCATGTCAGACAATATGGAAAATACATATAAGTAAACATAATAAAGTCTTGCTTAAGCCTGGTGTGGCAATACTTAGCTATAGTCCTAGTAGTTGAGAGACCGAAGCAGTAGGATCACTAGAGCATGGCTTGGGTAACATATAGCAAAACACTGCACTCCTCACCCCCCCAAAAAAAAGTTGCCTAGCAAATTAAAATCATAATTGAACATGGTAGAACATACCTGTGATCCCATCACTATATAAGGCTGAGGCAGGAAGATTCAAGTTTCAACCCAGCTCATGCAATTTAGCAACTGAGTGAGACCTTGTCTCAAAATAAAAAATAGTAAAAGGACTGGAGATGTAGCTTAGTGCAAAGGCCCAAGTTCAGTCCCCAGCACCATTCAGTTAACATATAATAAAAAAATCAAAGAATCAGTGAAATATTACTACATATCACTAGATTATTATACCAGCTGTTAGAGGGGAACTTCTATATATTGATGTGGTAAAAACATAAAATAATACAAATATTTTGGAGAATTGTTTGACAGTTTCTTATAAAATTAAACATACATATATTTTACTATCCATTCCCAGGTATTTACTTGAAAACACATTTCCACAAAAGGTTTTATGCAAGAACGTTCATAGCACTTTTTTTTTTGTCTTTTTCCTTTTTATCGGTACCGGGGATCGAACTCATGACTGCCTGCTTGCAAGGCAGGCACTTATGCCGCTGAGCTAAATCCCCAGCCCCGTTCATAGCACATTTATTCATAACAGGCAAATGCCAGAAGCAGCCTTTCAAATGTCCATTGACAGAGGAGAGGATGAAAGAATTGTGGTATAAATAGAATGCAGTTCAGCAATGAACTACTGACACATGAATAAGAAAGTGTCTTCCCCACCAGTGTCTTCCTCTCTTCTCTACGTAAGAAAGGTTCATGTCACCATGACCTTTTACGTGTATTGTTTTCCACTTAGTGGAAAACGTAGTCATTTTTATGAAGCATGACTAGGCTCTCAGTTCTTCCTGTGAATTAACTAATGCAACCCTCATAACGCGCCACCAAACAGGCGGATTTTTCTCCAGTTAACAAACAGTTCACAGTTACCTCCTAGCAAGATCGGTGATTCACCCAAGCCCAGGCAGTAGGCAGATGCTTGAGTCCAGATTTGAGCTCAGTTATTGGGCTCCAGGATTCACCATTCAGTTCAGACACCTTTCAGAATAACTGAATCATTTTGCTGTATTTTTATGAAAGGAGAGCTTTTGTGATAATTGTCCCCTGTATGTTTGTCTAGAGCTTGCTTACATGGAAGAAGATCCCAGGTCTGCTGGAGTTGCTACCTTTGTGCTTCAAGAAGAATTCGACAGATACTCTGGCTATTGGTGGTGTCCAGAAGCTGAAACAAGTAAGAAGCACGATACCTTACATGTTGATTGAAGTGTTAAACATTCTGAAGCTTGAATAGTAGATTCTCAAATTTTGACAGTTGGATCTAAGTAATTATTTACAATATATAGACTGTATCTCACCATAATGAATTGCAGTAAAAACAATTATGCTGTAGTTCAGAGCCTCAGAACCTATTCTTTTTGTCAATTTTTCATTTAAAAGCTGGTTTTGGTAATTTTGGCAACATTATGGTAAAATATACTACACTTTCTTTGAGAGCATATGATTGACTACAGAGTCTAGTGTATGAGTAGATAGGGAAAGAAGGAAAAAAACTTCCTTTTGGGGGGAAGCTGAATTAAAAAGTAATTCTCTGAGTTCTGTGTGATGGTACATACTTGTAATCCAGCATTCTGGGAAGACTGAGGCAGGAAGATCACAAATTCAAACCCAGCTCTGTCAGTTTACCAACTGAGCAAGACCTTGTCTCAAAATAAAAACTCAGAAGGTCTTGGGTTCAATCTCCAGTGTCACCAAAAAAAAAAAAAGTAGTTTGTTGCTTGAGAAATTGCTCTCTAAGGCGGTGGGTTGCAATTCTTTTTTTTTTTTTTTTTTTTTTTTTTTTTGGTACCAGGGATTGAACTCATGACCTTGTGCTTGTCACGCAGGCTCTTGTGCCACTGAGCTAAATCCCTGGCCCTGTTTGTTATATTTTAGCCGTGTTTTGCTTTTGTTTTTGGTACCAGAGATCAAACTCACAACCTTGTGCTTGCCAGGCAGGAGCTTATGCCACTGAACTATATCCGGTGCTTGTTAGTAGTTGTGATCCACTAATAGATTTTATGATCTGCTAACAGTTTTTTGTTTTGTTTTGCTTTTTGTTTTTTTATTTTTTTCAACTAACAATTTTAAAGGTAGCAGTCTAAAATTTCTCTAAGGGACTATAAAAAAATTTATTTTTAAGCTATACCTTAGATTTATATTTTTTATTTCAAGATGAAAGTGTTTTGCTATAATTAAATTTGTTAGAAGAAGATCTTGACATAGAGAAACCATCCAAAATAACTAGACACAACTTAAGTACCATTTTATAGGATTTTTTTTGAGACAAGATCTCACTCTAGTCCAGGCCGACCTTGAACTCATTGTGTAGCCCAGGCTATCCTTAAAATCACAGCTATCATCTTGCCTCAGCCTCCCAAGTGCTGGGGTTATAGAGATTGATGTACCACCATGCCAGGCAATACTCTAAATTTAATTAAATCCTTTTTCAACAAAGAATGCATTTTAAGGCATGCCAGGACAAAGTTCTTCCAAAATATTTTTTCCTCTGTTTTAAAGGTATGTGTACATACTCTGCTTTTCCCCTTAAAAAGAACAACCTTTAACTGGTTAAAGTGACTTAACAGTAACTTATCTTGCTACCACAAAGACTGGTGATATTTTCATACCTACAAGACAGCGTGGACTCAGTGGTGGTCTGTGATGGAGCCATGAGTTTGATTCTCAACACTGCATAGTATATCAATAAATGGCAGCCTGTTTATATATAAATTACTTTTCACTATGAGAAATCTAATACTAGCGGAAACGTCAGTGATGATTATTCTCTGGAATAATTCTTTTCACTTTTCAATATCTAAATTCTTTTTAAGCTCCTAATGGTGGTAAAATTCTTAGAATTTTATATGAAGAAAATGATGAATCTGAAGTGGAAATTATTCATGTAACGTCCCCTATGTTGGAAACGAGGAGGGCGGATTCATTCCGTTACCCAAAAACAGGTATTGTACTCCATTGGGCATTTACAGTCATTCATTTCCTTCTAAATAAGATGATTTCTGCAAAGGTCTAGTCCACATTGATCATTTACAGCCTTAGTAAGGGTGGCTTATTGATTAAATCTCACTAAGATTTTAAATTGAATGATCCTGTTAAATTATAGTCAGAAGTGCATATGCCCACAAAACCGATTACTTCAACAAATGAATAAGTGTCCTCCCCACCAAATAAAGATTTTTCAGTGATTCTGTTAGAGTAAATTAGTTGTTTTTCTGTTTGGTTATTTGTGGCATATCAACTATAAAAATGGTACAGAATTTCCCTTTATTTCAAACTGATCCTTTGTGTCTTTAGCCTCTTTTGTTTGAAAAAAATACTTACATTAAAAAGTATGAATTTGGGGCTGGGAATTTAGCTCAGCGGCAGAAGCACCTTGCCTTGCAAATGTGTGGTCGTGAGTTTGATCCCCAGTACTGATAAAAAGAAAAAGACCAAAAAAAAAAAGTATGGGTTCAAGATGCAGCTCAGATTCTTATATAATAAAGCTCTGGCTATATGCAGTATTATGGACTTCAATATAAAGGGGATTGATGTGACAAAATTAGTTTGAGTGGTTTTGAATATGCATTACGATTGATTTACATCTTTTTCTAAAGGGACAGCAAATCCAAAAGTCACTTTTAAGATGTCGGAAATAATGATCGATGCTGAAGGAAGGGTAAGTGTAGAGTGCAGAGCTGATTTTCTGTGTCTCTGGAGTAGTGTAGTAAGTCTAGGAGGGATACATGATATGATTTAGTTTTTGGATTCATTGAATTTGCTCAGTTATCTGTGGATCATGTTCTGTTTTGTTTTGTGTTTTTTAAGACAAGATCTCACTGTGTGGATCAGGCCCACCATGAACTCACTATGTAGCCGAGGCTGGCTTTGTACTCAAGGTGATCCTCCTGCCTCAGTCTCTTTGAGTGCTGGGACTACACACGTGCCACCACACCCAAGCTATGATTTTTGTACTGACTTAGTTTTCTGATTTCAAAACTTTCTGATAGTTCCCAAGATAAGAGTGAGGCAGGTAGGCATTTTTACCACTCCTTTTCCAACAGTTTTTCTTTATTACTTCTATTTTTTATTTTTTTAGTCAGTATATGAAAAAAGAAAGGGTGATTATTGAGTTGTGGCTCACCCTCCGTCCTGGGTAGTTGTCTGCGATACCCCGTTCCTCTTGTACTGCGCTCTCCATCTAGATGTCAGAGCCTCCTAAGCATGCTCGACAAAATGAGTTAAAAAGCAAGAGGTGTGTGTGTGTGTGTCTGTCTGTCTGTCTGTCTGTCTGGAGACTGGACCTGCCCTTTGCACTGAGCTACATCCCCAGTTCTTTTTACTTTGTTCATTTTGAGAGACAGTCTCAGCTAGGGGCTCAGTTGCCCAGGTGGGGCTCGAGTGTGCTGTCCTGCTGGAGCCTTCCAGAGTGCTGGGATTACAGGTGCTTGCCACCACGCCCAGCCTTACTAGGAGTTTTAAATCTAACTTTACTGAGATACAATTTACAGAGTATAGTTCACTTATTTAAGGTTTAAAATTCCCTGGCTTTTAGTACATTGACAGAATTGAGAAACTGCAGTCAATTTTTACATTGGTGTCACTTCAGAAAGAAACTATACCCCCCAACCATCATCCGCTCAGCTCCCCACACCCCTCAGCTCACGGCAAGCCCCAGTCTACTGCTGTGTGCTGTGTGAACCTCTCTGCTCTATTTGAATCATGTGTCTGTCTTGTCTTTCCCTGCCTCTGTGTTGCCGCCTCACACACACACCCGCCCCGCCTCATATGCACTGCGTGTTTGGCACTGTGAGTTGAACCCAAGTCCTCCCGCACTCATTTTATTGTTGAGCTACATCCATAGCCCGAGTGCTTCATTTATTTCTATTTCTAAATAAATTTCATGCTATGAAATAATACTTTTTATTTATGCCCTTATCAGTTGGTAGATTTTTTTGGTTGTTTCCCCTTCCTTGCTGTTAGGAATAAAACTGCTTGAATATGTATATCTGGTAGAAGCTTTTCTGTGACCCATATTTTCATTTTTATAGGTAACATACTAGAAATAGAATTGATGAGTCTTATGATAGCTTTATGTTTAATCTTTTCTGAAACTGCCAAATTGTTTCCCAAAGTAACCCTAAATTGCTAATTTCTCTATATCATCACCAACGCTAATGATTGTCCATCTTATTTATTATAACTATTCTGGTGGTTTGAAGTGCTATCTCATTGTAGTTTTGATTTACATTTCCTTTAATGGCTAATGATGCTGAGCGTTTTTTCCTATGTTTGCTAGACACTTAAATACCTTCTTTAGGAGACTATTCAAATCCTTTCATTTAAAAAAAAATACTTATTTTTAAAATGATACTTGCTAGACCTTTAAAGGAAAAAAGATTTTGCTTACCCTGGGTCATTTCATTTGTACATTGCACTAATACAGGCTAAAGTATAGAGGATAAAGACTTCCTTTTTTAGTTACTAGATCCTAAAATGATGAAATCTTGATTATATCAGTTATTGTCATCGATTGTTAATATAAACTCAATGGAAAAGATTGTGCTTATTCTTGGGGTTTGAAGTTTGTTTTGTTTTGTTCTGTTTTTAGGAATAAAAAGCCCTAGTATATGTAGCCCTTGATTTACTTTTGGTTTTTTCCTTTTTAGATATCTACTGTTACAGATAATGACTTAAGTAGTCTAGTGAGAAAATTACTTTTCTGACTCTATAATGAAATTCCTTTTTTCCTTTTTAATAGATTATAGATGTCATAGACAAAGAACTAATTCAGCCTTTTGAGATTCTCTTTGAAGGAGTTGAATATATTGCCAGAGCTGGATGGACTCCAGAGGGAAAATAGTGCGTATGTTAAATTGCAACTTCTTTACAAACAGTTTAGGTGTGCCTCAGGGTGGAGCCAGGAATATGAACTTACAGTATTTTAAAAAAAAAGTTTTACAGTATTTAAAAAAAAAGTTTCAAAGGCCAACCATGATTTGGGAGTGTTAAAACCAGTTTTTAACCTTAATTCAAGCTGAGTGCAGTACTGTGTGCCTGTTAATACCAGCTACTCTGGAAGCTAAGGCATAAGGACCATAAGTTTAAAGCCAGCTTGGGCATCTTAGAGGAGATCTGTGTCAAAGTGAAAAAGGGCTCAAGATCTAACTCAGCCCTTTTGGAGATCAGCATCCCTAGGTTTGATCCCTATTACTACAAAACAAGCAAAAAGTCTGTGCAACACCCACTCCCCAAGGCCTCATGCATGGCAGGCAGCGCTCCATCCTTTCCCCTCAGGCTTCACTCTCACACACACACACACACACACACACACACACGACCTTTGAACTGAGCCAGTTTTTAAATTCCTCCTAAAATGTTTTGTTTTGAAACAAAGTCTCCCTAAATTGTCCAGGCTGGGCTCTAACTTGCAATTGTTCTGCCTCAGCCTCCCAAAGTGCTGGGATTACAGGCCCATGCCACCATGGCCAGCTTCATACTTAACTTTTTGAAGTGAATATATTTAATTAGTTATTTATATGTAATAATTTAGTATAAAGCAAATTTATTGTAATTATAGAAAAATTAGTAAGGATCAAGGAAGAGAATAGGAAATTACTTGTTTTTCTGAGAGCTTTCTTTATTTCTGGTGCTTTTCTTTATTTGTTTAAATAGTGCCTGGTCCATCCTACTAGATCGTTCCCAAACTCGCCTACAAATAGTGTTGATCTCGCCTGAATTATTCATCCCAGTAGAGGATGATGCCATGGAGAGACAGAGACTCATCGAGTCAGTGCCTGACTCTGTGACGCCACTCATTATCTATGAGGAGACCACAGACATCTGGATAAATGTATGGATTTTCTCCTGTACTTGGCTTAAGTTCTTTTCCAGGATGCTAAAAGCAAATGAAATTTTATAGCAAACTATCAAAATCCATTTTTTTTTAGTTCAGAGGAACCATGAATGTTATTTTCTTAGTTTGCACATTTTAAATAGGAGCAGTGGTTCCAGAATGGAACAGTTAGTGGATTGGAAAGTAGATGCTGTAGAAATGACCAGGCGCTGGTTCACACTTGGTCCTCCACACACCAGCTACAGCATTGCCCTGCTCTGAGAGGCCATGAAGAGCTGAGCCTAGATGAGACTCTGTCTTTTAAGTGTACTACTTTTTAATTTAATTTAAAATTTCCCATTGTAGCACAGAAGCTTAAACAAGACACAAAATAAACCCAGCTCACTCGCTGGTTGACTATGAGCTTCATTTGCTTCACCTAACATCTGTTTCCCCTCAACTGTTAGAATATTTTTCTTTGGAAAACAAAAGTAAAAAATATTGTTCCTGAACATTCCTGTAGTAGAAGTTATATCATTAAACCATGTACCATGTTTTAAAGATTACAGAGAGATGCTGAGTAGGAGAAAGCATGTGGTCATTTTCCTTTCCACTTGGAAACTCTTTGACTAAAATAAAATAAATATGAAAGGCCCAGGCAAGAGCTAACATGTTAAATATACCGTATTCCTAACACTGACGGCTGTTTATGTTTCAAACTCTATTAAGTAATTCTCCCTTCTCTGTCTTAATTGCATTATCTGTGTGGTGTTTTCATCACTGTGTATAGTAAGTGAAGCTATTCATTTTGCAGATCCATGACATCTTTCATGTTTTTCCCCAAACTCGTGAAGATGAAATTGAATTTATTTTTGCCTCTGAATGCAAAACAGGTTTCCGTCATTTATATAAAATCACATCCATCTTAAAGGAGAGCAAATATAAACGATCCAGTGGTGGGCTGCCTGCCCCAAGTAAGTTCTTTTTATTTAAAAAAAGAAAGAAAAATGTGGAGTACTCTAGGTGGGAGGGACAGGAGAATATAATGTCTGTTTTGTATTTTTATAAGCATTAGTATTTGTTTTGTTTAATTTGAATTAATATATAAATTTCATATATAGATTCATTATATTGCATGTAAATATTTGCATGTGTGAAAACTATAAAGTTCTTGTTGGATATATAATTAACTATAAATAGTGAGTAATCTCTGGGAAGTAGAAAAGCTTATTTATACTGCATACATTCCCTTCACTGCAGCGAACCAATATTATTGTTACATTTTAAAAAACTACTTTGAAAAATAAAGAAAGCAGCCAGGTGTAGTGTAATCTCAGGACCCTGGGAGGCTAAGGCAAGAGGATTTAAATCCAAGCTCAGCCTGGGTCACCCGATTTAGCAGGACACTGTGTCAAAATAAAAATGGCTGGGCATGTAGAGTTCAGTGGAAAGGCCCTGAGTTTATAACTCATTGTCATTCACACACACACACACCCACAGTGTATGAAAGAGAAAACTAAAAGAAGAAAGTGCCAAAGGAGGCTGGGACAAGGCTCAGGATGGGTGCTTGCCTGGTGTATGTGAGGCCCTGGATTCAATCCCAGTGCTACACAAGCAATCAATAAAAACGTAAAATATTGTGTACTTTTTATATACACTAGATGTTTCAGTATTGTCTTCATCTATAGTGAACTTAATTTGTAGTTATAGCTTTTCAGACTGACAGAATTGTATTACCAAAAGTTAAATATTATGTCATCTGACATTATTTCCATTTAAAAATTGATGGTTAGCCAGACTGGGCTACATAGTCAAGAACTCGAGGCTAGCCTGGGCTACATAGTGAGCTCAAGGCTCACTACATAGTGAGACCCTGTCTCAAAGATAATGGTGGGGTGGGGTGTGATGCCGTGGCAAAGTGCTTGCATAGTGTGTTCAAGGTTGGGTTCCATTCCCAGCACTGCAAAAACCAAACAAAGCAGAAAGGGTAATGGTAGATCAGTTGTTTTTCCTGAGTTTTTCTAAAACTGAGCTACAGTCTTTGACTTTAATAATACAGTTTTAGAATAGTAAGTGCTTTACAGTAGGTTATGGTACGTGCCTAACTGCCATGTGTAGCTTATACAAAACATGACTTTGTAAAAAGTTTTAGTAAAATATATATAATATCTACTATGTTAACCACTTTAAGGGTACAGTTTAGTAGGATTGAATATATTTGTATGGGTAACCATCATTATTCTCCGTTTCCAGAATTTTTTTCATCTAGTAAAACTGAAACTTCATATTAAAAGTAATTCCCGTTCTCCACATCCCTGGCCCCTAGCAGCCACTTTGTGTCTCTATGAGGTGTTTTTGAACCAGGGATTGAACTCACAACCTTGTACTTGCCATGCAGGCACTTAACGGTGCTGAGCTAAATCCTAGGCACCTTATTTAAGAGTTGTGCAGTATTTGTCCTTTTGTGACTGACTTATTTCATCCAGTAGCATGTGTCAGAATTTTCTTCCCTTTAAGGGTGAATACTATTCCATGTATGTTTATGGCCTATTTCATTAATGCAGTGTCTATTAATAGACACTGGGGTTGCTTCCCTCTTTGGACTATTGTGACTGATGCTTATGGGGACATGAGTATACCATGCTCCTGTCCTGGATTTCAGTTCTTTAGGAGGTTATATATTCAGAAATGCAGTTCCTGGATCAAATGCTAATTGTATGTTTTGGGTTTTTGAGGAACTGCCATACTGTTTTCCATAGTGGTTGCACCTTTAGTTGTAACACTGGTAGTAGTAGCTATCTTTATTTTGCTTTTCCACCAGCAGCACACAGGTTTTTAATTTCTTTAGATCCTTGACAACTTACTATTTCTGATTTTTTAAAATAAGAGCCATTCTATTGAATGAGGTAATTTTAATTCCCTGTTGATTAATGTTAACTATCTTATACTTGTTGACAGTTTGTACATCTTCTTTGGACAAACATCTGTTCAAGTCCTCTGCCTATTTTTAATTGCGTTGCTTTTTTTTTTTTTTTTTTTTTTTGGTACTGGGAATTGAACTCAGGACCTAAACAGGTGCTTGTGTGGCCCTGGGTTACTTTTTTTTTTTTTGTCTTTTTCCTTTTTATCGGTACCGGGGATCGAACTCACAACTGCCTGCTTGCAAGGCAGGCGCTTATGCTGCTGAGCTAAATCCCCCGCCCCCCGCTGGGTTACTTTTTTTAAGGTTGCCTTTTAATTATCATCTGTGTTGGGAAGCAGTAAGCTACATCTTGAGACTGGCAGAGTGAAGACTGTCTATGACTCTGCTCTTTCTTTAACCTAATTGTTTCAAGGCAGACAGGATCTTACATATCCAAGGTGGAGATTTTCTTTCTTTAGAGCCTTAGCGTATGCCTGAGTAAGAAATTGCTGTTACCAGGTCTCTTATGGTTTGGAAATAAAATCCATTTAAGGGATTCCAAAAAGGCTAATGATAAAGACCAGAGAGCTGTGAAAAATGGTACACTAACTGAATCTACATTTTTGGAACCATAGTAAGAAATTGATAACTTAAAGTGTCTTGTACCAGTGACATTAGTCTCAGTTAACATTCTCATATCACCAAGCCTCTGTTCCTTGTCAGGGTCTACAGTGTCTCTGGGCCCCTCAGTTGTCTACCTCTTGTCTCTCATTCTTTACTTTTCTAGTTCTTTTTTTAGGGTTTGGTTTTGGTTTTGGTTTTTAGCCAAGTTTTCTTCCTTTTCTTTCATTTATGTCTACCACATTTTCCCTTTCCCTCTCTTTTCTTCCTTAAGTGGTTATAATGTGAAACTGTTAGTATTTGTTATCTATATATGAAATAAGGTTTTTATTTTCTGGTCATAGAGTTTAAAATACAAAATGCATTTTGTTTTTAAGAAAAATTAATTGGTTATTTTAAGAAAAATAAATTAGGGGCTCGGGATTTAGCTCATGCCTTGCAAACAGGCGGTTGTGAGTTCGATCCCCGGTACCAATAAAAATGAAAAAGACCAAAAAAAAAAAGAAAAATAAATTGAGCCAGGCATGGTGACACATGTCTGTCATCCCAGCACTTGGGAGGCTGGGGCAGGTGGATCTTTGCAAGTTCAAGACCAGCCTAGGCTACAAAGTGAGCCCAAGGCCAGCCTGCAAAGGGAGACACTGTCTCAAAAAGACAAAAAAAAAAAAAAAAAAGAAATAAAGAAAGAAAGAGACAAAAATATTGATGTTTAAAGTTGGGATCTGCCTGGTGTGGTGGCACGTGCCTGTAGTCCCAACACTATGGAGGCTGAGCCAGGAGGATCACCTTGAGTTCCAGGGCAGCCTGCACTATATAGTGATGCCCTGTCTCAAAACAAACAAACAAAAAAACACTAGTTTGTTACATTTCTAGAAGATAAACCTTGTCAACCAGTTTGTGGTGCTTTCAAGTTATTTCCCAGCTTTGCCATAATCTGTTTAGCAATTTTTATAATGTCTGCATGGGTCATTTTATCATTATTTCAGAAATTTGTAAAAACTAATAACTTTGGGTTTTTTTTTTAAACTAACTGTATACTTTTAAAAATTGAGTGGCGTTTCCATTATTATTAACTTTATTTTTTGGTCTGGGGATCAAACTCACAACCTTGTGCTTACCAGACAGGCACTGTGCCACTGAGCTATATCCCTGACCCATTATTAAATTATTTAAAAATAACCCAGCTGGGCATGGTGGCACAAGGCTGTAATCCCAGGACTCGGGAAGCTGAGGAAGGAGGATTGCTGTAACTTCCATGGTAGCCTGGGCTACAAAGTAAGTTCAAGGCAAGCCAGAACAGCATAGCAAAGCCCTGTTTCAAAAAAACAAAAAAGATTAAACCATAATCTTGAGGTGGAAAAAAAAAATAAGTAAAATAAAATAAATGCAGCTGTGGATGGCTGCAGAGGTCCAAAATCCTAGTGCTCAAAGTGGTTGAAGCAGGAAAATTATGAATTTAAGCCCAGCCTGGGGAATTTAGGAATTTAGTGAGATCCTGACTTAAAAACAAGAAGGTCCTGGGTTCAACAGTCAGTACCATCAACAGGTAGACAGTTGGGTAGGTAGATGGATGAATGGATGGATGGATAGAGAGCAATTCAGTGACATACAGTCCTTGACAGTATTACACATTCATCACTGCTGTCTAGCGCCAAAACATTTTCATTACCCCAAACATAGTTTTTTTTAATGCAGCTTTTTGGCAAAAACCCTTTTTAGAACACTATTCTACATTGTTTCATTTGATAAGTCAGATATAAAGTACTAATTGCAACTGTATTTATCTTCAGGTGATTTCAAGTGTCCTATCAAAGAGGAAATAGCAATTACCAGTGGTGAATGGGAAGTCCTCGGTCGGCATGGTTCTAATGTATGTCCTTTTATACTGCTCCTGTTCACTCAATATCTGCTGTGTGTGTATAGTACTAAAAATCAGTAATGCAAATTCATATGACCTTGAAAATACTAGTTTAGGTCCTAAACTCAAGCTGTTGAACGGAAGACTCTTAATTTAAATGGTAAATTTCATCTATTCAGTAATCCTATTAGATATTCTGTGGTTACTAAAGGTCAGCATTCTCAAGTGAAAGTGTGGAGTTGGGATATAATTTGAAAGCTACTTTTAAATCTGTCACAAATCATTTGTCTTATTTCTACACTAGCAATTTCATTTATTGCTTCAGAGTTCATGATTCTTTCGTTCACGTGCGTGTCTCACAGATTGACCCTTTTACCTACCACCTACAAAGAGGAGTGGGCACCCACAGAGTTGGGAAGTCCACCCTCGGTTTTGCTCTTGGCAAGTGGCTTTCTATAGCAGATCAGTGATTTGGTTCTCTTTTCAAAGCACCTTTCATGTGTTTCAGGTTTGGGGTTTTTTTGGTACCAGGGATTGAACTCACGACCTCACACTTGCCAGGCAGGTGCTTGTGCCACTGAGCTACATCCCCGGCCTATTTGTTCCAGTTTTAAATTAGGTGGCCAGTTTCTTAGTTCTCTAAGGCTTCATTCTTTATCTACTTGACTCTTACAGTTAAGTGGATGTATGCTATTGGAATTGAGCACAGCTTCAATGTGAATTCCTCAGATTAATAGAAATGTATAGGCTAAGTATTTCATACAGTGGCTACTGTAGAAATCAGTGTAATCTCCCAAGATAATTCAAGACAAAGAATGAATATCCTCATCCTGTATTAGTTTTCATTTGTAAAAACTTTAGAATATTATAGGTAACCTTTGAAATCTCATTCCAGTGAGAGCCTCACATAAGCACATACAAAGTTTTATATTTGTGTATTTATTTCTGTTTAGGAACTTTAAATATTACTGTCACCAGAAAAAAAAATCTTTTCAAATTCTAGGTACCAGTAACAGAAAGTTTCACTAATCTGTGCAAATCTGTCCCTTATTTAGGCGACCTCTACTATTTGCCACTGCATGTGTCAGTTTCTTTCTTTTTATGTGATATATTTCTCTCTTGCTCTTCTATTTTCCCTATGTCCTTGTTTTATTTTTTGTCTTTAAGTCGCCTTTTTCTTTTTTGCTTTTAAAAGTGACCTTGTTCTCACCCAAAGATATCTTTTTTTTTTTGTCTTTTTCTTTTTTATCGGTACCGGGGATTGAACTCACGACTGTCTGCTTGCAAGGCAGGCGCTTATGCTGCTGAGCTAAATCCCCAGCCCTCACTCAAAGATTTCTAGTGGCAATAATTGGGCAGTAAGCTCTGAGACTTCAGTTCGTGTGCCTCTTACTCTTGATGTTTCTCAAAGTGTGCTTCTGGGCCAGCAGCAGAACCTCAGTGTCACCTGGGAACTTGGTGAAACACGGAATCTGGGGCCCATCCCAGACCTCCTGAATCAGAAACTCCGGTGGCAGGACCCAGTGTCTGTTCAGCAAGCCCAAGAGAGTCTAATGCTAGTGAACATGAGTAGTTACATGGAAAAAAAAAAAAAAAAAGAAAAGAACCATTGTAAAGGGGAGTGACAAGCTAACTGGTTATTTCTTAAGCTTTGAAAGGCCAACTCTCGGGCTGGGGATTTAGCTCAGCGGCATAAGCACCTTCCTTGCAAGGGTGTGGTCGTGAGTTCGATCCCCGGTACTGATAAAAAAGAAAAAAACGAAAAAGACAAAAAAAAAAAGCAAGAAAGGCCAACTCTCAGCTGCTTCTGAGCAGAACTAGTCCTAGTCTTTCAGAGAGATTAGTGTATAACTGTGAAGATTCTCGAGCATTTTGTTGCAGCTGTGCTAATTTAAGTATGTGTCAAAAAAATTAAAAGGATGAAAATGTTCCCTGAAAAAATGAGATGTTTAAAAATACTTGCCTTTGAAAAAAAAAATACTTGCCTTTGAAATGTATCTGTGTTATCTTTGCTATTTCAAATATTTTGATTTTTATCAAACATTGAGTAAGCTGGTAGGAATTTTGGTTTTTTTGCTTTTTTCCGGTACCAGGGATTAAACTCACAACCTTGCACTTGCCAGGCAGGCGCTTATGCTGCTGAGCTAAATCCCCAGCCCTAGAAAAATTTTTAAAAGAGTAAAAGAAAAGGGCTGGAGATTTAGCTCAGCGGCATAAGCACCTGCCTTGCAAGCAGGCGGTCGTGAGTTCGATCCCTGGTACCGATAAAAACTGAAAAAGACAAAAAAAAAAAAAAAAAAAAAAAAAGAGTAAAAGAAAGCCACTTATTGCATAACTTCACAAGAATATTAAGTAAGTTCAGCTGTGAGTTTAGCAATTTGTTTTTTGAAGTCTAAACGATTACTTAAAATATTTCATACATAGCTAGGGATGTAGCTCAGTAGTAAAGCACTTAGCTAGCATGTCCAAGGCCTTGGTTTTATCTGCAGCACCACATAAATATACACAATCTTACCCACACTGTACTTATTTATGACATATACCACTGTTGAAACTGAGTTCAACTGTTCCTTAACCCAATGGATGAAAACACTTTTGCATTTTTGTACAAAAATCAGAAATAGGACTGCTCAAGATAATACTGCACTAATGGAGAAATATACAGATTATTAAAATTAGTCTCTTTCAAGTACAGTAAAACTTTGGTTTGCAAGCATAATTTATTCCAAAAACATGCTTATAATCTAAAGCACTTGTATATTAAAGGAAATTTCTCCATAAGAAGTAATGGAAACTCAGATGATTCATTCCACAACACAAAACATTTGTACAAAAATGATTACTGTAATATAATACAAGGCAATAAAGAAAATACAAAATTTAAAGAAAAATTAACGTGCACTTACCTTTGAAAATCTTCATGGCTGGTGTGAGAGAGAGGAGAGAGGAGGGTGGTTGTATAGGACGACTTTCACTCTCACTGGTTGAATCACTGCCATCTGTTGACTCAGTGAAATCTTTGCAGCTTTAACAAAGAACCTTTCCCAGTACTTATGCTTTTCTCTCCTTTTGAGGATTTCGCAGAAATATGACATTGCACTCTTGTCAAACAGATGCATTGCTTCCATACTACAGCCTTATTTGGGTGGTGCTTTTCTACAAAACTTTGTGCTGTTTCCCCCGTTTTGCACATCTCCCTAATCTCCTTTGAAGTGAGGAATTTCTGTATGTCTCCTCCTCCTTTGCAGATGAGATCTCCTCCATGACCTCTTGCTGTTGAGAGATAATACCCACACTCCCAGAGTGAGAGAGAGACAGAGAGAAAGGGAGGAACCTCTGGCTCAGTTGTGATCAAATGATATTCAGCACTGTGATTATTTGTATCGCAAGGCGTTGCTTGTTTATCAAGTCAGAATGTGTTAGAAATATTTGTTCATCTTAGGGAACACTCATAAAACAAGTTACTTATAATCTGAAGTTTTACTGTATATGTGAATAATTTACCTAAGCTGCAGTAGAGGTCCCCTCACTTGTAAAAAGTTATTTTAAGGAAATAATTCTCACATTTCAAGAAAAGTACACATTCTGACCAGATAGGATATTAGGACTGATCCCCAGCTTAGTTGGGATAAGTGCCTGCCTGGTAAGCATGAACTCAGGTTTATTAACTCAAGTTTATTAACACAGATAGAAAAATAAACATCAAAGATGCACAAGTCAAAGGACCTAATGATTTCAAATAAAATTAAGGGTAGCTGGTTGAATTGCTGGCCTTGCTAAGGTGATACTGGTACCAATTTTGTTGGGGTTGTTTTGGCAGATCCAGGTTGATGAAGTCAGAAGACTGGTGTATTTTGAAGGCACCAAAGATTCCCCTTTAGAACACCACCTGTATGTGGTCAGCTATGTAAACCCCGGAGAGGTGATAAGACTAACTGACCGTGGCTATTCCCACTCCTGCTGCATCAGCCCGGTAAGTCCTTGTTTAAAAAGGGACCCTCCAGCTTTCTAAGCCTCCTTTTGAGTGATGTGAGAATTGGTGAAGTTGGCAGCAGAAGCCTCATGAGGAGCTTTAAAATGCTTACCCCTAACTTCAGCCTTATATGTAAACCTAGTTAAGCCCTTGTTTTACTGTTGTTGTAACATTAGTGCAGATGTGACAGCAGCTAACCTTTTTGACTTTTTCCTGAAGGAAAATGTACTTGTTTCTCTTTCTTCTAGCATTGTGACTTTTTTATAAGTAAATATAGCAATCAGAAGAATCCACATTGTGTGTCTCTTTACAAATTGTCCAGCTCTGAAGATGACCCAAGTTGCAAAACAAAGGAGTTTTGGGCCACCATTTTGGATTCAGCAGGTATTGTTCCCCGAACCTGCACTTAAATAGGATCAGTACAGGGCTGGGGATGTGGCTCAGTGATGGAGCACTTGCCTGAGGGAGTGTGAGGCCCTGGGTTTGATCCCCAGCACTCCAAAAAACAGTGCTCTGAACCTATGAAACAGGGGCACTTTCTCTGGACAAAGTCCTCCCGTCTCAGCCCTTCCTGTCCATGAGCTGCTGAGCCTTCTGCTTGATCTCCTCCTGCCCTGTCAGCTGCGGAGTAAGAGGAGTTACTTCTCACCCAAGCAGCAGCAGGTCTGGAAGGCCTTGGGAAAGTAAGGTTAAGATACTGTATTCCAAACTAGGGAGAGCCTCTGAGTAGGGAATCAGCAGCCGACAGCTTTAAGTTTTGAAGTACTTGCAGTGACTGTCGTAATAAAAGATAGAGGGGCTGGGGATTTAGCTCAGCGGCATAAGCGCCTGCCTTGCAAGCAGGCAGTCGTGAGTTCGATCCCTGGTACCGGTAAAAAACGAAAAAGACAAAAAAAAAAAAAAGAAAAGTAATAAAAGATAGAACAGTTGCTCTGTGTGGAAGTGAATAGTGCTGTGCATCAGCTTCATTTATTAATTGTTCATTTATTCACCCTTCACTACAGGGGATGAAACTCAGAGAGCATTGAGCTATATCCCCAGCGCTTCTCATATTTTATTTTGAGACATTCTGTCACTACATTGCCCAGTTTGGCTTTGACCTCATGGTGATCCTGTAGCTTCAGCCTTCCGAAGCTGGGATTATAGGCATGTGCTAGCATGCCTAGATTTTTTGTTTAATTTCTTGCTTATCTCACCTGAAAAGAGTTTAGTCAGTTACTTGTATGTGGAGTTCAGGGTTTTGATATTTTCTTCCTTGGTCTTGGGTTATGGGACTCTCGTGAGAATATTTACAGAGTTTGTATGTTGCCACACACAGGTCCTCTTCCTGACTATACTCCCCCAGAAATTTTCTCTTTTGAAAGTACTACTGGATTTACATTGTATGGGATGCTGTACAAGCCTCATGATCTACAACCTGGAAAGAAATACCCCACCGTGCTCTTCATATATGGTGGTCCTCAGGTGGGTACATAAAACACATAAATATACATGCATAAATGTTTCCAGGTATGTGTTTTTTAAATGGTCAGTTATTCAAGACAAGAGTTTTAAGCCAGCCAGGTGTAGTGGCGCATGCCTGTGATCCCAGCACTCAGGAGCCTGAAGCAGGGAGGATTACCACAAGTTGGAGGCCAGCCTAAGCTACATGGTAAATTTAGGGCCAGCCTGCACTACAAAGTGAGACTGTTAAAAAAAAAAAAAAAGAATTGGGCTGGGGATTTAGCTCAGTAGCATAAGTGCCTGCCTTGCAAGTATGTGGTTGTGAGTTCAATCCCTGGTACCGGTGTAAAAAAAAAAAAAAAAGAATTTCAAGCAGTGTTGTGCTTTTGCCATTCTCAACTTTTCTGATTATCCATTTATGGAGTTCAGAGAGCTAGCTGTTTAAATTTAGATGACTGATTTCTAAATCTGACAATTTCTAAATGTCTCACTATATAATGACAACTGTAACTGTAGGGGAAGTGGCATATTCATGTCAGTGGGTAGATACATTGCTTTTTACATAGAGAAATTTGTTTGAGAAATGAAACTGAATAGTTAACTGTCATGGTGAGTAAACAGTCTTATTATATTTTCAGAAAGCCTTGGTAGTTTAGTGAATCCCTCCCCTTTCATTCTGAGGCTCAGCTCTCAGGTAGAGTAGAATACTACTATGCTACTCCTTTGTATTCTCAAAAGTTTACACCTTGATTTTCCATTTTCTGGATTAAATATTAGCATGTGACTGTTAAGAAAATGCTGTTCACTAATAAAATAAAGTACTTTGGGTAGGTAAATTGGTTAATTTTTTAAATGTGGAGTCTTGATCATATGCAGTAATACCTTGGCTCAGGAACCTGATTCCTTCAACAGCTCAGGGTGGGGGGAAAGGGCTATATTTGTGTTTGTGAGGGAAAGATGGCCACAGTCATGTTCATCAACCTATGCAAAATTCATAAAATAATGTTGCCAAACACTTCTGTTTGCAAACCAAATGCTTCACAGCATTCATGAACTAAACATTCATGAACTAAGGTATCTTACACAAAGCCTAAAGGAAATTAGAATGTAATTACAGTGTTTCATAGTGCATGTCTTGGACTCAGTGATGTGCTTTATAAGTATGCCCAATTATACCAAGTTGTTTAAAATACAAGAAGTAAGTAAGTATATAAGCTGTGAAATCTTAAGGATGATGATCAGGTAATAAATTACTATCCTTGAGTTTGTTTTACAGACAAAACATGATTCATGCTGGGCATAGTGACGCACATCTGTAATCCCAGCTGCTCTGAGGCTGAGCCAGGAGGATAATAACTTTGAGCCCATCGTAGGCAACTTATTTAAGATCCTGTCCGAAATGAAAAAAAAAGGCTAGGGATGTAGCTTAGTGGTAGATCTAGAGCTCCTGGGTTTCATCCCTAGTATTAAAAAAAAAGGTAAAGAAAAAAGCTTAGGGCTGGAGGTTTAGCTCAGTGGCATGAGGGCCTGCCTGACAAGCACGAGGTCATGAGTACAATCCCCGGTACCAAAAAAGGAGAAAAACATTAAAATTTTAAGCCTCCTGCTTTTCTCAGTGCTTCATCTTGTGTATTGTGTATGCTCCCAGGTGATCCATTTCCCTGACTTTTTATTTCTCCTTCAGGTGCAGTTGGTGAATAACCAATTTAAAGGAGTCAAGTATTTCCGCTTGAATACTCTGGCCTCTTTGGGTTATGTGGTTGTGGTGATAGACAACAGGGGATCCTGTCACCGAGGGCTAAAATTTGAAGGCGCCTTTAAATATAAAATGGTGTGTGAACATAAAAACGCTTTTAAAGGCACTTACATTTTCTGGTTCATTGTTTAGTATGAAATCCAGAGAAAATCTTGGGGGCTGTGGGTGTGTGTGGGTGCGTGTGCGTGTGTTACAGTATGGGATGGGAGGGAAGGGGCAATCTGACGTGCCCTAGGCTAGCTCACCACTGCCTTTACATGCCGCTAGGGTGCCAAGGGAGAGCCCCTCCCTGCAGAAGCACCCTCTTCCTGTCTCGTGCAACCATCTCAGCCAGGAGGCAGCACTGTTCCATTTTTGGCATCCTGTAGACTGTTGAGGAGTAACTGAGATTTGTTCTGTCCTCTGTGAAGAGGGAAACCAACTGGTTAGTGCCTTCCTTGTGACAAGCCTCTTTCTCTCTACAGGAAGCTTTAAATGCTACCTTTTAGAGATGCCCCATGTCCTATCTGCTGCTTTGGGAAATGATGACAATCCGATGTTCCTTTTGCACAGTAAAGCAGTTACTGTGTTTGCCAGTGTATTGGACATGCTGAGTAAGACATGGGCATTTTCTCCCACAGCCAGTTCTTTGACCTTATGTTGTATTCTCATGTAAGTTTTTTTGTTTTAATTTTTGTTTTTGGCTCAGTGAAGTGAGATTGTGTGCACTGGCAGGCCAAGTAATATAGACAGGTGGCAGCGGCAGGAACTAAGACTTAATCGGGCTTCGAAGAAAAAGCATGTTCAGTTCCTTTGCGAGGTATGATGGGAAACAGGAAGTTAGGACATCAGGTAATTCCTTCTGCTTTACTGCACTAAGTGTTAGGGAGAAGTAAAATTAATTTGTCTCTTAAAGAGGCTGATTTTTTGCCTTTGGGTTTAGGGAAGGCTTGTTACAAGGAAGATGCTGGCCTCTTAGCAGACAGCAGAACAAATGGAAACGGGACATACCTAAGAGTAAAGAAAGGACTTTAGGACTGAGTGATAACTCTAGGAAGGCTCGCAGGAGAAGCCATAGGCCCCTATCTCTAAAGATTTTTTTTTTTTAAGTTTCTTGGGGGGAGGCAACAGAATCACAGTTGTTAATGAATTCTAATCTGAAGAAAACCCTTCAAGTATTGTTAGTGAAAACACTTATCAACTTTAAAAGCACTCTTACAATGAGACCTTCATGCATCAGAGCCAGTAACGCATTCTTCCTCTTTAACAGGGTCAAATAGAAATTGACGATCAAGTGGAAGGTCTCCAGTATCTGGCCTCCCGGTATGACTTCATTGACTTGGATCGTGTGGGCATCCATGGCTGGTCCTACGGCGGATACCTCTCCCTGATGGCGTTAATGCAGAGGTCTGATGTCTTTAGGGTATGTGATTTCCTGTTTACTTAATTTTGTAAACAAGGATAGACATGCAAAAAACTGACTTCTAAACGTTTACGATATTGACGATATGGCATGTTAGAGTTTATGTGTTTAATAGCCATGTGAAATTGGTATCTCAACTGTTGGAATAATTTTTAAATACTTGTCAACTTGATGACCAGTTTTGGGCCATTTTTAGACAGCCAAAGAGTATGGTAGAGTTGTGATTATAAAACACATATAATGGATTACAGTTACTTAGATGTTGGACTGCAGGCTGTGCAGGAAGGGAGAGCCACACATGACACTGTGTCCTCAGCAGCCAGGCACAACACTTGGCGCATAGCGGGCCCTCAGTAAACTTGTGTTGAACACAAGGTCTTGGGTTCCATCCTCAGCACTGAAAAGGGGGGAAAATTGTCAAATAATAAATGGGTAAATACTTAAATATTACCATCCTATAAACTCTCTGAATATATTGGAGGAAGTACTTAAAAGATAATAACAGTTGTTAAGAGAGTACAAAGCATGAGCAGTTTTTTCTTTTTTCATATTTTAATATTTTATTGTACAGTGAAAAGTAATTTTTAATAAAAATAGTTTTTGTTCTTATATATTTAGATAATCTTTGTAATAACTACAAAGTAGACTCTGAAAATTGCTATAGTTTATTGAAATATGAAACTTTTTAAAAAAAAAAAAAAAAGAAAGGAAATATGAAACTTTTTGAGCCCTAAGATTAAGAAGTAAGTTTTTAGTACTTAAATATAGTTCATACATTGTTTTAAAATCTCTAAGTAGAGGCTGGAGATTTAGCTCAGTGGCATAAGTGCCTGCCTGGCAAGTGCAAGGTTGTGAGTTTGATCCCCAGAACCAAAAATTGAAAAAAATTTTAAAAATCTGTAAGTACCACATGCTAACTGACTGCACCACAGGAGCATCTTTGATTTAAATTCGGACACGCACCTGTAGTCACAACACTTGGGAGGCTGAGGGGGGAGGATTGCTCTGAGTTCAAGGCCAGCCTGAGCTACATAGTGAGTTCAGGATCAGCCTGAATATAATAAGACCTTGTTTCAAAAAAACAGTAAATAAATAAACAAACAAACAAGCTTTGTACTACTAGAAGCATTTGGTATACATCTATAATTGTAGCACTCTCTGGAGGCTGAGGCAGGCCAATTATAAATTTGAGGCCAGGGGCTGGGGATTTAGCTCAGCAGCATAAGCACATGCCTTGCAAGCAGGCAATCGTGAGTTCGATCCCTGGTACCAATAAAAAAATAAAAATAAAAAAATAAATTTGAGCCCAGCCTAGGCACCTTAGCAAGACCCCATCTCAAAATAAGAAAGGGGAAGAAAGGTGAGGATATAGCTTACTGAGAAGGCTTTGGGTTCAGTCCTGTGTACTGCTAACGAAAGCTTTAAAAAAGCAGCTGCTAGGGCCGGGGATTTAGCTCAGTATGGTAAGTGCCTGCCTGGCAAGTGCGAAGTCATGAGTTCGATTCCCAGTACCAAAAAAAAAAAAGTACAAAAAAACAGCTGCTTTTCCATAAGGAGTTGACAGTTACGCTTTTTCCCTCCAGTGGCATAGATGAGTTTACACTAAAGTATTTCTAAAGTATTTGTATTCTCTAGGTCATTCTCCCCTTTTAATAAAGGGCCAACAGGCTTGTATTTCATTTAGCCCAGGGTAGGACTTTGGTATGTGGCATGCGTGTGGAACACAAAACTCACTGACTCACAAGGTATCAAATGTGCGACCTTGGCAGCTAGTTGAGTTTTCCGTCTCCTGAGACCATGTGTGCCCAGCAGTGGCCCCAGCCCTGGGAGTAATTTTAACTGCGAGTGTGCAGTCATGTTCGTCTTGCTAGCTGCTCCTCTGCAACAGCTGCCTGTTAAATGTTGTCTTACGCAGGTTGCTATTGCTGGAGCCCCAGTCACTCTGTGGATCTTCTATGACACAGGATACACGGAACGCTATATGGGTTATCCTGACCAGAATGAGCAGGGCTATTACCTAGGATCTGTGGCCATGCAAGCAGAAAAGTTCCCCTCTGAGTAAGTTTGAACCTTAAAACTTGTTACCAATTTTAAATTATATTTCAAAAGTTGTCGTTAACAAAAATGTAAATACTGAAAACTTTTATAGGATACTAGGGTAGCGTGGCTGTTTCCTAAGGCTGAAGAGAAGACCATTCATATTGGCTTTTGTTGTTTTTACAAACACTTTTTCTAAAAGCATAGTATAATTTTGGTTATGTTCTAATATTGTAATAAGAAATTGAATACACAGTCTTTTTTATCTTTCATTGCATAGACATAGAGTTAACATTTCAAATTTAATATTGAAAATGTTGAATCCTTATTTTAATATTATACTATAAGAAAGTTAATATCATTGTGATTAACATAAAAGAATGGTTTTCCTGGGCCGGGTATTTAGCTCAGTGGCACAAGTGCTTCCCTGGCAAATGCAAGGTCATGAGTTTGACCCCCGGTATCAAAAAAAAAGAATGGTTTTCCTTAATACTGTAATATTTTACCTAATATCTGATGTTTTTATTTCTCCAGACCAAATCGTTTACTACTCTTACATGGGTTCTTGGATGAGAACGTCCATTTTGCACACACCAGTATATTACTGAGTTTTTTAGTGAGGGCGGGAAAGCCATATGATTTACAGGTGAGTTATCCATGTTTTCAAATTAAATGCAGTAGTAACTAGTGATTGATTACTTTGAAATGTAATAGAGAATCAGGCCAGATTTTCCCCTGTGTAAGAGAATTAAGAATATAGGTATAAGCTGTGAGTGCCTATGAAAATGGAATAAAAATTCAGAACCTGCTGAAGCCAGGCTGGACTCCAGTCTGTGGGACTCCATGCCTGTGGCCCTGCTCGGGGACCGTGAAGAGGGAAGTGGTGGTGGTGGTGGCAGGCTGTCCACTCCCTGTCCTCTTGTTTTTCTTTCTTCCCTTAGAAGGAATGGAAATGCTGTTTGATTTCAGTGTTCTACAAAGATTTTTAAAACTCGGTTACTCGGGGTTGGGGATTTAGCTCAGCGGCATAAGTGCCTGCCGTGCAAGCAGGCGGACGTGAGTTCGATCCCCGGTACCAATAAAAAAGAAAAAGACAAAAAAAAAAAAAAACTCAGTTACTCGGTTACATGGTCTTTAGTTTTCTTTTGCATTGCCATTGGCCCAGAAATCAGAAGTTATCCTCTTCTATTGTTCCGTTTCTCTGACAGATAGACAAATAAAGCAAGAAGAGTTCATTCTTCCTTTCTGTTACTTAAAAAGATTATGTGCTCATGAGAAATGAAAAACATTTATTACATTTGCCTTTGTATTTCAGTTGACATTTCTGTTAAGCTGAAATATTTGTCCATAGCATAAGTTTTCAAGCTTTTTTTCTGGCGATTGTGTCTGTTGGTATTTCTCACCAGGTGCAGTGGCACATACCTGTGTCCCAGTTACTCAGGAGGCTGAGGCAAGAGGATCACTTGTGCCCACAAGTTCTAGACTAATATAGCAACATAGTGAGACTCCCATCTCAAAAAAATTCTCATATAGGATATTAAAATTGAGAAATATTTTAAACATTGCCAGGTAAACTGTCATACACTTGTAATCCCAGCTAGTTGGAAGGCTGTAGCAGAGGATTATAAGTTTGAGGCTACCAGAAATTACATTGCAGGACTCACTCAAAAAGGAAACACAAATTAAATATTGATTTAAAATAACAATAAATTATTATCTATTGACAGAATTACTTTTATTATTGAAAAATTTATATAGCACAAATACTATTAACTAAGAAAATAGCATTATTTTACTTTCATAAATCCCCTACAATAAAAGGTATGTGTCTAGCTTGGAGAAAACACTTGAATTCTTTTTTTGTTTTTTTTTTTTTTTTTCTTCCTTTTTTTGGTACTGGGAATCAAATTCATAACCTTAGGCTTGCCAAGCAGACATTATACTGCTGAGCTACATCCCTGGCCCAACACTTGAATTCTTTTTTAAAAATTTTTAATTTTTTTGGTACCAGGGATTGAATTCACGACCTTGCGTTTGCCAAGCAGGCACTTACGCCGCTGAGTTAAACCCCTGGCCCCCAACACTTGAATTCTTGTATCTCCTTCAACATTCAGCCCTGTGTGCTACGTCATTTTTGCTATATAGTATGTGAAGAAACATTGAGCCTCACAGAATGTATAGTTGAGAAATGGAAGAAATGTTTTATTTAGCCTTTTCATATAATTGTGGACATCCTTTGCTGTTGCTCTAAAGCTAGATAAGTGATACATAGGATTTAATTTTTATAAAATCTGAAACCATATCTATGAACTTTTTTTTGATACCAGGATCAAACTCAGTACTTTGTGCTTGCCAGGCAGGTGCTTTGCCGCTGAGCTAAATCTTCAGCTCTCCATAAAGCTTTTATACGTTAAATATTTATTAAATTTTCTATATCAAATACTCTTCTCAAAAATACTGGTCCACTGTGTTATGTCAATTCTTCATATGTTGACTGTATTCATTATACAATGTTTAAATTCGGTACATTGATATCATCACTAGTTTCATCAGAAAGGTAAGAATAAGGAAGTTCATTTGTTAATAGCAGTAGATGCAGGTTTTCCACATTGGAATTTTTATTCAAGAGCTCAGATAGTATTGTTGACAAGCAGACACTGTTGAATCTCTGAAGTGACCAGCTTCCTTTCTTCATTTTTGAGGAAATGTTTACCACATTGTTTACCAAAGTCCAGTGGCCATAGTTGTCAGTCACTCTGTGAAGGGGGTGGAAGGCCATCAAGGCCAACAGTCCACCTTGCCCTGGGCCCCGTAGCTGCCGTCCCCGGGGACGTGGTGCATGTTTCCAGTACTGATCACCGTCTCCCATTCAACAAGAGTTCCACTCTAGGCTAACAGCTTTTAAAATTCCTAATTTTTACTGCTACTTTGTGAAACTGGAGTTTTCTTTCTTACTTCAAGTGTGTGGTGGTGAAGAAGGCTGTGCACTTCAGTGTCACTGCCTTCAATTCTTGCCAAGGCCCCTGCTGAGTAACTCCCATTGTGCCATCGTGCAGTATAGGGAGTAAAGTGAATATACTGATCAGTGAGGGCAGATGATGTCTTGGTATTGTTCTGAATGGCCTGAGGTGCCCCTTGGAAAAGTTCCCGAAGGCCCTTCAAAGTCCGCAGCCCGCACTTGTTGGTCTACAGAAAGGTCCTTCATGAAGCCCTACAGGTTAGGATATAAGGAATGAGGAGGAGAGGGTGTGGCCTTTCAATAGAGGGTCATGTGTCATACCTGTGGAGAGACTGCTCTGTGATATGAATCTCATTTAAAAATCTCCGGAAAGCTTTGGAAGGACATGTGCCATTAAATTCTTCTTCTCTTTTTTCCTTCCATATTTTATGTCTTGTTAAGATCTATCCTCAGGAGAGACACAGCATCAGAGTCCCTGAATCCGGAGAACATTATGAACTGCATCTTTTGCACTACCTTCAAGAAAACCTTGGGTCCCGTATTGCTGCTCTGAAAGTGATATAATTCTGTGCTGTGTAGAACTCTGGCATACACTGGCTGTTAACCAAATGAGGAAGTTGAGGCAACAGAGAACACAGAATTGATCGTCACATTTTGGTACTTGTCATGTAACATCTTCTGAAAGTCAATTTGGTGCCATGGCGGCGGCTACAGCTTGTAAATAGTAATCTAATACCTTACACACACACACGAGTGATACCAATTTCTGAGGGATCCAGCAATACCACGAAAATAGCTGAAAGAAGACATTAGCACCACATGTCCATACTTCCCCTGTTTTCACTTTTTAATAGCATTATAAACCTCATGGACTGATTTAGTGTATTTTTACAGTATACTTCTGAGTTTGTTCAAATATATTAGTGATTGGTTTGGTTCATTTCCAGAATCTCTGACTAGTTACAGATTTGATAGCACTTAATGTAATGAATAGCTTATGCCTCATTGCTTGGGATGTATCCAGCATGTAAGACTAATCACTGTTAAACCTTTGACTTAACCAGTTAATGATTTTTCAAGGATAACTTAGTAGTCTCCTAAAGATGCTTATTTTGGCTCTGACCAGTTTTTAGCCAATTTAAATTGTATCTGGTATAAATACTTCTCACTTTTCTTTGATGATATAACAGAGTGGGGTTTTTTTTTTTTTTTTTTTTTTTCCTTTCTCATAAAGGCAAGTGACTGTATATGTAGCATGGATTTAATTAGTCTTATGATGTTAATAATTACAGGCAGGAAAAATTTAATCAGATGATTAGAGAGCTTAAATATTTACAGGCAAGTCATACCCCTTCCCTCCCCCTTTAGAAAAAGAAAAGAGTACATATTTACTCAGATTCAGAAAATTTAGGCCCAGTTTCCATTCAGTATTTCCTTATTAAAATGCTCCAGTGTTTTTGGGGTGGGAGAGAGTGTCAGGGGTGAATGTGAAGAATGCGGGTGGAGGTGGCCAGGGTCTGCTTAAGAATTAAGCATAAGTCTTTCCAGCAAAAGTGGTCATGTAACACATCGGGGAGGTGAAATGGAAACTCCTAGAACATTAGTTAAGGAGACCAGAATTAAGAAATCGCTCTTTTAACCCAGCTGCAGACTAACATTACTCAGGGGAATAAAGTTCCATGGTTATGATTCCAGTTTTTAAAGTTTTTGTTTTCCTCTCAATTTTAGACACTTCATATATTTAAACTTTATCCTCCTTAAATTATTGAACATAATTTAGATATTGTGACCTTATAGCAAAAAGATTTTCAGACAAGCTCTGTACTGCAGACCAAGCCCTGGCAAGCCCAGGCTCCCTGTGGCCGTGACCTTTCCCTGCTTCAACCCCACCCGTGACTAAGCCGGGTGTCCCTGGTTTCTGGTCCTGGTTGAGCTCTGCCCTGGCAGAGTCTGCAGGGGCCACAAGGGCCGTGGAGCCAGTGGCTGACGGGGAGAGCGGCTCTGGGTCTGACCCTTGGTATCCCAAGCTTCAGTATCTGGAACGTCTCATCAGTACCTTTCAGTGGCCCCTGAGAGCTCTTTTATCCCCGCTCGGCGTCCCCATCCCCCTCAGGGAGCATGGTCTGTGTGGGTCACCAGCTAGGGCCTTCATCCCAGATACCCTTGGTCACAGAGGCGGGGCAGAGGCCTGGAGGACATGGCAGGCAGGTGGCCTGTGCTGCTTTGGCTGGGCAGCGGGGGTCTGGGGTTGCTGGCCATGTGTTTATATTGTTTGATAGATTCCACAGTTGTCCTTGTTGTCTGTATATATATTGATTTTCATGTCATTTTCATGATATTTTCTCATGCCAAGATTTGTTTATATTTTTTTCAGTGTTAAATTAAATTGATTTGGGTAACTTTTCTTCCCCAAGGAAGTATATTCCCTCATGACTTAAGCAGACCTCTGACTGCTGAGGGGGGGATGTTTGGACAAGTTGGCCTCCACAGATCTGTTCTTACATGATTATGTGTAAAGTACACATGGGATAAAGCAGCTTTCAGGCAGCTGCTCATTGGAAACCTCCTATCCACTTAGGTTTTCTCCAACACCGCTTCTCTTAATGAGTTGTCCAAACAAATGTTAGAAAGTATCAGATGCTTTTTAATTCACAGGTGCTTCTCTTCTGCATCTTGTCTGTTTTCCTCCTGCCACCAGGGATGCTCATTTTATAACTTCCAGTCATTTAAATGCTATTCTTCCTCTCTAGGGGAAAAATACCTGACTGAACTCACCTGCGAAGAGATGTCTGAATTTGCTTTCTACACCCAGTGTAGGAGGCATAGTTAACTGACACAGTCAGTGGAAACCACTCTCGAATTGTTTGTGCCCTGGGTACGGTGTGAAAGGCAAAGCAACAGTCTGATGAGAGCCAAAAAGTACTAGGTTAATGCAAACTAGGCTAACAGGCTTAATGCAGTTGAACAACCATCACCAAGTATAGTTACTGAGCATTGTAGAGCAGCGAAACTTAAAATCTGAGATTTATCTGGGATGCTTACTAAACAAAATGCAGTCCGGAACCTTACAGTCTTAGAAACTTGGGTTCCATTGTTTTGGGTGTAGAGTAGAAAATTGCATTTCTAGCCAGGCGTGGTGGCCCATGCCTTTAATCCCAGCACTCGGGAGGCTGAGCTAGGAGGATTGTTGTGAGTTCGAGACCAGTGTGGGCTACAAAGTGAGCTCAAGGCCAGCCTGAACTGCATAGTGAGGCCCTGTCTCAAAAAAACAAAAAAAAAAAGAAAGAAAATTGCATTTCTTTTTTTTTTTTTTTTTTAATTTTACTGGTATACTTTTGATGTACATATTGATCACATTCATCATAGAGAATTTGAACCTGAGTGTAACATACCTTGATTCTTTTTTTTTTTTTCCCATTCCCCTTCCTTCCAGCTCCCCCTTTCCTCCTCATTCATAAATGCTTTGGGAAACTGCATTTCTCATCATCTTTCTAGGTGATCTGAAATCAGATGTCTTGTGGACTACTTTAAAAAACTCTTCCTTGCTGGAATTCAAGTAAAAATAATAGGTGATTTTTACACTGAACTGATTTCATAAGAACCTAAAAAAGTAGTCAGGAAAGGCATTGGCTTGGGATGGCTCTTGGCCCCTTCTCACCCTGAGGTCTGAAGATCCATCTTGGAGTGAAGTTTTTCCCTCTGGGCCATTCCTGGCTCCTTTCCAAAGGAGAAGGTGAAGTCACAATGTATGAGTTACCTTTATAAAAGAATGAAATACAGATACCGTGGCTAACTTTTTAATTGTATTCCTTACAGAAGATACAGCCCGCCCTTCTGTACCATTGTTCTCTCTTTAGGGGTAGAAAGATCCCAGTAAGATCTCTCATTATTACAGAATCCTGAGTTTTCAGGCTGGAGTAAGTCTTTGCTGTGAGCTCATGTTCTCACTGGCTAAGGGAGGACCTGCACCGTGGAGAGAGGAGGAAGTGTGGCCACGCAGCCCGGTAGCATTCAGCTCGTCCTGGACTCTGTCCAGCATGCTGTCACCTGGTGACTAAGTGATATATAGAAACAGCAGATTTTTAAAGGAAGTATTTATTAATATATTCCTGTAAAACATTGTAAAGGTAGCCACATAAGATGGTTAATTTTTCCATTCTAAAGTAAATGCTAAGCATGCTTGTTAACAAAGCAGTACTTCTAATTAGTATATTCTGAAGTTAATTAAAATCATTACACCAAGCGTAGGGGTTTGGGGAATTGGGATATAGAGTAGAGCCTTTGCTTGAGCCCAGGAACCCATCTTAGAGCTATTTTATATTTTTTTAAGAAGGGACTTGGCCATATCTAAACTAGGAGAGGTAATGTGAGTGCCCTTTCCCTGCAGAGAGCGAGGAATGAGGAAACTTGCCTGGCTCCCAGCCAAACCTGCCCACCTTGCAGCCCAGACTGTCAGTGTGAGGCCCTGGACCCTACATGACTGTCACAGGCCCCTCCGAGAGAAAAGAGACTTGTTTGTGTGTTTGTTTTTTAACAACCTCAATACATGTTTGTGTTGTGTTCAGCAAGGTTGCAGTCACATCCTTCATTCTGGAGCATAAGTGCCTGCTGCTGGAAGCACTGACCTGTACAAACGAACTGCATGTCTCAGTCCAGTGGGTTTATGGGTGTTCTCATTTTTAGCTACATGGCTTTTAATCATGGAAGTGAAACATTAGTTTTGTTGCATTTTATTACAGGTTCTTGGTTGCAATAAAGATGCTGCTGAAATTAATTGATTTAAATATTCCTTCTCCCCCACCCACTTCGCACAGACTCGCTTTGATTCTTCCTAACTATGGAGCAATTAATAAATGTGAACAAGGCCATGCACTTGCAGTGGAGAAAGAGAGGCTAGCTGGGGTTTTTAGTCTTGAGTGCTAACCAGTTGCACTGGAGCCCAGTGGGAGGGAGGGGCACAGAGACCCACTCTGCCAGCAGCCAACCCTGCAAGTAGTTGGTGCTTGGAGCCAGGGATCATTGGAGTCCCCTGAGCAGCTGTGGTTCTTGTGATTACCCCCTGGAGTTGACTGGTTTCTGCATGCTCGAGAAAATTTTGAGTGAGTTTAGTGTAATCCTGTTTTTTCAGACATTTCTTTGACAATTCTCTGTTTTTTTGAAACTGTATTAGAGGCTGGGCGTGGTGGCCCCGCGTTTGAAAGGCTGAGACAGGAGGATCCCCATGAGTTCAGGACCAACCTGAACTATAGTGAAAAACCCTGTCCAAAAAAAAAAAAAAAAAAAAGCTGTGTTAGAGCAAAGACAGGAGATGTACCTCTATAAAGTTGGTACATTTGGATTTGTCGGATGATCCTTCCAGAACATGTCCGTCATCTGGATGGTTACACTCGCTGAGATGGTAGTAAAATGTGTGAACACACGGTGGTGCCTCATAGTGGGAAAACCTGCAACTTGGTCAGACTTACAGAGGGATAATGACCCAAAAAAGTAAGGATGGTGGCTGTATTAGTGTCTTAAAACTTTTGTATGTAAAAATCACTAGGGACGGGGCTGGGGATTTACTTAGCTCAGCGGCATAAGCGCCTGCCTTGCAAAGTGTGTGGTCATGAGTTCGATCCCTGGTACCAATAAAAACGAAAAAGACCAAAAAAAAGACAATCAAAAATCACTAGGGATAAAGATGATCATTAAACAAAGTAATGCTAGACTCTGCCCTTTCCACCTGTATCAAAGGTGCTGGGATAATGCGTGGCGGCTCCTTGCAGCCAGAAGTGACAGGCCTGACCTTCATTGCCAAAGAGATGAGGGTCTCAGGAGAGGGATAGCCTATTTGCAGCACCGTGGTTGAGAAGGTTTTGTAGACTACCTTGGTGTCCTTACTGCACCTGGATTTATTGCTAATTAGAGATCAGCTGTCAGCCCTGCCTTCACAGCCTGCAAAGGGAAGAGATGCAAACCAGCCAAGCAGCCGGCTGGGCTCTGCAGTCAGGCTCAGCCCCAGCCCCAGCCCCCTCCCAGCCTGGCCTCTTTCCACTCACTGCTGATGTTGGGGTGCACTGGTGGGGCCTTTGGTATTTCTGGAGGAAGTGGAATCAAATCAGCTGCAGGATGAGACCCTTGTAACCAGAATACAGTTTTATTTGGGGTCTGATACCATTTGAGGAAAGCATTAAGATGTAAGTGTCCATCAGCCTGGCTGCCCCTGGTGGCCTTGGCCCTGCTGATCTGAAGTGGGCTAAGCTTCCAGCTCTGGTGGGGATGCAGGATGGCCCTGGACCATCAGCTCCTTCCCGAAAGCTGTTCCTCTCACCACCCCGGACTCGGGTTCCTTGTTCCTCTGCCACAGGTGCACTGGACAGGTGCTGGGCCCCAGAGCTGTGCCCAGCACTAGCTTTGAATCCTTGTGTAGAAGCTGAGGGAAATAGCAGGGGGAGCTGGCCCTGGCCAGCACCAGAGCCCCGGCTCCTCTCTTCATGGAGGAGACGTCTAGAAGTGGCCAGCGCAGTGCTTTGCAGGAGGCCACACTACGGCTCTGGGGAAGGAGCTGTCCACGTGGCCTGGGCAGCGGACAGCACAGCTGTACATAGTCTGCCCGGCACTGCTGTGTGCTATCTCTCAGTTGCCGCTCCAGCTGGGCCCAATGGACAGGAGCCACAGCAGCTCACCTCTGCTGGGTGAGTAGGGTTCCAAGTAACTTCAGGGCAGCCCCTTGGGGCCCGTTCAGCAGGTACTTGGCCACGGCCATGCGCCAGGCCTTTGGTAGGCGATGGGGAAGCAGTGGGAGAGGGCTGTCCATGCCCTCCGCAGGCGCTGGGAACCAGACTCAGCTCCAGGGATGCTGCCACTTCTTCCAGCCAAGCTCAAGCATACTCCTCCTCCCCGTCTAGTGATGCTCTGGTCCCCAACCCAAGCCATGTTCTACCTGACATTCAAGACCCTGTAGCACCAGCTGGTAGTCCCAGCTATTCCGAAGGCTGAAGCAGGAGGATCACTTGAGCAAATTTGTGGCCTGTCTGGGCAACACAGTGAGACCTGGCCTCAAAAAGGGGGAGTGTGGTGCTGTGTCACGTGACCTGTCCTCAGTTTCCTCACATTAGCTGGTGCCTCAGCTAGCTCTTCCCTTCCTGCACACAGCCCAGCACATGCCTCCGAGTCGGAGTCAGGCTCCCTGCGCAGTTTCCCACCACTTGAGAGGCAGTTGAGCACTGCTGCATCTGGCTTCCCCTTAGCCCTGCTGCTTGCTAGCTTTGTGGGCTGGCACTTGTTCACAAGCTGTCTCTCGGTGCTAGGTGAGAGGAAGAGTACAACAGAACCTTCAAGCGGTGGTGCTGAGGCTTGAATTTCATATGCATAAAGCTCTCAGCTCCTAGCACACAGGAAAAGAGCTCAATAAACGTTACCTTGGGTGTGGCATCTAACTCTGCCACACTGTTTGCTGCTGGTTTTCTTTCTCCATTTAGATGACAGATTCTGAAAGCAGGCCCTCTTCGGATCATTTAATTCTCCCCATAGCCCCACAGAGTCAAATCGGAGGAATCACTAAATACCTGACTCCCCAAAACTTCCAAATGCAAAATATCTGACCTCCCCCAGTTAGGGCTGTCTGATATTAGATTTTAAATTCCACAGGACACGTAACCACTTGTAAGACTGCAAAAGAAACCAAAATCTTCTCTAATACAAGCATTTAAGGCTTTTCTTTTTCTTTTTCTTTTTTTGAAGGGCTCAATTTGAGACAAGGTCTTGCCGTGCAGTTCAGGCTGAACTTGAACTCACTATTCTTCCTGGAAACCAATCTTGGACACCAGATAAAGGCCTCATTTTCCATATGTTGAGTTTAAATAAACTATCTTCTAACTGGAACAGCGCAATCAACATTCCACATTCAGATCAACTGTTCCTTTTCTTCTCTCTCAGCTTTGTAGCACAGACTGGCCTCAAATTTGCAGTGATCCTCCTGCCTCAGCCTCCCAAATGCTGGGATTATAGACTTAAGCCACCATGTGTACTTTAAGAGTCCTTTAAAAGATACTTAGAAATTGTTAGGGGCCAGGGATTTAGCTCAGCAGCACAGCACCTGCCTGGCAAGCTCCAGATCATGAGTTTGATCCCCAGTACCAAAAAGAAAATTATTTATACTGACTCCCATTTGCTTATAATTGGGCATGGAATTTCGCATTTGTGTTTCACTGATGTATAATATCTATATTTAATGCAAAAGGCACGCAACTTTTCCTCTGGACTTTCCCTTGTCCGCTCTTCAATCCAGCTATTGCCGTAAACTGCACTGTACCAATTAGAAGACAGAAGTTTATTTAAACTCAACATACGAAAATGAGGCCTTTATCTAGCATCCAAGATTGGTTTCCAGGAAAAATAAAATAAGCAAACCAGCTTCACAACGATGGATTCTTGATTCAACTTTCACTTTCTATTAGCATCTGCTGTACACGGCACCCATCAAATCCAGCCTCAGGTCGACTGTTCCTTTTCTCTCCCACAGATTTGTCTTTCTTGTGTCCGTTTTTTTTCACTGAACATAATGTCCTCCAACTCCATCCTTTTTGCTGTGAATGCCAGGGTCCAGTTGTTCTCGGGGGTTGAGTAATAATCAGTTATATACATGTATCTTTCTTTCTTTCTTTCTTTCTTTTTTTTTTTTTTTTTTTGTCTTTTTCCTTTTTATCGGTACCGGGGATCGAACTCACAACTGCCTGTTTGCAAGGCAGGCGCTTATGCCGCTGAGCTAAATCCCCAGCCCCTATCCCACTTTCTTAATCCAGTCTGCTTTTGGTGGGCACCTGACCTGCTCCATACATGAGCGTTAGATGTAGGCATGCAGCTGTCTCTATGACGCTGAGTGCATTCCCTTTGGGTATACCCTCAGCAGTGCCAGCCCTTTATTAAATTTTACTCTGAGGCCAGGTATCACTAAGTCGTCCAGGCTGACCTGGAATTTGTGACCCTCCTGCTTCAGCCTCTGAGTAGCTGGAGTTACAGGTGTGCACCACCATACCCAGCTTCACAGTGATTTGCACTTTCCTGATGAGCTAATATTGTGCAATATTTCATATGGTACTTCATTTTTATATTTCTTCTTTTGAGAACTGTATACACACACACACACACACACACACACACTGAAGGTACCTGGGCCTTTTTATTCTATTTAGAGACCACTTGCTAAATCGCTCAGGGTGGTTTGGAACCAGCAATCCTCCTGCCTCAGGCTCCACTTACAGTTTAGATTCCAGGTTCTCTCTCCATGCTCCAGTACTGAGATGGAAACCAATGCCTTTGTACTGAGACTTTTTTTTTTTTTTTTTTTAGTTTTCTTTCTTCTTTTTGAGAAAACATCTTGCCTCTGGGACTCTGAGGCAGGAGGACACCAAGTTAAAGCCCAGTCTTGGCAATTTAGCAAGACCTCCTCTCAAAAAATATTTAGTTCAGTGGAGGAATTTTCCCAGTGGAGGGCTTCAGGATGGAGCAAGTGGAGAAGACCACAGATTCCAAGGCCTCATCTCTTCTTTTGCCTGGAACAACTTAGTGTTTTCTCATACATGACAGAAGAGCATGAAACGAAGAAGTGAAAATTCCTCCCACTTTACAGGTGAGAAAGCTGAGGCCCAGACAGGACTACCAGGGCATAGAGCTGGCAGGTGGCACAGCTGGTACCGAAACAATCTCAATTTCCTGAGGCACAGGGCCTTCCTTGAAACTGCAAAAATAGTAGCTGAAGAGTCAATTGCGTGCAGTCTCCAGGAATTTCAGTCTAAAACTCCCTACTAAATTCCTAAAATCTAGCTGGATGTGGTGGCGGTGTGGTAGCACATGCTTGTAATCCTAGCAACTCAGGAGGCTGAGGCAGGAGGATGGCTCCAAGTTTGAGTTCAGCATGGTTTACATAGTGAGTTCAAGGCCACCCTGAACTACATAGTGAAACCCTGTCTCAAAAAATAAAAAACAAACATAAAAATCTTAGAATCAAGGAACTATGCCATTTGCCTGAAATCTGAGTTCCTTCAGGGATTGAGCACACACTGGGTGAGTCTTGGATGTGAATTTCTCTGAATCTGCCTGTGAGAGAATGGGGAGCTTGGGAACAGAGGGGAACTTGGAATCTGATGGAATTAGGTTCAGATCCAGCAGCTGTCACCCTGAGCACCCCCTCTGCTTTCCTAAGCAGGGTTTCTTGGACTTGAAGGCAGGGTTTTGATGCCCTCCCAGAGCCAGCGTGAGGCCAGAGCACTGAGTACACTGCTGGCACAGACAGGCGTGGACATGATTTATGAGGCCGGAGCCAGCGCTCCCGATGTCCAGCCGACCACACCCATCCACAGCTGCCCCAGGGCATTGCCTGCCTCCAGGACCTGAGCCGCCAGGCTGCAGCCTGGGAAAGAGATGGATGCTGGGAGGCAAGTGTTAGCTACATGGCTCAGCCTCAGGGATCTTGGGAGAATAGCCGGTTTTGAGCCGAGCGCAAGGGGGTACAGAGGCTTCCTGTGGGGTGACTGGACTCTACCTGGACCTCTGCTGCTGCCCACCTGGCCACCCAGCTGCGCTGGGTTCTACTGCACAGGGCTTCCAGGGAAGGCACTGTCTCTGGAGGGCTTGTGGTGGGGACATGGTTTAACCTCTGAGTTGGTGACACATCCTCTAAATACCGATTACCACCAACGTGTCTGGGGAGAGGCCACCGTCACAGCAGCTCAGGGAGGTGGTGTGGGAGACTAATCTTGGTTCCACTCATCAGCAAGCGGGGCCCTGAGCAGCTCTCAGACAGAGCCGGGGTCTGGGAAATGTCAGAGAAGCGGTCGTCGCTCTCCAGGGGATCTCCTGGAAGTGCAGACAGACATGTAAACAAAAGAAAATCCGTTCCAAAGAGAGATGCTGAGTGCTGTGTGCCCTGGGAGACAGCAGTCAGGGGTGTTGGCTTTGGTCCCAAGAGACCGACCGCCATGCTATCTTCTGCTGCAGTGTCATCTACTGTGTGACCGGGGCAAGTGACTTAACCTCTCCATGTCAGCTCGCTCTTCTATAGAACAGAGCTAATATCTGTAACACTTCATGGAGTAGCTGTGAGAAAATGCATGTAAAGCTCCTATGTCTATAGTATGGCACTCAACAAACTCAAACCAGTGGTTTTCCAGGCAGTGGAAAGCAGATGGTCAAGGAGACTGTACGGTGGGACATCTGAATGGGGAATTAAAGGACAGATGTGCTAGGGAAGAGAAAGTCACTCCAGGCAAAGAGAGCGCTTTGCATGTAGGGAGAGAGGGGTGCAGAAATGTAGCCAGCATGCCAGGTACAGGAATCCTGGATCCCCCAGCTTCCTGCAGGAGCAGGGGCGGCTCTGAAGGAGTGGGCGATGTTTTTACCAGGGGCCATCAAAAATAGGGTGGGTGAGGCTGGGCGTGGTGGTGCATGTCTGTAATCCCAGCACTCAGGAGGCAGATGCAGGAGGATCCCTGTGATTTCGAGGCCCCCATAGGCTCCATAGTGAGTTCAAGGCCAGCCTGAAATACAGAGCAAGACAGGTCTCAAAAAAACAAAAACAAGCCAACATAGGATGGCTGACGTTGCCCAGCACCATCCAACAGAAAGACGGCCTCCCCCACCAGCTCTGGCACTGTGGGACTTCTGGCTCTCCCCCCAAGTAAAATCCAGGAAAGGTGAGTGCTTGGAATCAGCTCAGGGCATTGAAACAGCCAAAGGCATGAAGTTGGGCTTCCAGAATGCTTCAGAAACTGTCAGGAATGATGCAGTGAGTGTTCTCGGAAACCCAGGTGTTTAGAGGGGGATCTGCGCCAATGTGTCTTTAATAAAAAGTTTCAATTTAACCATTCACTGCATTTTTGTTCATATCTTGTGACTTGGAGCTAATTCCACAGCAAAACCCTAAATAACATGTTTATACTGTCACTTGGATTTTTTATAAATTTGGATGCATCACCCTGTATTGCATGCATTATCTAGTGATGTCTTTCAAAGAAAGATTGGAATTTGGCTCTTTTTCCTTCTGTTGCCCCCAGACATGCATCCACCCCCAGCCGTGCAGCATGCTGTGATTTTCCTGAGGTGCAGGGCAATGCCTCCAGGATTATCAGGACAGGAAAGGGGCCAGTGGCCACCCAGGTGATAAGCTTTGAATCCATTCTCATTCATGCATAACTTTTTGTTTCACTTTGTTAACTGTCTTTCAGTTGATACACATATACTAATTCCAAATGCTTCGGCCTTGCATTGATTTATCTGTTTGCCTGCTCGCCACAGGGTATTTCTGAGACACATTTTCATGGCAACACACAGCATTTCAGGGATCTGATGGGCAGAAGTTCTGATGGGGTCTTCTGAGCATGCGGCTCTTGTGGGTGGTGCTCCTCCTTCAGATAACCGAGTCCTGAATCCAGGCAGCCAGCAGGGGCTGTGCCCACCTGTAGACTCCACTGCTCCCTCACCCACGCAGTCTTCCTCCTTGGCCTCACTAGACACAGGGTCCCTCCTCTTGCCCGCACCTGCCCCCGTAGACAGTGGCCGGTATGTTTTATCCTGGGCCCTGCACGTTGCTGGATGCTGCTTTAGCTGTGTAGATTTCAGCAGAGACTCTAGTGACAAAAACCCTGTGTCCAGGAGCCCACATTGGGGAGGGCAAACTGGCAGTCAGCAGGGCTGCCACTGGGGTGACTCATGCCCAGCACACACATGGCCTGGGGTTCAATCCCAGCACCGCATAAAAAGAAAAGAAACGCGTACGACGTAAAGCACGACTGGACGTGAAATTGTTGACAAGAACAGAGTAGGAGGGGCTGGGATTTAGCTCAGCGGCATAAGCACCTGCCTTGCAAGCAGGCAGTCGTGAGTTCGAACCCCGGTACCGATAAAAAGGAAAAAGACCAAAAACAAAACAAAACAAAACAAAACAAAACAAAAAAAAAACAACAGAGTAGGAAGGAGAGAGGAGGAGTCCAGTGCTGGAAGAATCTTTTTTAAAAATAAAAGCAGACAATTTATTTGAAGGTAGGGGAAGGACAGACAGACAGGGACAGGACAGCTACTGTGGACAAATGGGGAGTATTCACAAGGGGACTACCCTGGATTCTGGTCTGTGGCTCCTTTCCCATCAGGCCCCCAGAATCCAATGGGTTCTGTGCCCGTCCTTGGTCCCCCACCTTGGATTTCTTCTGGTCATTCGAGGACATCTTGACAGGATCTAGTGTGGGGACCGTGCTGGGCCAAGGTGGGCGGGTGGCAGAGGCTGCACAGGCTGGGAACAGAGGCCGCAAGGGGCTGGGTGTGGCCAGAGAGGAAAGGAGGGCACAAAGGGGGTTGGGGGCAGCGGGGGTCTCTGGGTCAGATGGACCTGTGCCTCCTAAAAAGGACAGTAGCGCTGGCTCTGAGATGGGTTCCCATGGTAAGCTCTGGGTAGTCATGACATAATCTCACCGTGACAGGGTCACCCTGGCTGCCACAGGGAGAGAAAGACAAGGGGGGACAAAGGCAGAAGCAAGGTGACCACAAGGAAGAAGTGACCCCACCGGTCCAGGTGAGAGGTGGGAGTGAAACAGAGAGACAGGAATGAGTGTTTTGGCCAGGGCTTTAGTTCAGTGGAGTAAACATCTGCCTGGCAAGCTCCAGGTCATGAGTCGGATTCTTGGTACCAAAAGAAAAAAAAAAAAAAAAGAGTGACTGTTTTGACCTGGCCAATGGGAAGAGTGGAACTGCTGGGAGTGAGACAGGGCAGTGTGGGGCCAGCAGGACTGGTGGGGGGTGTCTGATGGAGCTGCTGAGTACCCAGGGCTGGGGTCCAGGACAGGCGTCCACACTGCAGGTAGACGTTTGGGCGTGGCCAAGGTGGAGATGCTCTTCAAAGCCTTGAGCACCCCAGGATGTCACTGAGCGAAGCAGGTGTTTCCAAGAAGCACAGAGGGATGGACAGGTCACCGGCATAACTGCCCAAGGCCGAGAAGTGCATGAAGACTGCGTGGTTCCCCTGCACAGGCAGAACAGCTTAACAGGCCCCAGGCCGCAGAGCTGGGACATCCTGGAACCGGAAGGGAAGGGCTCTTAAGTAAATCATTTCATCTGCACGGCTCTGGTCACCCTAGCCTGACCTTTGAATCCCTGGCTCTGGAAAGAGATCCTTGTGGAACACTGAGGCAGCCAATGTGGCCAGGCCAGTCAGAAGAGGTCCCCGGAAGAATGGGGCGAAGGGTAAGTGGGCGGGTGGCAGAGGCTGCATGAGGGGCTGGAGATGCTTGTTCAGGTCAGCCTCTATCTGCTGTTCCCTGCCCTTCCCCCACCGCAGCCTCAGTTTCCCCGTGTGTAATAGCAACAGCGAGTTCTGGGTATGGAGGTGAGTGTGGCAGAGGAATCAGAGCCCCACCTGGGTTGTCTGGTCACAGCAAGGCAGGACGGAGGACCAGGGCTCTGACCTGGAAGGGCAGCGGAACTGGGGACGAGGCCGGTGAGGAACCTATCCTGTCCTGGCCGGGTCTGGCGAGGTGGCCAGAACTTAGGCCGCGGGGACGGGTCTCGGTGGCAGAGGGGCCACGAGCCTGGGCTCCCCCATCCCCAGGGTCTGCCTGCAGAGCCTGGAACAGAGATGGAGGTGATCCCGAGGCGGCAGCGGGGAGGAGTGGAGATGCGGAGGTCCGGGACGCGCACCCTCGGGGAGACGCGAGCCAGCCCCGGGACCCGGCGGCCGAGCAGGGCCGGCGCGAGGTGGCGGGGTCCCCGCGGAGCCCAGCGGCCGTGCGCGCCCAAGATGGCGATGCAAGGGCGGGCGAAGCGCCCGCGGCCCGCGTCCCCCCGCCGCTCGGGCCCGGGCCCCCGAGGCCGCGCCCCGCCCCCGCCCGCGGCGCCGCGCCTCCCCGCGCCCCTGACGCCCGGCGCGCCCTCCCCCCGCGGCGGCGGCCGAGCGCCCGGAGGCGGCGGCGGCCCGAGCCGGGCCCCATGGCGCGGGGGGACGCGGGCCGCGGGCGCGGGCTCCTGGCGCTGACCTTCTGCCTGCTGGCCGCGCGCGGTAAGGGGCGCGGGGGCGGCGGGGCGCCCCGGGCTGCGGGGACCCGGTCCGCGGCGCGCGGGTCCGCGGGGTGTGTGTGTCCCCAGGGCGCCGAGCCGGGAGCGGCGCGTGCGTGTGCGTGGCGGGGCCCGCGCGTGTTCGCGTCCGCAGAGCCCCCACGGTCGCGCCGCGGCATCGGCACTGGTGGCTCCCGGGACGCGCCGTGCCGGCCCGCGCGTGTCCCGGGCGAGAAGGCGCAGGGCAGGGGCTGCGGGTCTGCGCTTCCATTTGCGCCCAGGGCGCGTGTGACCGGCTGGGGCTGAGCTTGTACTTGGCTTTTGGGGAGTGTCCTTGCCCAAAGTGGGGGGACCGCGGCGGATTCAGGAAGGTGGCACAAAACTTTCAACTTTGCCCGGTGGGTGTGGTTCACTGGGGCCAGTTGGGGCTGGCGCGGTGGCGGTGTTGCGCCCCCCAACCCCGTGGCCTTAGGGGCTGCGCGGGGGACAGGAACCAGTTGCTTTGGTGGCGGCGTCCGGCACTCGCCCTCCGGGTGGGACGCGTGTCACTCGCATCCTGAGCGTGGACCGGGTCAGCCAGGCCTTCCCGGGCTCTCACCCCGGGCGGGAGACAGAGGGGAGGCCGGCGAGGGGGCGAGTGTGCGCGGAGCTCCTTCCTTCGCCCCAGCCCCGACTGCGGGTCCGGTGTGCGTTTGGGGGGCCCAGGAAGGCTGGGGGAGGGGACGGGCTGCCCGCTTTGTTCCCTAGTTCTCGCGTCCCCAGCGCGGGGGTGGAGGGGGGCCGAGGATGTGTCCGGGGCGAGTCGAGGAGGGACTTGGCGGTGGGGGTGGGGAAGGGGATTCCGCTCCAGCTGCCGCGGCCTTGCAGAGACTTAGCCAGGCCACGTGGGAGGGAGGCGGGCGGCGGGAGGAGGGGGACAGAGCCTCCGCGGGGCGGCCCCAGGCCCATCTCCAGCGGGAGCGCCGGTGGGAAAACAGGGAGCAGTGGGGGGCCTCCTCCCTCTGCAGAGACACGCCCCACTCCTGCCCGGACTGCGGTGGTGTCAGGTGAAAGGGCCGAGGAGGAAGTGTCAGGAGGCATCCGTCTGCCGGATCCCAGGGGGTTAAGGGATAGTTGTGCTGCGCGCGCGCAAACACACACGCACACACACCACACACACACACACACACACACACACGCACACTTTGGCTCTTCCAAGAGCTTCTGGAGCGCAGTGACACCCGGCCAAGCGGGATCGGGGCTGGGCACTGCAGCGCAGCAGGATCCTGTGGGGACCGCAGCCCTGGCCTCTGCCTGCGCCTCATTGCACAAGGCAGGGCAGGCCCCGGCGGGCTGTGAGCGGCTCCAGCTCCTCGGCCGGCCCTGGCCCCGCCCCTGAGTGTGCCGAGCTCAGCAGCGCAGGGACGCTTTTGCCTGGCCACCCTAATGTTCCTTCCTTCATTCACTGCCCAGCGTTTGCTGAGCAGCTGTTACTGGCCCGAGAGCGCCGGGTGTCTAGAATGCAGTAGAGAAGGAGGCGGCCCTGCGGGAAGCTTCAGGGCTGGGCTTGGGGTGGGGAGGTTGGGGACAATTGCCCCGGACCCTGCAGAACAGGGGCTCCTGAGCCAACCAGGGAAGGTCAAGAAAGGCTTCCTGGAGAAAGTGATGATAATACAGGGGTGGTGCAGGGGCTGGGGGGGAGCCCCAGGAAGAAGAATCCTGCTGATGAAGTTCCCCAGAGAACACAGGAGGTTCAGTGTCCACTCACTGCAAGGGGCTAAATCTGGCTGGAGTTTAGGGCACAAGGCCAGAGAGGTGGGCAGGTGGGGGAGGATCAGGAGAGGAAGCTGGGGAGGGTGGTAAGGCCCGGCTCAGGAAGGCCAATGTCACCCTAGCACTGGAAGGCACAAGGTCGCCCTGAAGTGAGGCTGGTGGCACTGGCCATGAGGTAGCCCAAGTGGCTGCCTTCAGTAGCTGCTAAGGTGGTGGAGACTGTGGGACACAGAGGAGAGAGGGAAGGAGAAATACTCCGTCCACATTGCTGGGGAGTGGGGATTGGGGACCACAGAGTCTCTCTTAGGAACAGGGCGTAGGAACTGTCTGTCTGAGGCAGTGGTGGGAAGCTGAACTCTTTCACCACACGCAAGAAACGGGGTCCCCCTCCCACCCCAGTCAGAATGCAGGGCCCAGGAGCCCAGAGGTCCAGCAGGGGCTCCAAGGACGGGGGCGCTTTCTCCTCACTGGAAACCCTCCTTCCCTCCTGCTTGTTTCTCAGTCCGGAAGCCATCTGCAGGCAATTGAGGTGGCTGCCGGGACCCATCTCAGAGGTTTGGAGCCAGGTTGGCTGCTGGCAGTATCTGTGCTTAGAGACTCTTATTCAGCCGTCATCTGAACCTTGGTTGATCCTGTGTGTACTTTTGTGGCCAATTAGCATTTCCAGTTCAGGGATCTCATGTTTAGAGCTTCATGGAATGTCAGCACTGAAACAAATTTAGAAATGTAAAACAAGCCCATTTTATAGATGAGAAAACTGAGCAACTTCCTAGCATTTCACAGTTTAGGAACTGCTTTTTTTTTAAGGGGGGTCTTTTTTGAGACAGGATCCACTATGCAGTTCAGACCGACCTTGAGTTCATTTTGTAGTCCAGGCTGGTCTTTAATTTGCAACAGTCCTCCTGCCTCAGCCTTCAAGTGCTGGGATTTAGGAGCTGAATTCACGGAGAGTGGAACCTATCTTGGATGCTGCCTAATGGAGCAGCCTTCTTACCCTTCCCTGGGGGAATAGACGCACACCCCCAAGTTGCCTTCTATGTGCTTGTGAAGAAGTTTGAGCTTTAGGCCTGCTCACTCTGTCCTCTATCTGGGGCCTGGAATCCACTCTTCTTCTTTGATTCCCTCCAGCGTCTCTGAGGTACAGCAGCCAGACTTGACAGGGCATCCCAGATGTCTTTTTGAGGCAGTCTGGGGGCTCCCAGCTCCTGGGGTCCAGAGGAGTAAGAGTGGCTCTGAGGGTATGGACCCCAGCCTGGGCAGAGCAAGGCCTGGGGGAGGATGGGTGACCAGAGCAGACGTCCGGGCCCAGCATGCTGTGCTGCGGGCTCCCTCTGCCTCAGTGTGGGGCTGGGGCGTCATGTGGACTCGAGAGCGGCCAGGGGGTCAGGGAAGACAAGGATCCAGACCAGGATGTGTGGTTTGATACAGGGCTTGGTAGATTGGCACATAGTCTGAGCCATGCGGCAGGGGACAGGCAGTGTGCTAAGTTCCCAGCCCTGGTCACATCTGGGCAGTTGCTGTCACTGTGTACATTTTAAGTTTGTTTGTTTGTTTAGGTGTCTGGATGCAAGGCAGTTTCTGTCTATATTACATCATCCCTGCCTCTGAAGGGTGTCAAGTGCTATCTTTCTTGTATTCTTTTTGAGACAGGGTTTTGCTATGTAGTTTAGATTGGCTTTGAACTTACTATGCAGCCTAGGCTGGCCTTGAACTTGCACCAATCTTCCTGCTTCAGCCTCGCAAGTGCTGGGGTTACAGTTACACCACTCCTGGCACATTACTGAAATTGAGGTGTCCTTTTTTTTGATAGTACTAGGGCTTGAATCCAGGGCCTTTCACATGGTTAGGCAGGCACTCTTCCACTGAGCTACACTCCCAGCCCTTCTTAAATTTTATTTTATTTATTTATTTTTGGTACTGGAAATCAAACTCAGAACTTTGAGCTTGCCAGGCAGGTGCTTAGCTGCTGATTATATCCCTAAGCCATTAAATTTTGAGTCAGAATCTCTTTAAATTATCCAGACTGGCCTTGAAATCTGAGATCCTCCTGCCTCAGCCTCCCTAGTGAGATTATATGCACGCACCCACTGCCCAGCCAGTCCTATCTTTTTTAGGGTGTCTTTGGATGTCCACCATCCCTTCAGGGAATATTTTTGAAGCCAGGCACTGTTCTAGGTACTAAAAATTCAGAGACCTGACTTGGTTGGAATCCCAAGTTTGCTGCCCAGTCATGGAGAGAGAGTTGCAAACCAGGAGTGATCACTGCCTGGGTGTGGGGCAGAAAGGGCCCCCTTCCCCCGTCTGTGTGAGGGGGTGGGGCAGCCATTTGCAGGAGCGGGTGTGGCACCAGGAACATGGGGTGCGGTCAGAGAACCAGCTGCTGCAGTTTTGTTTTTTGGGGATCAAACTCATGACCTTGTGCTTGTCAGGCAGGCGCTTATGCCACTGAGCTAAATCCTCAGCCCGGCTGCAGTTGTGGACCGGAACAGATGAGCCCGGGTCACATTGCCCCTGTTGCTGCTGTGACCTCGAGATTGTCGATGTGGGGAGGGGGCTGAGTCCTGCCGGGGGCCCAGGAGACCAGCCCAGCCCCACCAGGCCGCTGTGGGAGGGACTTAGCCTGTGGTCAGGGAGGAGGCACTGACAAGACTCCCTTGGGGAAGAGACGCCGGTGCCCGAGTCCTGGACTGTGAACAGCAAGTCTTGCGTCTGTTGGGCCTGGGCATTGAGGAGTGAAAAGCTCTGAAGTCCGTGGCAAGTTCTTGGCTTGCCCTTGTCGTCCCCTGCCTTGCCTCTGCACCCCCACCACGTGTCCCTTTCCGGGGGCTCAAGGAGGAGGGACCTCACTAGAGGCCCCTGGTGACCCCACACAGGGTGCCAGGCTGCAGGGTTCTAAGTGGTTTTGTGAGATGGAGTCCATCCTTTCCAGGGCTGCAGTCTGTGAGGAAAGTTGATGGCAGGATGGCCTGGGTCCCCAGACACAATCTCTGGGTTCAGACAGGGTCTTGTTGAAAAGATGAAGTGAGGGGTGTCATAGTGTGTCACTATGTCATAGTGCCCCGGGCCCCAGAGAGGCTGCAGATACTTTCAGGGAAGGAGCTCTGGGAGTCGTCACACTGCGGGTGACAGAGAGGACCCATTGCTCACCTTTTGTGTGTGTGTGTGTGTGTGTGTGTGTGTGTGTGTGTGTGTGTGTATGTGTGTGTGTGTGTGTGTAAGAGAGAGAGAGAGAGACAGGGTCAGGCTGGCCTTGAACTCATTATGTACCCCAACTCAAACTCAAGGCAATCCTCCTGCCTCAGCCTCTCCAGTACTGGGATGATGGGTGTGTGCCACGGCTGGCTCCCAGGACATCACTGTTACAGAAAGCTCTGGTGGGGGAGGAGCCACACTGCTGCAAAATCACATGTGGCCATGCTGGGGAGCACACTATGCTGGAGGTTAAAGAAAGAGCAGCACAGGTAGTGAGGCTCAGAGTTAGCTTCTCCTCTGCGAATGGGAGAATGTTGAGGAAGATGATGAGAACCCCAGGGAGTCCTTATTTTCAGGTTGGGGAAACCAAGGTGGAGGGGAAGACAGGAACAGTCCTGTGACAGGTGACTGGTTGTGGGATCCAGGGCTCTGACTCGGGCCTGAGCAGTCTGTCCAGACAAGAGAAAGGACGGGAAAGGTCCCTGCATTTAGGAAATCCAGGACCTGCTTTCAGGTCCTCAGTTTCCCCATCTGCAGAATGGGGCTTTGCAGATACTTCCAACAAAGCGGCCCCTTGCTCCCTGAGGGGACCCCTGGGTTCTCTCTGCATCCCCACCCCTCTGTTCCTGCCTGCACTGCAGGGATCCAGGCTCCTCTGAGGTGGCTTAGTCAGACATCTGCTGATCTATGAATATTCAGGAAGGGCTCCGCTCTCCCGCCAGCCCCGGCCCCTCTGGCCGCTGTCCTGCCTGCCACAGCCCGGGTTGCTGACAGACCCAGCAGCTGCTTGGGCCCCAACTGTTCGCAGTGTTTGTTCAGCACAGCAGGGGATTTTCCAAGCCCCGAATGGACTGCTGGGGGGCGGGGAGGCCGCCCTAGGGCCCACGGATTCTAGATTCTGCTCATGTGGGTTTTTTCTCCCTGCAACCCAATTGCTGTGCTGGAGCGGACCAGGCATTTGGGAGCTGCTGGGCTGAGAGCCGCTTGCTCTGGAGCCCTGTTGGAGTCAAGGGACCCAGGGCCTGCAGATGGGGGGCTGTGTGCCAGAGGAGCAGTCAGCATCTGCACCCCTTTACAGTACATAGAGAACACACTGGCTCAGTCCCCGGCCGCATCCAGGAGGCTCTGAGCTGGCGCCCTGGCTTCTCCATCCGTCCTGTTGGATCCTCACAAACTCACGAGTACTGGCTTCATTTTCCACCTGTGGAAACTGAGTCCTGAGGCCCAGTGACTCCTCAGACAGCTGATGGGGCAGCAGCCAGACTGGACCTTGGCCCTCTGCCCCAAGGTCAAATGGGCCTCTTGCCATTTAGGGTGTGGCCTGCAGCAGTGTGAGCCCAGGTTTGGTTTCCCCGGTCAAGAGTGGAAACTCCTGTGTGACCCTGCCTCATCCCTTCTGCACCCACCAGTCCCCCCAAGGCCAGGCCCGCCCCTGAGATGTCCAGTCCTGTCTGCCTGTTCTCTGAGCTGGGTGTCAGAGCCCTGGCTTCTGTCCTGGTTGCCCCGTCTTAGCCAGCTGGGGCTTCTCTCCTCTGTGCCTTGTTCTTCGTTAGAGGATGTAGAAAGGGAGCCCGGGACAGACAGGGCTCGAAGTTTATGCATGTGCACATGCACGTGCATGTGCAGGTGTTGGCACACGTGGCAGAGACAGAGGTGCATGTGTCTAGCATTGTGTCTGCTCAGGAGCACAATGACAGAATGTCAGATGTTTGAGTAAACTGAGGAAGAGCCTGACCCAAGACCACACAGCTAGTCTGTGACAGCCGACTCCCGATTCCCTGGCATCACACTTTGTCCCCTGCGTGGCACGTGGGGCTGCCCTGGCCCCTGGCACGCTTTGCTCTCAGATGTGCAGAACTGAAGCAGGAGTTGGGCCTGAGGGCGGGCAGGGACCTCGGGCTACTAAGCAGGGCTCAGGGAGGCAGTGGGCCAAGCTTCCAGAAGCCCCCGGGGAAAACCAGCCACGAAGGCCCTGCTTACCCATTGGCTGAGATAATAAACGTTGCCTGTGTGGTTTTACCTCGGCCGTGAATGCCAGTCCTTTCCTCCGCAGCTCCCTTCCTCGCCCCTTGGTGGCCAGGCGCTGTTGGGGTCCTCAGGGTCTTCTGCAGCACGGGGGAAAAGAAGAAGCCACTGGGTCGGGAGGCCCAGGTCCCCACGCCACCTCCTGTGTGACCCGATGAACAGTAGCTGTAGGAAGGAAATGAGGCTTTTCCAGCCACTAACACAGAAGGGGCTGGACCCAGCTGTGGGAGCCTCCTGTGGGCTGCTCCAAACTCTTAGACTCAGAGGCATGAGCCGGGCATGGTGGCTCATGGTTGCTATCCTAGCGCTTGGGAGGCTGAGTCGGGGGGATCGCCACAGTGCAAGGCCAGCCTGGGCTCCATAGTGAGTTCAAAGCCAGCCTGAACTACATCATGATGCCCTGTTTCAAACACCAAAGAGCAAGAAAGTAAGAGTGAGCTCCCGAGACAGCGATTAAGTACACGTGTGTACTTTGCAACCTGTAACACATTTTATTTTATTTTTAGTTCTTGCAACATGGGGGATGGAACCCAGGGTGTCATGCATGCTAGGCAAGTGCTATACCTCTGGGCCACATTCCCGTCCCTCGAAATGTGTTTTAAATGTTCCCTGGCTACAGCTCTTTTCTAGCTTCTGGCATATTTTGCATATTGTTGTTTGGGTAATGAGGGTGATGGTGATCCCTTAGGCTCCAGGAAGAGAAGGGCATTGTGGAGCCTCCATCCTCACCAGGCAGGGCCCCCCCTCTTATCACCGTTCATCTCATTCGATACTTAACCACAGCCCTGTTTGGAAGAAATTAACTTTTTAAAATCAAGATAGAAGTCACGTGACATAAAATGCACCACGCACAGTCTACAAAGCAGTGTTTTAGTGGATTGACAAGGTAAAGTGGCCCCTAAGGTCAGAACACATCCCCCTAAAGAGAAACATTGATCCTGCCCAGTGTAGTGGCTCACACCTGTAATCCCAACTTTAGAGGCTGAGGCAGGAGGCTCTCCATGAGTTCGAGGCCAGCCTAGGCTATGCAGTAAACTCTGGCTGGCCTGAACTACACGGTGAGACCTTGCCTCAAACGAACAATGAAACCAAAAATAAAACAAAAACTAAAAGAAACCTCAATCTCTCCCCATTCTCTGCCCACACCCCTGGTAACTATTGGTCTGTTTCTGTATTCATGGATTCTCCTGCTCTGGACATTGCATGGTAGTGAGGTCACACAGTGCATCGTGGCATTTCGGGACTGGCATCTGTCCCTCTGCATAAAGTTTTCCAGGTTCAGCCGCACTGTGGCAGGCGCCATTTCCTTTTGCTGGCTGATTAATCCTCTTTCCATCTGGTTGAGCACTTTGAGGGGGTTTGTCCTTGGAAATGATGCTGCCCCACACTGGGTCTTTTTGTGGGTGAGGATGTCGAGTGGAGGGAGACAGAGCAGAGGTCCTCAGTGGCCCCGCCGCCGTGCAGTGGGCAGCGGAGAGCCAGCCCAAGCATGGGTCTCTCCATGGGACCACTCTCTGGGGCTGGCTCCAGCCCTGGGTGGTAGCTTAGGAGCCAAGTCTGTGACTGATGACCGCATCCTCTCCCGGGCAGGGGTGCTGCCGTTACCCCAGGACACAACTGTGGAGCTGGGCTGTGCTGGGGGCCCACTGCGTGTGACCCTGGGCCTGCAGCAGGCCACCGTGTTGAACTGTGGTCTGGGCGCTGCTGCCTTGGGGCCCCCCAGCCAGGTGACCTGGAGCAAGGACGGGGATGTCCTGCTGGAGCACGACCACCTGCGGCTGCTGCCCAATGGCTCCCTATGGCTGTCACCTCCCGAGGACAGTGATGAGGTGGCCCCTGTGGCCACGGGAACCATTGAAGGCAACTATTCCTGCCTGGCCCATGGCCCCCTCGGAGCAGTGGCCAGTCAGACCGCGATGGTCAGTCTCGCTGGTAAGTGCCGCCCCCCTCTAGGGGGCACTGAGGGTGGGGTCTGCAGTTAGCTGCTTGTCTTTGAGCCCGCACCCCTCCCCCTGCCTCCGTCCTACTCTGGGATCCTTGGATGGTCCCCCTGTGGCTCAGTAACCTTTGCCATGCTTCTGTACCATCTGCCCTTTCCTTTCCTCTGCTTTGAGTTCAGAGTCTGGAGTTTAGTCACCTCGAGGAAGCCCAGAGCGGCTGCAGGAGGTCAGGGCCCTGGAGGAGCAGCCCCGTACAGCTGGCCCTTGTGGGCTCTCGGGAGCCCGGGCCACATGGACTGTGCAGCATCTCACCCCAGGGCGCATCTCGGTGGCACTGGGTGGGGGACCCTGGAGCCCAGGCTCCTGTCCTTCATGTTTCTGTTGCTGTGTGTCACTGTGCTCGCTGGGGGCCCCATGCGCCTGCTGTGTCTGCCTGTCCCTGCCCCCAGCCCTTTCAGACTTCCCTCTGCACCCGGAGCCTCAGACGGTGGAGGAGAACGGGACTGCTCGCTTCCAGTGCCACACTGAAGGGCTGCCGGCTCCCGTCATTACCTGGGAGAAGGACCAGGTGATGCTGCCTGAGGATCCTCGGTGAGTGCCCTGTGGGCTGGGTCCCCACAGGCAGGGCCGAGAGGGCTCCAGGACGGGCGTGGAACTGGGGGTTCTCAGCCTGCAGGTGGCTTCTTTCACCTAACCTAACCTGAGAGCCGACTGCCTCGTGGCCCCCAGTTCAGTTCTGGTCCCTGAGAGCACAGCTGCCCCCATGCTGCAGTGGTGGTGGAGTTCTGGGCGCACGTTCAGTTCAGTCCAACCCCTTGCTTTCTGGAGCAGATTGAGCACCAGGAGGGCTGAGGTCCATCCTGGCCACCCAGTGAGTGCCCAGCAGGATGTTGGTTGTTCACAGGGAACCCTGAGGCTACTAGGGGAGTCCCACCCATACCCACTTTTAGTGCTGCCTGCCTATAAGGGCAGAGATTGGTGGAGGAAGCGGCTGCCAGACCCAGGAGCGGGTTCCCCTTGTGGCTGCCTGGGCAGGTCTAGATGGGTGCGTGGTCACTGGCTGGCTCCATCTCCTGCTCTTGTGTGGGGAGTGGGGCTCCTTGGCTGGGAAACCCTGTCTTTCACTGCCCTCCCTGGGACTCGCCTCTCCACTGTCTAGCTGTCCTGCCTCCTCCGACTCTTGCCCAGATGTAGGTAGGCGTGAGGGGAAGAGGAGAGACTCCTGGGTAGAGAAACCACTGGACTCTGTGAAGGCAGAGATTACAGAGAGCACTGAGAGGTCAAGATGTAGGGGCTGGGGATTTAGCTCAGTGGCATAAGCGCCTGCCTTGCAAGCAGGCAGTCGTGAGTTCGATCCCTGGTACCGGTAAAAAACGAAAACGAAAAAGAGAGGTCAAGATGTGTGAGATCTGGGGACCGAGTCTCTCCTTCCTTGATGCAGCTTTTCTTCTGGCCTGGTCTTAGTCTTACCTGTCATGGAATCGGGGAGGAGTCAACTAGATCATGGTTTCCCAAAGCATGGCCCTTGTGGGACACTGGTCCCTTAGGGTGCTTTATTGTCCTTGGATAGAACAGGAAACGGCTTACGCATCTCCCTGTTGGAGTCCACATGACCCAAGAGGTGCTGTACTGAATCATCTGATTTACTCCTTTATTTTATTTTATTTTATTTTATTTTTTTGTCTTTTTCCTTTTTATCGGTACCGGGGACCAAACTCATGACTGCCTGCTTTCAAGGCAGGCGCTTATGCCGCTGAGCTAAACCCCCAGCCCCTGATTTACTCCTTTAACCGAGCGCAGCCCGGGCCACCATGCAGGGACCCTACCCTGACCCTAACCCACACTGCACCCTACAAGCTCTGTGCATTTCTGAGCTGGGACCCCTGCCCGCCGTGGATGGGAGACCCCAGAATTCAGAGCAGGTGGGCCAGGGGACACTTGGGAACCAGGGTGGCAGGTGCCACAGGCCCCTTCGTTTTCCTCCCCTTCTTGCCTTTTACCTTTTTACTCACTTCGTTATTCTGGGCATTTTCTTTCTTTCTTTTTTTCCCCCCATACCAGGGATTGAACCCAGGACCTTCACACTGAGCTGCATCTTCACCTTTTCCTAACGTTTCATTTTGAGATAGGGTCTTGCTAAATCACCAAGTTGCCCAGGCTAGGTTTGAACCTGTGATCCTGCTTCAGCCTCCCAGTGTGCTGGGATCAAAGGCTCACGTCTCCACACCGGCTCCTGCCGCCTCCGTCCTGTCTCTCTCTCAGTTCAGGGAATCTGAACTCAGGGCCTCACCCATGCACGGGACCCATTCACTGAGCACTGCGCCGGCCAGGCACTGGTCACCCCTTTTGCATGTGTACTCTCATCTAATCCTTCTTGTCTTTCTTCAAGGTAGGAATTTCTCATTTTTCTAGATTTAATTTATTCTCATAGAAGATGCATTTTAGGGGCTGGGGATTTAACTCAGTGGCATAAGCGCCTACCTTGCAAGCACGTGGTCATGAGTTCGATCCCCGGTACCAATAAAAAAAAAAAGAGAGAGAGAAGATGCATTTTAAAAATTCATATAAACGAAAGAGAAAAGAAACTATCCATTGTCTTTTTTCTTTTTAAGGTTTTTTTTTTTTGTTTGTTTGTTTTTTGGAGAAAGGGTCTTGCCATGTAACCCAAGCTGGGCTTTACCTCAGGATGATCCTCCTGCCCAACTCCCTGGATGCCAGGGTTACAAGTATGCAACACCATGCCTACCTAGCTCACTACTGATTAGTTTTATCACCATTGTTACTTTTCTTTATTTTTATTTTTGGTACTGGGAATAGAACCCAGGGATGCTCTACCACTGAAATACATCCCCAGCCCTTTTGATTTTGAAACAGGCCCTCACTAAATTGCCTAGACTGGGCTCAAACTTTTGATCCTCCCATTTCAGCCTCCCAGCATGCTGGGATTACAGATGTGCCCCACCAGATCCTGTTATTGTTTTAAAATATTTACATTATATTGTACACACTGGGTGTTTTTCATTCAATTAATGACAATAAGATAGTCTTCTTGAAGCAAAAACTTTTCTCACTTAACAGTAATGATCAGGCTTCCAAATCTGAGCATGCAGGTTCGAGATATTATTTCTGGATTGTCAAGTACAAGGACTGAGGCTCAGAGGCAGAGTGACTTTCCTGGGTCACCCAGCTGCTCCTCGGGGTTGAATTCCTGGCTCTGTGTGTGGGTGGATGAGACACAGAGCCCTATGGAGCTTCAGGGTCTGAGGAAGACTGAAGATCTTCGGTCCAGCTGGGGCCCAGAGCAGAGCATCCCAGGGGCGGGGAGGCCCAGACCTCAGCTCCTGGCACTCGGTTCAGGCCCCAGCCCACAAAGCCTCGGTCCTCACCGTGAGGCCAGAGCTACAGGAGCTGGGCTTCACCAGTGTTGGCCCCCAAGTCCTCTGAAAAGTGACCTTCATCTGTAAAGAAGCCAGGCCCAATGGTGTGGGGAGTAAAGAGGTGTCTGCAGCAGGGCCCAGGGACACCCCAGCTGTGTATTTTCACGCCAGCTGGTATCACGTGCATAAAAATGTGCTGTTCATACCCTGGGTCGTCATGCAGTTAACCAGCCCTGTCTGGTAGGGCAGATGTGCATGTGCTGGGATACGACGGTAAAGCCTAGACCCCTAGGCACCTCCCTGGTATTTACACTAATTTTTAATAATAGGGGATAATCCAAGGGATGATTTCTCTTTTATGGAAACCTGTAATCAGTGAAAGCAGTGTTTCCCAGTGCTGGCGGCTCACAGGCACCTCTGTGATTCCGCCTGTGCTTGTCGAGTTTATGCAGGCATCTAGTGTTTTTCTTTATGTCTACTTGCTGTCTTGTAACTTAACACACATTTAAAGAACACTGTCACCGGGACTGCAGTTCAGCGGTAGAGCACGGCGCTTAGACCCTGGGTTCCGTTCACTCCCCCCAAGTGACTGCTGTAAAGTAAAAAACCAGCAAAGTTTGCCGGACGTAGAAGACAGCCAGAAAAACAAACACATTCTACTGGAACAGAAAAAGTGCCTGAGCCAGGCATGGTGGCACACACCTGGGATCCCAGCACTCAGGAGGCTGAGGCAGGGGGATCCTTACAAATTTGAGACCAGTCTAGGCAAAAAGTGAGCTCAAGTCCAGCCTGAGCTGCATAGTGAGACCCTGTCTCAAAAATAAAAACAAAAACAAAACAAAATAAAATACCCACAAAAACGTGCCTGTGCCCCTTTGAAGTCATTTTTTTTTAATCAGCACTTACCCACTCTATGTCTTTCCTGCAGGACCAGTGATTGAACCCAGTATCTTCATCCTGGGCCACATCCCCATCCCTTTATTAGTTTTGGAGACAGGATCTTGCTAAGTTGTCAGGCTGGATTTGCAGTCTTCCTGCCTCAGCCTCTTGAGTGCTAGGATTACAGGAGTAGACCACCACACCTGGCTCTGTTTTTCTTTGTGGTGTTTTTGTTTGTTTTTCTGTGTACTAGGGATCGAACTCACGACCTCACGCTTGCCTCGCAGGTGCTTACACCGCTGAGCTAAATCCCAGGCCGTGTTCTTGTTTTTGAGACAGGGTCTCCCTGTGTAGCTCAGGCTGGCCTTGAACTCATAATGATCCTCTTGCCCCAGCCTCCCAAGTGCTGGGAAGACAAGCATGCCCCGCCATGCCTGGCTCTTCTGTGTTCTTTAGTCTCGGTGCCCAAATGACTTTTTGGGGTAAGGGCAGCAGACTTAGATTTAGGAATGGAAGAAGAATGATCACTTCCACGGCTTGGTGTGGTTGCACAGGCCTATGATCCCAGCACCTAGGAGGCTGAGGCAGGAGGAGCAGAAGTTCAAGTCCAGCCTGGGCGATTTAGTGTGACGCTATCTGAAGAAAGAAAGTAGGTAGGGGCTGGGGATTTAGCTCAGCGGCATAAGCACCTGCCTTGCAAGCAGGTAGTCGTGAGTTCGATCCCTGGTACCGATAAAAATGAAAAAGACAAAAAAAAAGTAAAAAAAAAGAAAGTAGCTGGGGTGGGGCTGGTGGTATAACTCAGTGTGAAAGCCCTGAGTTCAGTCCCTAGTACTGCCAATAATAATTATTATTTTTTAATTTTATTATTATTTCTTTTTTTTTTGCGGTACTGGGGATTGAACTCATGACCTCATACTTGCCAGGCAGGCACTTATGCCACTGAGCTATATCCCCAGTGCCTTGTTTTTTGTTTTTGAGACAGGATCTTACTATGTAGTTCAGGTTGGCCTTGAACTCCTTAGGTAGCCCAGCGTGGCTTTGAACTCACAGTGATCCTCCTGCTTCAGCCTTCTCCAATGCTGGGATTACAGGTGTGGGCCTTACTAGGTCTGGCTTTTTTTTTTTTTTTTGTCTTTTTCGTTTTTATCAGTACCAGGGCTTGAACTCATGACTGCCTGCTTGCAAGGCAGGCGCTCATGCCGCTGAGCTAAATCCCCAGCCCCTTAGGTCTGGCATTTGAATTTATTTATTTTTTGGTATGGGGAATCGAACTCAGGACCTTGCACTTGCCAGGAAAGCCCTGAGCTGCTGAGCCATAACTCCCAGCCTGAATTCATTTTAAAATGATAAAATATAAAACTTTATAGAACAGGGGAAAATTCAGCGGTTGACTAAACAGCGTTATTCCCATTTTGTGTGTTTCTCTGCAGTGTGTGTGTGGCTTCACCACTGCACGGGTGGTTGGAGCCCGGGCTCCCAGGTGCTATTCCTGGTCTCATGTGGGCTCGCAACTCGTGAAGGAGCCAGGGCTGCGAAGTAGACCGGACAGGGATCATGGAATCCATTTCTCAGATGGGGAAACTGTGGCCCAGAATGGTACTGTCGCTGGTCAAATCCTATGTAATGACCAGTTCCCTGCCCCTGCCTCTGCTGCTTTGGTGCTGGGGCCTGGAGTTAGGAGACAGCAGTTACACTTTCAGATGGAAGCCACTTCCAGGTTTCCAAACTAATCTAATTCACTATTTAAAAAAAAAAATCAAAAAACCTCAACAAGTAAGAGTTTCTGGTCATCTCCTCTCAGAGAAAACTCCACGAACTGTGTGTGCTTTGCCAAACTTTTCTGCACAAATCGTAAGGTATCATTTGTCTATTTTCCAAAAATAGAATTCCTTCCTAAACAAGGTTTGATGACCTTTCTCCTCCACTAACCAGTGTTTGTTTGACATCTTTTTTGTATTTTCACAAAACAGAAAAGGTTTTGTGTGGGGCTTGTTTTTGTTTTTAATATAGTTTTGCTATGTAGTTTAGGCTGGGCTTGAACTCACTGTGGAGTCCAGGGTCGCCTTGAATTTGTGGAGACCCTCCTGCCTCAGCCTCCTGAGTGCTGGGATTACTACACGCAGCAAGAAAAGAAAAAAGGTTCTAGATGGGTGCTAACAGTGCTTCCACCTCACCTCTGTTACTTGCCAAAGGAAGTATTACCTTTGGGACCTGGGGCAGGATTTCCCTGGAAAGATCAAGAAGCTTTGGAGTTAGGGAGTGGAGGTGCAGCCAGCTAGAGGAGAAAGGTCCATAGGGAGGGGAAGAGAAAAGGTGAGGGGAGGGGAGGGGAGGGGAGGGGAGGGGAGGGGAGGGGAGGAAGTCTCTCCGAGTCAGGGCAGGTCTGGAGGCAGCAGGGGCTCATTTCCTTGGGGTCCTGCTTGCCCTTTGCCATCACTGTTTTTGTCCTTGTCACTGCCGTGGGTCCTGTGGAGGCTTCCCCTTGGCCCTGCTCTCCCCTAGGCCGCTGCCAGAGGGATGGGAGAGGGGTGTCGTCAGAGGTGGCTTAGCCTGTGGGCCGGAGAAGGAGGGTACAGGTTTGTGCTTTTCCCCAAGTCCCGGGGCCAAGCAGATTTCCAGGCTGGTGCCCAGGATCTCTCCCTACCCTGCATCCCAGGTGTTGCCCAGTTTCTTCTGCCCAGCCTGACCTGCACCCTGGGGCCAGGGTGACTCTGCAGGGGTCCCCGTTGGAGGATTCAGGGGGCCCCGCCCTGCAGCCCCTCTGCTGCCCACCACCCCTTCCCCCAGAAACCGAACTCTCCAGCCTGGGGGTGCAGACTGTGACCACTGGGGACCGTCCCTACACCTGAGGCTGTTGAGATAGCCGGTGGGATGGATGCGGCACTGGGCACCAGAAGATCTGGGTTCAAATTTTACCTGCAACAGCTCGGTCACCCTGGGAAAACACCCTCCCCTGAACCTCCATGTTGCCCCCTGTAAAAAAGCAGTTGTGCGCCCCTCAGTCTGGTGGGCTCATTTTGAGGGTCAGAGGAGACAATGTGAATAAGAGAATTTATCAGATTAGGGAGGCTATAACCTGAGCTAGTGTCGGTGGCGAACACCAGTAATGCCTGCACTCTGGGAGGCTGAAGCAGGAGGATTGTGAGTTCGAAGCCATCCTAGGCCATTTATTTATGTTTGTTTTGTTTTGCTTTGCTTTTGGTACCAGGGATCAAACTCACGACCTCATGCTTGCCAAGCAAGCACTTGTGCCTAGGATTCCCAGCCCAAATCCTAGGCAGTTTAGCCAGATTCTGTCTCAAAATTAAAAATTTAAAACAGACTGGAGATGTAGTTCAGTGTAGACCTTGGATTCAATCCCCAGTGCCACCAAAAGAAAAAAAGAGAAGAAATCAGGTTGTATGAGAGATATATGGCTATACTGTCCCTCCGGTCCCCCTCCCAAGCAGCTAGCATTGCAGGGACCCTGGTGCACCCTCCTGTGTAGATGTGATCCTGCCTCTCTGTGCTGCTGTTGTCCAGGGAGCTCAGCCTCTGCCAGCAGGTGAGGAGCTGTCTCCTTTCCAGCCCCACCATGTCCCCAACCTAGTCCCATGTAGCCCTCCCTGCCCGCAGATGGACTCCCTGCTCCAGTCTCCGGGCTGGAGTGGATGTCATTGGTCAAACATTACCGTGCATATTCACGTGACCATCTGTAAGCTAGAGTCCCAGAGGTGGCACTGCTGGGTCAAAAAGGCCCATGTGGCTTGAATGTCGAGCTGTTACCGCCTTGACCTGGAAAGTAGATGTGGGTAAAGCAAGGCAGGAGTCCGGGCTCCCTGGGGCACCCCTGTGACCCCAGTGTTAAATGCGTGACTTCCTGAGCGCCCCCCACAACTGCCTTCTTCCTGTGCCCTAGGCTCATCATCCTTCCCAACGGCGTCCTCCAGATCCTGGACATTCAGGACAGTGACGCAGGCTCCTACCGCTGTGTGGCTGTCAACTCAGCCCATCAGCGCTTCAGCCACGAGGCCCCGCTCACTGTGGCCCGCAGAGGTAGGGGGGCTGCAGGGTGAGGGACGCGGAGGTTTCAGGACAGCTGCCTGTGAGCTGAGAGGTGTCAGGAGGGGTGCAGGCCCTGCCTTCAGGTGGGTGCCAGGCAATTGGTCCCACTGGATGGGGAAGCAGTGGTCCCCAGAGAGAACAGTGCCACCCAGCCAAGCGGGGAGGGTCCTGGGGCAGGCACCAGACCCTGACTTCTTCCTGTGGAGTCGATGGGCGGGACTGGAGGTGAGCCACCTCCTCAAAGCCCTTCCTCTGTCCCTAGCTTTCTGGCCCTATGAGCCCCAAGACCTTGAGGCTCCAGGCCTTTACCCTGCTGGGCTCTCTGCAGGTGCTGCTCTCCTTTCCGCCCCTCTTTGTGACAGGAGTAGGAAGGGCAGAGGCTTTGAGGTCACAGTGACCTGGTTTGAATCCCCATCCGAATGACCCTGGACCCGTTATCAGATGTCCTAGAGTGGTCAGGGGGCCACTTAGAGGACAGTGGGCAGTGCCGGGTACTTTGTGGGTGCTGTGCAGACTACAGAGCTCATGTCAAGCCCCCAAGGCAGCCCCCCCATCTGTCACATTGCTCCTCACCCCATGCCCGAGGTCTCTGCCTCCACCTGCTGGACAAGCCAAATGTTCCTGATCTCTGCCCGTGGCCACTCCCACTGAGAACTGGGTTGGGGGTCAGGGCTGGAGTGCTGCTGTGCTCACGCCCACCCTGCCTCTCCCCATGGGAACCCAAGGTGCTCTGAGATTTGCCTGAGGTCACACCGCTGCAGTGCTGGAACTAGAAACTCTGAGCCCTGAGCCGAAGTCTTGGTAGGGAAGGCCGGGAAGGCTGAGGGAGGGCAGAGCTGTCCAGCCTGGTCCCTGGAGCCGCGGTGGAGGTGGGCTCTCCTGGTTGCAGGAGAAACAGCTCCGAGCTGGTGCCTACTTCCCTCATCTCTGCCCAGGGTGTCCCTGCTGCAAACAGGGCTCCAAAGATGTTCACTGCCTGTCTTCTTGCCAGGGTCCCTGGCGGCCACCAGGGGGCAGGATGTGCTCATCGTGGCAGCGCCAGAGAACACCACGGTGGTGTCCGGACAAAGCGTGGTGATGGAGTGTGTGGCCTCAGCTGACCCCACCCCTATCGTGTCCTGGGCCCGGCAGGGTGAGTGGAGAGGGCAGGGCAGGAGCAGGGGAGAGATTGGGTGGCATCTCTCATGTCCCCACGTCACCAAACTTGCAGTGTGGTGGGGACTAGTGTGGCCTGGGATCTTATTCCTGTCCCTCTGATGGTTCCACAGGTGAGTGACAGCCGGAAGGTGCCCCTTAGCCAGCCGTGGGTCTGGGGGGCCACGAAGCTGCCACTTGGTCCACCCAGTGTGCTTTGGCCTTGTGTGTCTGGCACGGCACTTGGCACAGGGAACAAACAAGATGAGAGGCAGGGCTCACAGTGACCAGGGAGATAAACACCACGCCCAGGAAGAGAGAGGTGGCGGCCACGTGTGAAGTCCCCGCGAGACTGAGTTCCTGGAGGTGCTGCAGGATAAGGAGGGCTCTGGGCCTGACCGCACCCTGCATGGGGTCTGACCTGGTCTCCTGCCAGAGCCACCCAGAGCCCTCTGGGGACAGTAGGGCTCAGGACTGTCATTCCCAGTGCTCAGATGAGGAATCCAGGGTTCACAGAGCCATCGCCCAAGCTCCAGTGCCCCTTCTTCCCACTGCCCCACTCCCCACAGTCCTGCAGAGGGAAAGCAGTGACTTGTCCCGAGTTGACGGCACATGTGTTAAATCCAGCTGTCTTTCTGCTCCTTCCCTGAGTCACCCCACTACCTTACACTGCCACCTTTTTAATGTTTATATCTCAGGCACTGGGCAGGGTATGGAAGCCTGGATGTGGTGGCGCATGCCAGTAATCCCAGCACACTGGGAGGCTGAGGCAGGAGGAACCCAAGTTTAAGCCCAGCCTGGGCAAGGTGGCAACTTAGCAAGAACTTGCCTCAAAATTAAAAAACAAATAAATTAAAAATTAAAACAATAAACAATAAAAAGGATCTGGGATGAAGCTTAGTACCACAAGGCTCTGGATTGAGCCTGCAGTACTGAATAAAAAAGTATATACTAAGTACTTTAAAAATAAAAAAATGGAATAACGGCTCACCACTGAGCAGATGGAATACAACAGTACTGGTATCTTGCAGCGGGTGAACTACACTCCCCCACTGGACTGCAATCCTTCCCCAGTTAGGAGGACCCCAGGGCGAGTGAGACCCTGGTACTATTACTGGGGTAGTTTGTGACGTCACCAGAGTCCTGGTATCAACATCTCACCAATCTCTGCCATGTATCAGGGTTACCCAGAGAGCATCTTTTTTTTTTTAATCGGTACCAGGGATCAAACTCACGACCGCCTGCTTGCAAGGCAGGTACTTATGCTGCTGAGCTAGATCCCCAGCCCCCAGAGAGCTTTTTAAACTGCAGCCACCCAGAGCGCTCCCCAATCCCGCAAGGTCGGAAAGAGGCGCCCAGAGCTACTAAGAAATCCAGACCCTGCGGCCTGCGCTAGGCCTCCACTGCCTGCTGGGGGCGCTGCGCTTGATCCTGAGAGGCCCCTGCACGGGGAGGCCGCTGACCCCGTCGCTGCAGCCCCTCGCCTCCAGCAAGTCTGCTCAGCACTGCTGCATTTCCCTCCCGGAGCCTGCTGCTGGTCTAGGAATTAACTTCACCGAGTCCGGGAAGAGGCGTGGGCTTTTCATGTTTTGTTTTGTTTTGTTTGCTGACTGCAAATGCAGTACAGATTCACTGTTTTAGAAAACTAGGGAAAAAAATAAGAAGCAGAAAAATATGCCACGACTCAGAGATAAAAATGGTCCGCATATGCATGTATTTTCTTCCAGGACTTTTTTCTATGCATATGTGCGCTTCCTTCTGAAATGAAAAAAGCCTGCCGTGTTGACAGTTCCAGCCTTTATGATATTCAGCAGGCTAGGATAAGCATTCCCCAACTTCCACATGTCTCCTAAAATAATTTTAATGACTATATACTGGTCCGTCGTTTACATACAGCTATAGCCAGGCATGGTGGCCCAACCTGACCTCTCAGCACTTGGAAGGCTGAGGCAGGAGGATCACAAGTTCAAGGCCAGGCTGGGCAATTAAGCAAGGGCCTGTCTTAAAAGGAAACAGATCAAAGTCTGCACATACTCCGCTCTTGGGTCTGTTCAGACTTGGCCATGGTTGCCTTCCTCACAGGAAGGCAAGGGGCTAGGACCCCAGGGGAAACCGAGTTGAATGGTGGTGGCTGATTGCCAAGGCGTGTTCTGTGGTGTTGCAAACCTGAGCTCTACCCGGACTAAGTCTCTGTCCCTCGCGGCCGCCCTTCCTGCCAGGAACAGTGCCTACTCAATGCCGAGGCAGGAGGGCTCCGGGAGGGTCTCTGGGCAGACAAGAGGGGGCGCAGAGGTTGGGGCGCAGTGGCCGCGCCCTGCCCCAGCGCGCCCCTGTCCTGCCGCAGACGGGAAGCCGATCGCCACGGACGTCATCGTCCTGGGCCGCACCAACCTGCTCATCGCCAGCGCGCAGCCCCGCCACTCGGGCGTCTATGTGTGCCGCGCCAACAAGCCCCGCACGCGCGACTTCGCCACGGCCGCCGCCGAGCTCCGCGTGCTGGGTGAGGCTCGCGGGGGAGCGCGCAGGGGACGGGGTGGAGCACCGGGAAAGACAGGAGCACCAGGGCGGCGAGCGGTGGGGGGTGTGGGAGTGACCAGGGCCTAGATTGGGTGACTGAGGTATGGGAAGGGTGAGTGCTAGGTAACGGGAGGGGAGGGATTGTCAGAGAGAACACGATGGGCTAAACACAAATCTCTAATCCCAGCACTGTGGGAGGTTGAGGCAGGAAGATCCAAAATTGAAGCCCCGCCTGGGCAATTTAGGGAGACCCTGTCTATTTGAAAGTTTTATTATTATATTTTATTTTATTTTTTGTCTTTTTAAGACAAGGTTTCAGGCTGGCCTTGAGCTCATTTTGTAGTCTAGGCTATTCTTGAACTTGCAACGATCCTCCTGCCTCAGCCTCTCTGGGGCTAGTTATTGTTTGTAAAGGATTGGGGCCGTAGCTCAGGGTGAATGTCTGTCTGCAGTTCAGTTCCCAATATATATGGGGCCAGGCTTACTCAGGCCTGAGCCGCGCAGTGGAAAGACTCTAGGTGTGGAAGCCGCTGGAGGACAGGGAGAAGCCAGTGGCCAGGACAGTGGAGGAGGCCGAGTCAGGGGGGTCTAGATGATGGAGCGGGCTGTGGGGACAGGTAGAGCCCTGGTGACCGAGCCCGTGGTCAGTGTTGCCTTCTCCGCATCGTAGAGGCCCCCACCATCGTGCAGGCGCCGGAGGCACTGTCGCGGACCCGAGCGAGCACCGCGCGCTTCGTGTGCCGTGCGTCTGGGGAGCCACGACCCACGCTGCGCTGGCTGCACGACGGGGCGCCGCTGCGGCCCCACGGTCGCATCAAGGTGCAGGGTGGCGGCGGCAGCTTGGTCATCACGCAGATCGGCCTGCAGGATGCCGGCTACTACCAGTGCGTGGCGGAGAACAGCGCCGGGACTGCATGCGCCGCGGCGGCCCTGGCTGTCGTGGTGCGTGAGGGGCTGCCCAGTGCCCCCACGCGGGTCACCGCCACGCCACTGAGCAGCTCAGCCGTGCTGGTGGCCTGGGAGCGGCCCGAGCTGCACAGCGAACAGATCATCGGCTTCTCTCTGCACTACCAGAAGGCCCGGGGTAGGGGGACCCGTGGGACCTCCGCATAGGGTGGCGAGGGTGGGAGTGCAGGTCGGGTGCCTGCTGGGTATCTTTGGGGTAGGATGGGTTGGGTGGGAGTCCGTGGGACAGATCTCTCTTCTTGATAAGCGATTCTGGGCACCTGGGAAAGTGCTTGCGGACTGTATCCCCTGCCTATCCCCTCTTGGAGGCATCTGCCACCCCGGGTCACTAACTTCCAGGGGTCACTTCCATCAGACACCAGCAGCTACTTCCTAACCCATGCAGGGACTGCTAACAGGTGAACCAGCAGCCCTGGGACTGTGCCCTCTGAGGCTCCAAACAGCTGGGAAGTTTTAGATGCAAACAGATCCATTTCAGAGACTGGGACAGTAGAGAGGATCGCTAGCCAGGCCCCGGCTGGCCAGTGCCTGGGATGGCTCTGTGACAGTCTCCTTGTCCCCCGTGTCACTATCCCAGGTGTGGACAACGTGGAATACCAGTTCGCAGTGAACAATGACACCACAGAGCTCCAGGTACAGGACCTGGAGCCCAACACGGACTATGAGTTCTACGTGGTGGCCTACTCGCAGCTGGGGGCCAGCCGCACGTCCACCCCGGCCCTGGTGCACACGCCCGACGATGGTAGGCTGGGGAGCAGGCCAGCCTGGGCCCAGTGAACCCCCTGGGGACAGTAGCTCCCTTTCCCTTTACTGCAGTCACCTGGCTCATGTCAGCTTTTGAGCCCTATACGGGAGGGGCGGGGATTCTCTCCCTAGCTTACAGTTGGAGAAACTGGGGCCCATGGCCAGTGGTACAGGTGGGAGTCGAGCCCAGGTCTTGGGATTCTCTGTCACACAGTCCTTCCACCTCACCCCCATGTGCCCTCCAGCAGAGGAGCAGCCCATGGCTGTGCTGTGCCCCACAGCGCTCTCTAGCTTCCAGGTGGAAAGGGCAACTCTCTTGTCCTGCAGCCTGGGGCTCCCCTAAGAGGCTCCCTTTCCTCCCCCAGAATCTGGGCCCGGGCCTCCCACATCGGTGGAGCCCTGCTCACGCCCTGTTCTTCTGTCTCAGTCCCCAATGCAGCACCCCAGCTCGCCCTGTCCAGCCCCAACCCCTCGGACATCAGGGTGGCGTGGCTGCCCCTGCCCCCCAGCCTGAGCAATGGGCAGGTGGTGAAATACAAGATAGAGTACGGTTTGGGAAGGGAAGGTAAGTGGGGAGGGGGGCAGAGATAGGGTGGCAGGTCTGCAGGATGAAGAGGGAATATGGAAGGGCCCAGGAGTCCCACCCCCTCTGCTGCTGCAGCCTGAAGTCTATCGAAATCCTGCCTCAGTTTCCAGACCTGTGGAATGAGGCAGGTTGCCTGGGTCAACCTTGGGGCCCAGAAAGCAGAAGAGAGATGGGGCAAGGGTGTTAGTGGGATCGGGAAACGGGCCCAGGGAGGGCAAGTCACATCTGTAGGTGATGTGGGGACAGCAGCGAACAGGACAGCTAGGAGGAGCAGAGGGCGGGGGAGGAGAGAGGCAAGCAGGCAGGAAACAGGCCTGGGTGGTCGGCCAGGCCTGGATGCTGGGTGGCCCTTGGTGGCCACCCCTGTGCCTGCACCTTGGTGTGTGACGGTGTGCAGGTGAGGAGGAGCCTGGTGAGGTTTCCCCCTGGCCGAGTGGCGCTGCAAGGTCCGGAGCCAGCCCCCCCCCCCCCGGGGAGGAGCCAGGATCTGGAGTGGAAGCATCTACGTGGGGAGTGCAGGGGTGCAGGGGTCACGTCCTGAGGCAGCGACAACCAGCGCTGCCTTTTCTGTCCCCACAGATCAGGTTTTTGCCACCGAGGTTCCAGGGAACAAGACTCAGCTGACACTGCATTCGCTGCAGCCGAACAGGGCCTACAGGGTGCGGATCTCCGCGGGCACCAGGGCCGGCTACGGGGCCCCCTCCCCGTGGATGCAGCACAGGACGCCCGGGACGCACAACCAGAGCCATGGTACAGGTCAGAGGGCTCGGTGGGTGTGGCTGCGTGGAGTGCGCATGCCCTTGGAACCTGGGCCTCTGCACCCCCTCTGTGCCCCAGTCCGTGGGCAAGGGAGCCTGGGTGCAGGCTGAAGGGCTGGACAAGGGCTCAGGTGTCTCTTCTGTCCACCCTAGGACCTTGGCCAAGCCATTTGCAACTCTGAGCCTTACTGACTGCCCCAGGGTGGCACAGGAATTAATGAAGTGTTGTAAATAGGGTGGTTAGTACATTGTAAGAACTCATTAGCTGGGCATAGTGGTGCACACCTGTAATCCCAGCATTTGGGAAGCTGAGGCAAGGAAGATCGCTGCAAATTTAAGGTTGGCCTGGACTGCGAAGTGGGACCCTGTCTCAAACAAAGCAAAGCAAAACAAAACAAGCAGAACTTCAATGCAGACAAAACCCAGGACGCGTAGTAACTGTGTGGCACTGAGCCAGTTACTTAAATTCTGAGTCTCGGTTTTCCGGTCTGTAAAAGGATTTTGTATGAGAATACACATAAATACGTTGAGCGCCTCACACAGCGAGGAAGCTCCCTGCTTTTGGCCTTCAGCTGGGGTTTCCCAGTCCGATGACTCCAGCCCTGCTCCCTGGCCTCTGCAGCCCCTTTCCAGCATGCGCCCCTCTGGGAGGCTTCCTAAAGTCTGCTCTGTGCCCTGCCGGTCGAGGCCCCTCCTGCCCCTGTGCACATGCGCAGGAGACACACTTCTGGTCCCAGCATCTGCGTGCCCAGCGTGAGCGCAGGGACCCCCAGCAGTGCCTGAGAAAGGCCCTGGCAAAGCTCCTACTGACTGTGTCACCCTGCCTGTCCCCTCCCACCTCCTCCCCTCGGCCCCTCCTCCTCCCTCTCCTCTGGCCCAGTCCCTTTTGCCCCGGCAGAGCTGAAGGTGCGTGCTCGGATGGAGTCTCTGATCGTGTCGTGGCAGCCACCCCCCGACCCAGCCCAGATCTCCGGGTACAAACTGTACTGGAGGGAGGTGGGGGCCGAGGAGGAGGCTGAGGGCGAGCTGCGCCCCTCGGAGGTCCGGGGAGACCAGGCTTGGGACGTGGGGCCCGTCCGACTCAAGAAGAAAGTGAAGCAGTACGAGTTAACCCAGCTAGGTGAGGACCGGGGCGCAGGAGCAGGGACAGAATGTGCTCCGGGAGGTCCCAGTCGCCAGCACCAGCGAGTGACTTCCTGACCTCCCCAGTTCCCGGTCGGCTGTACGAGGTGAAGCTTCTCGCGTTCAACAAACACGAGGACGGCTACGCGGCGGTGTGGAAGGGCAAGACCGAGAAGGCACCCACGCCAGGTAAGGTGCTGGGGACCCGGCGGCGAGGCCCGGGGAGTGGCTGCCTCAGTTTACCCATGCTCCCAGGTAAAGGCCTCTTGCAGCCAGACTAGGAGAAACCGTGTGGTTTGAGGACTTTTAGGTCTGCTGCTTTATTTTTATCATCTGGGAGCACAGCTGTTTTGGAAGGTTTGGGCCGAGAACCCTGTGGTTGAGCAGTGATTCCTTACCCCCGAGTCTGACCTTAAAAAATTTTCAAAACACAGCTGCCTCTGTCAGCCTCGCCTTTAACTCCGGACAGGGAGGGCGCCCCCGTGTGGTGAACATCGATCACCTAGGTGACACCACCTCGCCCCGACTTCCCCGGCCAGAGTTTTCAATCACGTGGTTTAGCAGGCAAAGCTCCACTGGAAGCCAAGAAACTTGGGTTCTAATTTCAGTTTGTCCATTTATTCAGCACGTATTTTACTGAGTATCTACGCCGTGTCAGCTCTGTTCGGGGAATTTAGTGATGAAACAACACAAATAAGGTACCTGCCCCCCTGGCGTTTGTTTCCCAAATAAACGCGTATCAAATAATATATATTGAAGGCCAGATTTTCCCGTCTGCTTTACAGTGTCAAATGCAGAATATAAGCCTCATAACAACCCCATGAGCTAGGTACGGTCATCAATCAGATCCACTTCCGGAACAAGGAAGGGAGGCACAGAGAGCTTAAGGAACTTGTCCAGGGTCACACAGTGATAAGTGGCAGAGCTGGAATTTGAGCCCAGACGGCCTGGCTCCAGTGTGTGCTCTTAATTTCCACGAGGTGCCCTCTCTTTCTCTCTCTCTCACACACACACAAACACACACACACACATTCCTATATATGAGTGGTCTGCGTCTGCTGTGTGTGCTACCTTCACAAAAATCACTCCAAGTTCTGGAAGTTTCCTTTTCATTATGTGTGAGGTGGAAATAATGCCACAAGACTCAGGGCCACACTGCATGAGGTGTTGACCGACTGCAAGCCCAGCACTCTAGGAGGCAGAGGCAGAAGAATCACAAGTTCCAGCCCCACCTGGGCAACTAAGTGATTAATCCTGCCTCAAAATTAAAAAATTAAGAAGGGGCTGGAGGTGCAGCTTATGCAACATTGCCTAGTACCAACAACAAAACAAGTGGCCCAACCAAGGGAGGGCCCAAGGAGGAGGCTTGTGAATGTAGACAGCTGCATGGACTTAGGGATGGATGACCTCTCCTACCCGCTGTTCTTCGAAGATTTACCTGTCCAGCGGGGGCCACCCCTGCCTCCCGCCCACGTCCACGCGGAATCCAACAGCTCCACATCTATCTGGCTGCGGTGGAAGAAGCCGGACTTCACCACAGTAAAGATCGTCAACTATACCGTGCGCTTCAGCCCCTGGGGGCTCAGGAACGCCTCCCTGGTCACCTATTACACCAGGTGGGAGGGGGCTGAGGCTGTGACGGGGAGGGATGGGCTTACTTGAACATGGGGGCGCGCTAAGGGGCTGCAGGTGAGAAAGAGCCGCCGGATTCCACTGTCAGCGACACAGCTTGATCCCAGCCTCAGGAGCCTGACCTGTCGCTGGTCCCCATCTGAGAGCCCCGGGCCCTGGCCCTGTCCTCAGACCCGCCCGTAGAGGGCAGCAGCCGGGTCCCTGCTAGGATGACTCAGAGCACGGCGTGGAAGGCCGCGGAGATGCGCGGAGGTTGCCGAGGGGGCCATGCGGGGAGACAGAAGCAGCTCGGGTTCTTGGGGAGGCCCCTGGAGGAGAGCGCGGCTGGCTCATCGGAGAGGGGCTCGGGTCTGAGGTTCCTGGCCATTTCCTGCCGCAGCTCGGGAGAAGACGTCCTCATCGGCGGCCTGAAACCGTTCACCAAGTACGAGTTCGCGGTGCAGTCCCACGGCGTGGACATGGACGGGCCCTTTGGCTCGGTGGTGGAGCGCTCCACGCTGCCGGATCGTGAGTGCCGTCGCCACGCGGCCTCTCCTGGGCGTGAGCTGAGCTGAGCCCGCGGGAGTTTTTGGGAGGGAGGACGGGAGCAAAGCTCTGCGCGCCACATTGCTGCCGCCAGCACCCGGTCTACTGTGCTGCAGGAGGAAGAGGGGAGACCGCGCCCCCTCCCTTAAGCTGTCCTCCTCTAACCCTCTCTGCACTTAGGGCCCTCGACGCCACCATCGGACCTGCGTCTGAGCCCCCTGACGCCGTCCACCGTGCGGCTGCACTGGTGTCCCCCAACGGAGCCCAACGGCGAAATCGTGGAGTACCTGATCCTGTACAGCAACAACCACACGCAGCCGGAACACCAGTGGACGCTGCTCACTACAGAAGGTGAGGCTCCGCCCCCGGATCGCCCCGCCCCCGGATCGCCCCGCCCCGGATCGCCCCGCCCCCGGATCGCCCGGGCCCCACTAGCCCTGCTGACGTTGCCCCGCCCCTCAGGGAACATCTTCAGTGCAGAGGTGCACGGCCTGGAGAGCCACACGCGGTACTTCTTCAAGATGGGGGCTCGCACGGAGGTGGGGCCCGGGCCCTTTTCCCGCCTGCAGGATGTGATCACGTTGCAGGAGAAGCTGTCAGGTATAAGGGCAGCAGGGAGCAGGCTGCCAGGGACCCTCCATCTCTGGGCACTACTGCTCCTTGTTTCATCGTTTTGGACAGTTGCCCTGATTGGCAGGGATGGGGCAGATCTGCAAGGAAGTGGGATGGATCTGGGGTGGTTTGGTCAGGGCCACGGGTGAGGTTTAGAGTCCAGTTTCTTTGGCAGGATTGGTGTGATCAGGAGACAAGCTTTGTAGAGAGGAGATGAATAGCAGGACTGGCTGTGTCACTTGTGTGGCTCAGTCCAAAATGAAAATGCAAGACAGGTGTGGTAATGAACACATCTTTAATCCTGGCCACTTAAGAGGCTGAGACAGGAGGATCAGGAGTCGAGTTCAAGGCCAACCTAGGTAATTTAATGAGACACTGTCACAAAACAAAATATAAAAGCTGGGGATGTAACCCTCTGGGTTCAATGCTTACTACCAAAAAAAAAAAAAAAAAAAAAAAAAAGTGACCCTCCAAGGGGTAAAGCTGAGGCTGGTGGCTTCTGCAGAGGCCACACAAGTTACTTTCATCCATGAGCCCATGGCCTTCTCCAGTCCTTGATCTGCACTGACCTCTCTCCCCACCAGACTCCTTGGATGTGCACTCAGTCACAGGCATCATTGTGGGCGTGTGCCTGGGCCTCCTCTGCCTGCTGGCCTGCATGTGCGCTGGCCTGCGCCGTAGCCCTCACAGGTGAGCCCTCAGCTGCTCTTCCTGCAGGCAGGTGGATTTGCAGGAGAGGCTGTGGCCTGGGACTGGACGAGCCCTTCTCTTGCCTCTGCAGCCCCAGGAGCCCTGTTAAAGTCAGGACTCTGGGGCTGGGGGCTTAGCTCAGTGGTGGGGCTCTTGCCTAGCACACGTGTGAGGCCTGGGTTTGATACCTGCATGGCAGCAAAGGACTCTGAGATGAAGGGACGGGAGTGATGGTCTCCTGAGGACAGGGATGGGTTGGGGGGGGGCGCCCATATTGTCATCTGTAGCTGTTGGTCTCTTGGAAAGAGAGGCCCCGGATCTCTGTAGCACTGGAGCCTGGGGAAGGACCCCATCTGCCAGTCTGGCTACTTTGACAGTGGTCGCAGGTTCTGGGATAGGCCGGAAGTTGCCCAGAGACCCAGCTGGACTGGAACTTATCCCAGCCCCACTCGTCGCTCTGACCCCTGCACCCATCTCCTGCCTTCCAGGGAGGCCCTCCCTGGCCTGTCCGCCTCGGCCACAGCTGGGAATCCAGCGCTGTACTCCAGAGCCCGACTTGGCCCCTCTAGTCTCCCTGCGGCCCACGAACTGGAGTCTCTCGTGCACCCCCATCCCCAAGACTGGTCCCCACCGCCTTCAGACCTAGAGGACAAGGCCGAAGTGCACAGCTTTATGGGTGGCAGCGTTTCAGATGGCCGGGGGCCGTCCAACAGAAAGGTGAGAGGGGCAGGTGTGGGCTGCAAGCCCTGGGTAGATCCGTCCCACGCCTCGGCGCATTCCCAGATCGACCACCAGGGGGCTCCAGAGCACAACGTCAACGTCTGACCCGCCACGCCTCCCTCCCTGCAGAAGAGCTCAGCTCGGCTGTCACTGGCTGCCTGCAGCTGACTCACACTGGCCAGATCACCCAAATTCCCGCTCACCCCAGGGCTGAGGAGACCCTTAGGTCCCAGCCTTTCCCAGTGGGGGGTGAAGAGGCTGGCGCCTTGGCTGTGGCTAAATAGGGCTGGGACGGGAGGGCTCCGTGGAGGCAGGTCGCATCTGCCCAGCTGACCAGTCATCCCTCACCTTGCCCTCTCCCTCTGCGGAGTGAGGAGGAGCCCACACTGCACAGAGCATCTACTGTCAGGCTCGGCTCGTGTACAACACCCCACCTCAGTTTCCCCTATAGAGGCAACCACAGCCCCTTGCCTCAGTGTCCCTTTTTTCTCCTGTGCAGATATCCTGGGGTCATCCGGGGGTACCAAGCTGGGCAGGGTCCTGGGCAAGCTGCGAGCTGCCCCAGGCTGGCCCCAAGCCCACTCTGACCCGAGCCCTTCTGCCCCCTGCCGGCACCGGGCAGACGCTGCTACTGCAGGCCCTCGTGTATGACGCCATCAAGGTCAGCGCGCTGTGGAGATGCGGGGGGGTGCAGTGAGCTGTCTGGACCCTTGGGGCGGGTGACTTTCCTGGGGAGAGAGGTCCAGCCAGGAGACCCGGTGTCTGCAAGGTTGAGTGGGGGGCAGGGAAGCCCATTTGGAGGAACAGGTGTTTCACTAAGATTGGGGGCAGGTTCTCCTCCACTCAGGCCTAGAGAGGGAGGCCGGCCTAATGCATTGCGCCTGTCGTCCTCCCGGAGCCCCTGACAGAGACTGGAGCCCTTACCCAGGCCTGAGCATCCTGTCTACCCGCGCAGTTACTGCGTTCTTGTTCCCACCTTGCATGCAAGACACTCTGATGGAGGGTCATGCTCTCCACCTGCTGCTGGCTTTTTCCTTCTTCCCAGTGACCATCCTCTGTTTCTTGTTCTCTACTCTAACCAGGGAAACGGGAGGAAGAAACCACCCCCAGCATGCAGGAACCAGGTGGAGGCCGAGGTCATTGTTCACTCGGACTTCAGCGCTTGCAGAGAGAGGCCTGACCTCCATTTCCAAGACCCGGAGCCTGATGACCTGCAGCCTGTAGAGGCTCCTGGTTTCGCCTCTGGCATTGCAGATCTTGGGCAGGGGTCAGACTGGCTGAACCAGGAGCTTGGGGAGTGTGAGCAGGCAGCTGCCAGGGCAGACCGACTCACCTGCCTACCCGAGTCAGCCAGTGCCCTCCGTGCCTACCTGGACCTCCAGCCCTGCAAGACTCTACAGGAGGCACCTGGGGACAATTGCCAGCCCACAGCCCTCTGCCCTCCAGGGGCCAGCCCAGACCTGCCTGGAGCCCCCATCTCTTCCTCTGCTTAGGTCTCCTGAGAGGAAGGTACAGTTTGAGGGAGGCCAGTGCAGCACACGGGACACGGCACACAAACCCACGCATGCACACACACGTACCCACAGATAGCGTTATTCACTTGGGAACTGCCTAGGATGCTTTAGCTGGAGGCAGAAGAATCGGATTATTGGCTCCTCCCTTGTCTTTGCAGCACATAGGTGACATGTGAGGGACACGTGAACCATTGCTACCTGTGATACACACGTGTGTGAAGCGTACAGCTTGGTGAGCTGGGAAGCCTTTGGCATCCCCAGCAGTGGTCACTGTGGCCTGTCAACCCTCGGGGTGGCCTGACCCTGTCCTGTGGGCTCTGCCACACCATCACCCAGCCTTTTATTCTGCACTCTGAGAGTGTCTCCAGCACCTGTTTGACAGAGAGGGCCCCAGCCCGCTTCCTGTGCACGCAGGCTCCACAGGCCTCACATTTTAGCTACATTGCCCACATGCCCAGCCAGACCTAGACGGAGAGGGTCTCCCTGGCCACCTTCGGGTGTGGCCTGCGTCTGATTGTGTGCTTTGGGAAGTGCCTGGCTTTGGAAATCTGCTTTCTCTTGCTCTTCTTTCCTTTCCCCTCAATGTCTCCAGGCCACCTTGCTGTGCCAGTTCTGGTGCCAGCTCTGCTCCCTGGCATCTCTCTCTCCCACTTTCTGGTTTCTCTCTCTGTTCTGTCTCTCCTGCCTCTCCTAACTACAACATCTAATTCTCCTGCCTGGGTTCAACGCCCCTGCATCTTTCCCTAACAACATGACTACCTCATGTCTACTTCCAGGCCATAGTGCACACCTGTGCCCCCTCCCCTGGGGCACCCCTGCCACCCCCTGTAGCTTGGGCACACCGAGCCCCCTCCCCAGGGTAGGTTCATAGGAGGCCTTCCAGCTTCTCCTGCCCTTCCTTTCTCCTGGGGTCAGGATGGGAAGGTCCTCCTTGGAGGGGTGAATCAAATCCGGGTCACACACGGGGGCGGGGCGGTTTTGAGACAGGACGTTTCCATGCCCTCTAGGAAGGGAGGCAGGCTTGCTGCCCGGAGGAGGTTCTGACTTTTCAGTTTTCAGGAGTTCATGCCCGGCGCCTTGAACCTGATTAAGGTGCTGCAGGAAAAGGGTCACTGGCTCCTTTGGTTTTGTTCTTTTCTTTAAGTTGAATCCTGCAATTCTTTTCTACTGATGTGCCATGCAGGGACAGCTTGACTCTGTCTGCCCTGCTGTGAGAATGATGTCACTCACTGCGTTTCTCACCCCGGCCTTCTCAGGAGCGCAGACTGCAGGCCTCCTCTCCCTAACTCCTGGGTACATCAAGAGTTAACTGGCTACTGGGCCAAATTAGAAATAATCAAGCCTATCTTTCTTTCCTTTCTTCCTTTCTTTTTTTTAAACGGTGAAACGTCAGTTGCAGACCCTGAAAGCATCTGTGTTTATTACGACCGGGTGTCACTCAGAGTTGACATCCTCACCTACATTTCCTCCTCCGCCCCTCCTCCAGCCAGCCTGTGATAACACTAAAGATTATTAATGTCGCTTTTGTATCTCGTTAAAGACAGAATTGTCACTTGCATTGTTTCTGTGGCATTCAGCTTGACTGTGGCCAGCACCACAATACGTTTCATCATTGCTCCGAAGGTCAAAAGCCTCATTTTATTTTGCTGGTTTGATTTTTTTTTTTTAAAGAAAATAAGACTGCCCTGAATTAAATGGCTGTTTTAACAGTAGGCTCTTAGCGTTACACCACATCGGTCATTTTTCATGTTCTTGTTTAACAGGCACTGAGGTTCTGGTTTAAATTAAATAGCTGCAAATGAGACAATTTATAACCCATTAGGTTGGGTGGAAAATTGTTTCTCAAAAGCAAATAAGTCATAAATCTGGTATCTGCCTATAACTCACAGTTGATAAGAAAGTGGCCATTACTTAGGAGCATTATATATGATTTGGGCTCTGGGTAATTTGGAAGTGTTAGGTTTGTGTCTTTGTAGCAGTATTTTTATTAGAAAAGAGTCGATTGGCCTTTTACAGGGTATTAATCCCTTTATCACTTACCATGATGCCTTAAGTTTTTTGAGTCTCATTTAAATAGTTTTCTTTTCTTGATGCATGACAAGCGTAACTGGTCCCTGCTCATTTATTTGTCTGTATTTAGTTTATGCTGCATTATTTAATTATTTTTCCAGCATCTCTTCCCCTCACGGATATTATATTCTTTAGTGTTAAGAAAAGGCGTTGATCATGTATCTATCCCGATGATGAATTAATAAAGTATTTTCCAGAATTACGTGATTTTTTTTCCTTTTTATCGGTACTGGGGGTCGAATTACGTGATTCTTGATGGAACCCCAACGAGTAGGATTTCTTCAGTTTTTTTTCTGCCTTAGGAAGTTTACTTCCACCAGGATGGGAAAGAGGATGGTTTTTTGAAGGTTGAAGATGAGAAGAAAAACACCCAAGCCATCTTTCTCCCTCAGCAGGCACTTGGGTTCAACTTGCCCATCCCTGCAAAACACAACTGGAAACCAGGGAGCATGTGTTCTTTGACTCTTAGGGGAGCCCTTGGTCTGGGCATACACTTTGCACACATACTCCCACCCCATTCTTGAGTACAAGAGCAGCAGTTTCTACAGCTATGCTATATAAATCTGGTCATCAGACTGACTTGTGGCTGCGCATTCCTACACCAGCACAGTGTCTGCAAGGCCAGATTGTCCTGTGCACACTCGCCTGCATAAGCACCTCGCTGTCCACCAGCTCTTGTGTTCACACCGCCTCCCATGCAGGACTCCACACTGGCCCCATGAATCACAGGCTTATAGTTGGCAGCTGCTCTGGGCTGAGGATCTTTGCAGAGACTGAAGCAAGTGGTGCTCTTTATTGGAAGGAACCCAGAGGCAGAGGCTGCTCTGCCCAGGACCACCCCCAAAGTGAAGGGTGGGCCAGCCCCGGAGTTAATTGACAGATCATACAGAGAGATACTGCCCATTTTGCATGCAGCAGAATAGCCATTATTTGCATCCACTCTCAGACTGAGGGTTGTGATGAAGGAGAATTAAACACTTGTCAAGATGAATTTAAAATGACAGCAATTCAGGACACCAATTTGACCTCTCCAGAGTCCAGGATGAGCCAAGAAGAGGTGGTGGAGGAGTCAAGCCCTGCAGGAGGGAGTTCCAGGGCCTTCGGGGCCAGGAAGCCCCTCCTTCCCTACCTTGCCCAGGGTCAGTAGCCCCCGCACTCCCCACAGCCCTTCCTCACATTTCAGCTCCAGCACTCTGGGGCCCCTGACCTTGAATTTCTCCACTGCTGCCTGCTGCTGCACAGTGAAGGTTCCTGGGCTGAGCAAGGCCTCCTGCTGGGTCAGTGGGCTTGGCCATCCACAGGCAGTCTGAGTTCTGGAGGCCTGCGCTTCGGCCTCTGCACCAAAGTTAGTTTTATGTACAGTCCCAGGGTTCCAGAGTTAGAATCAAGAGAGATCTAGTCACACCTTGGCATCCCGCCGAGACCCAAGGCCCAAGGCCCAGAGAGCTGCCACTTTTACATCCCCAGCTCTGGGAGTTGAGTAGGAGCTGCTCAGTGACCTTGGTGGACTGAGTTCATCACCCTCCAGTCAACTGCAGACCCTTTACTACAGCAGCAAGCCGCCAGGAGTCAAACCCTAGCGGGAGGGCAAAGTGTGTTTTCTGTGACTTGCTCACCTCCTCTAACATTCTTCCCCCGCGACCTCATTCTCACACATTTCTTTGTCATAAGATACTGAGTGTTCTTTGCTGCCCAGAGACGTTACTGGCAATTTTCACTTCAAGGTGCTTGCCCAGCTACCAGGTTGTTTAGAGGTTTCCAGGGCTGCGCGGGAGAGATAGGCTTATCGTCGCCTTTCAGCCCCGCACAGGGAGGCCGTGGTTGGCCCTGCTGCACCGCAAGGCTGAAGCAGTAGGGGCCGGGAGAGAACTCAAGGGTGTACTTTAGCGATCTCATTGTCCAGGCGGGTCTGCTATGCCCGGGTAGTCCACCCACGTGCCACAACTCCCAAGTGCAGAGAGGCCGGTCTTCCAGCTAAACGACCTATCCTTGGACTGCCAGGACCAGGAACTTATGGAATACAGAACCTATGATAACTTTGAGCAGCTTTGGGGGGGAATTAGCTCTCGAAAACAGACTCGAGACAGTGGAGGAGGACGAGGCAAAAATAGTGGAGCCCTGCAAATAGTGGGGCTTTGCATGTCTGTCCGCCGCCCCGGACCCGCTCGCTCCACAGTCCACTGGGTCTGCGTTCCCAGCTCCCTTAGATCCTCGACCAGCGGGCCGTGAGGGGACCCCCGGCTGCAGCCCCAGAGGGCGCCGGCCGCCCCAGCTCCAGTTCAAAGCGCAGGGGGCGCGTCCGCCGCGCAGCCGGGAATGTCCGGCCGCTTAAAGCGCTCGCCGGCTCTTTTGTTCCCCAGACCCGGCCTCCGGGGAGAGGGGGCTGGAGGAGGGGACGCGCGGGGAGGGGGGCGAGGGGAGGAAGGGGGCGGCGGGCGGAGCGGAGGGCGGGGCGCGCGGGCGGGGCGAGTGTGGAGCGCGCTCCCCGGGCGAGGCTGACAGATCGCCGGCCGGGTGGGTGGGTGCAAGATGGCGCGAGCCGCGCTCCCCTTGCGCCCCCCGCGCTCCTAGGCGGCATGCGGCCTCAGCCCCCCGCCGCCCGGGCTCGGCCCCGGCCCGAGCCCCGGCCCCGGTCTCGGCCCCGGCGTCGGCCCCGCGGGACGCTGTGAGCCGAGAGAGGCCCGGGAGCCCCGCGCCCCGAGAGCGCCCATGGCTGCGCCGCGCCCCGCGCCCCTGCTGCTGCCGCCGCCGCCGCTGCTGCTGCTGCTGCCCGCGCTGCTGCTGTCCGCGCCGGGCCAGGGTGAGCGAGGGCCGGGCGTGGGGAGCGAGGACCGAGCCCCGGGGAGGCACCTCGGGAACTCGGGGCACGCTCTGGGTCCCGGACGTGCGTGCGTGCGCGCGAGGGGCGCGGCGAGGCCAGCGTGGGAGGTCACCGCACGGCCGAGTCCCACCCGAGGGCTGCAAGCTGGGGCACGCGGAGACCCCCGGTAGCCCGAGGCCGGAGAGGAGAGTGTGAGCCGGGTCTGAGCCGGAACCCAGAGGTCTACGCGGGGCGCGTCCCGGATTTAGAGCGCTCGAGGAGACTGAGTGGAGAGGAAGCAGAGGACCAGGAGGTTCCTGGCCGGGGGCCGGGCGCCCACCATCCTCGCCTCGGCCCGTCTCACGGAAGAGGGGCGCCCCTCGAGTCCCCTCGGCTCATACCCCGAGTTCTCAGCGGACTTGTTTTGGTTGCTCTGTCTCCTCTCCCTTCCCAAGAAGCCGAACACCGCGTCCACCTCAAAGAGAAACTTTACCCGCGTTGCCTTCACGGGGTTGGAAGGAGGGTGTGAGGCGGCCGAACTCGAGGCAGGGGTCGGATGGTGGGGCTTTGAAGGAGTGGGGTCCTCGGGTGCTTCAAAACGTTCCAGTCCCTGGGGTGATGGCTGGCAAGGCGCGCCCCACCCCTCCGGCAGGCAGGGGCCAATTCAGATTGCTGGTCCCCTGGAAGTGTGAGGCGGGGTCTGTGACTGCCCTTTCAGACTGGGGGTGGTGGTCATTTCTCCTAGAGGCAAGTCTTAGCTGGGCTGCTAAGTTGTGTGCTGTGGGCCACTTGGCACCCTGCCTGGGATCTGAGCGCTGGTTTCTCCAGCAGCCTTGGCTTCTCTTGATCCCTGGACTGGGCTGGTCCCGCCTTTCTGCTTTCCTCTCCTGCTCTTTCAGCTCATTTTTCTTTTGCAAGAGCAGCCAGGTCTGCTGCCAGCAGAGTGTTAGGACCCCCCTACCCCGTGCTGTTGGGTGGGGCTTAGGAAGTATTAGGCTTGGTTAGTTAGTCTTTTTTTTTTTTTTTTTTTTTGGTACTGGAGATCAAACTCACAACCTTGGGCTTACCAGGCAGGTGTTGTCCCACTGAGCTAAACCCCTGGCCTGGCTTGGTTACTGTTCATCTCCTCCTAAAACAAAAAGCCACAGACCAAGACCCAGAGCATGGGAGGACAGGAAAGATGACAACAGGCCACAGCCTGGCCTGGGCCCCGGGCCCTGCCACATATTGGACCAGGCTGGTTAAGTTAGCACAAACAGGCGTGACGTTTTGCCATTTCATCCTTTGTCTTAGAACTTTTACCTTTCCATGGTGCCTTGGAGTTTGTTAATCAGGTCATACAGCCCTTGACATCAAGTGCACCATTGTTCCTTGATTTAAACAGATGAGAGGGAGCGAGACACACTGAATGCCACGCCCTGGAAGTGCTTCTCCAGGGTGACCACGCAGGGGGCAGCCCCTGTGCTGGTATTGTTCTTGCTGTTGAGTCCAGACTTTTGACTACTAACTGTGAGACCCTGGATGAGTTTTAGGTTTCCACTTAGATTCTCTGGGTATCCAATTCCTTGTCTGTGAAAGATGAAATGGTAGAAAGAATATTCATCTGCATGAGCTGGTCTGGTGGTCACACACCCACTGCTCGAGATGACACGTGGTAGTGCATGGTTCCTACAAACAGGACAGAAACGAGGGAGCCCGAGGTCCCAGTGTGTGAAGTCTCCCTGGGTGTACATTTCATGCTGACCTCTCCTTCTCCTCCTCCCTGATGCAGGTCTTGGTTACTCTGCAGAACTGGCATTTGCTCTGGAACCTAGTGATGACATTGCTGTCCCGGGGCAGCCCTTATTACTAGGCTGCAAAGTGGAGGGGACCCCTCCTGTGCGAGTCACCTGGAGGAAGAACGGGGTGGAGCTGCCAGAGAGCACCCACGCCACCGTGCTGGCCAACGGGTCCTTGCTGATTCCTCACTTCTGGACGGAGCGGCCAGGCAGCCTTTCCGAGGACGAGGGCGACTATGAGTGTGTGGCCCAGAACCGCTTTGGGCTGGTGGTCAGCCGCAAGGCGCGCATCCAGGCTGCAAGTAAGTGGTCGGCCCTTCTTGTCCCTTCTTCCCTTTGTAGAAGAAATAGTGCTGATCAGTTGGTCTGGGGCATGAGGGTGGGACAGGTTCAAGCAACCTTCCATGACCAGTGTTCTAGGGCGGGCCAGCTGAGAGGAGTCCAGCAGTGAGCTCTGGTGGTGGAATTAGATCCTGGGCTCCTTTACTGATTAGAATGTGAATTGCCAAGAATGTTGCCCAGCACTGGCAGTGTGGGTGGGGCTGCGCCCATCTTGGGGGACCTTGGCCTAGCTTCCTCTGCCCGTCAGCTTCCAGCATCCCAGCATTGCAGTCCTATCTGTGCGGTTCTTGCATTGAAAGGTAAACCACTGAGTTTGCGGGTGATTACAGATTTTTTTTTTTTGGTGGTGGTACTGGGGATGGGACTCAAGGGATCCAAAGATGATTTGGGCTACATGCAATTTTTAATTACATTGACTTTTAGAGCTTATGGGCAAGACTTCACTATACCAGTAATGGAGTTCTGAAGCTTGTCAATAAGTTTGCTTTTAGGGGTTGGGGATTTTGCTCTGCGGTACAGCACCTGCCTGGCAAGTGTGAGGTTCTGAGTTAATTCCTGATACCAACCCCCTCAAAAAAATTTTAAAAAAAAGAAAGAAAAAAACCCCAAAAAATCAAGCTCACTTTAAAAATATATAGTATGGGCTGGGGATTTAGCTCAACGGCATAAGTGTCTGCCTGGCAAGCAGGAGGAGGTTGTGAATTCCATCTCTGGTACCAAAAACTAACTAACTAACTAAATAAAAATAAAAATATATAAGAGCTGGATGTGGTGACACACACCTATAATCCCAGCACTCTGGAAGGTGGAGTCAGGAAGAATACAAGTTCAAAGCTAGGGGGGCAATTTAATGACTAAGTGAGTGAAACCTTGTTTCAAAGTGAAAAAACGGTACACAAACCTGGGCATGGTGGCACATGCCTGTGAGCCCAGCACGTGGGAGGCTGAGGCAGGAGGATCACTGTGAGTTCAAGCCCAGCCTGAAGTACATAAGGAGATCCTTTCTCTAAAAACAAACAAACAAATAAATAGATAGTGTGTGTGTGTGTGTGTGTGTGTGTGTGTGTGTGTGGGAGCTAGAGGGTCTTTTTTGCTCAATGCAAAGACCCTGAGTTCAATCCCCGCAAAAATAAATAAATAATCCAAATGGTTTAAAATAAAAAATATACAGTAGAGACCCAAGGTGTCATTCAGTGGAGAGCATTTTTCTGGTATAGACAAGGCCCTGGGTTCAGTCCCCAGCACTGCAAAAAATAAAAAAGATACGATAGAATTTTAGAGTTATATCAATCATGTGTGTCTCTGTTCACGATGATGTGGTTTTTGGGCTGGGAGAGAAATGGCCAGACAACATGCCTCAGCTCTAAAATAGTGCTTTGCTGGCCCTCATGAACCACCAGTGGTGATGAAAGCTGTAGGTGTGCTTTAACCCTCTGTCCTGAAAGTTCTGTTATCCTATTGTCACTGAATCTGTGCCCACCAGGAGTGTGCTACATACACTCAGATTCCTTAATGCTTATTAAGTGCTTGCTGCGTGCTGGGCACCCTAAGTGCTTGATGGGAATCATCCCACTGAGTCATCATCACAAGGACCAGAGAAGATGGGCCCTTATCCTCCCCCATTTTGCAGATGAGAAAACTGAGCCTCTGAGGGTTCAGGGCTGCATTCTGACAAGAGGCAAAAAAGCAGGACCACAGCGTAGGCAGCCTGAGCCCCTTGGCCCTTTCACCAACTCCTATGGCACGCTGCCTTTTTCCCAGCCCAGCGCTGACAAGTTTCTTCCTGGCTCTGAGGGCATTCGCACGGTTGCTCTGAACGGCTGGTGAGTGATGAATTGTTCCAGGCAGGAGCCCTCTCGCGGGGAGTAAGATGCCCCTTTGTTCTAAGGAAGGCCGATCCAAGCCCCCATCTGGAGCTCGCTGGGAGGCAGCCCTGGACTTGGAGACCAAATCACTTCTGGCTCAGCCGCCCCTGTCCCCGACTCTGCCAGCAGTGCAGGGGGTAGGCTGGTGCGCCTCTGAGCAGATGGCTGGGTGTGCAGAAGCGACTCAGGGACCCAGGGCGGGGACTGGGGTGCGGGAGATGGGATGTTTATGTATATATTTGTGTGTTTATCTATTCATTTACTTCTGTGATGCCCGGAATTGAACCTAGGGCCACGCATGCGCACCCGCACGCGGCAAGTGCTCTCCCAGTATGCTCCTCTGAGTAGTGGTACCTCTGCTGCCCTGAGCCTCTAACAGTGCAAGGAATCGAGCTGGGAGGAGGGCTGGCCTGGCTAATCCTTAGGTGTCCCAGAGACAGTGGAAGGGTTCCCCTCCTGGCACCGCCTTCCTGACCTGGCCTCCTGTCTCCCCCAGCTAGGCTGAGGCCCCAAGGGGAAGAGCATGGGTGCCAAGCAGCCAAAGTGGCTGGATCCCTTTTCTCGCTTCACAGGCTGATGTCCCTAGAAAGCGTCAAAGCTGATTAGCCCTGCCTGGGTCTCTGCCTTGGGCAATCACTCCCTGCCCATTTGCCCGCTGGCACTGCAGATGTTGTGTGACATGGGCAGTTGGCTTTCTGAGAAGGCGTGAGGAGTCTCTGGAGACCTGGACCACTTCTCCCGTCTGCTCCGCAGGGGCTGATGGCCAGGGAGTAGTGCACTCAGCACCAACTGACATATGCGGTCCTCTCCTTCCAGGGGATCAGCCCGAGGAGCCTCCTGGGCACCCAGGTAGATATGTGTGGGTGCAGTCTTTCCTGCCCAGGGGGCTCAGAGCAGTGTGAGCTGCACCGCAGGCCGTTCCCTTAGCCCTTCTCATCTGAGACGCAGGCACATCATCCAACCTCGTAGGACATCTGTGAGGATCAGCACATCCCACACTCAGCCCCACACACAGGAGCTACCTGGGAACCAGAGCCAGGGGCTGCTTCCTCATTGGAAGGCCATGCTGGCTGGGTGTGGTGGTGCACCCCTGTCATCCTCACTGCTTGGGAGGCTGAGACTGGATTGCAAATTCCAGGCCAGTTTAGGCACTTTAGTAAGACCTTGTCTGAAATTTAAAAAAAAAAAAAAAAAATGTTTTTAAAGCATCGGGGATGTCGTAGTTTGGTGGCACAGCATCTCTAGGTTCTACCCTTGGAACCAGAAATTTTAAAATGCACTTTCTTGGACAAAGCCTTTACGTGTCATCTTGGCTGCCTGTGGAGTTTAATCTCCAACAAAGCAAACTGCCTGATTCTGCTCCCAGCCCCCTTTCTCTCTCACCGCTGGGATTCATTTAGGGAGGACTCTAGGGAAATCTCTCAGGCAGCAGAATCGCTGGAGCCAATGGCACCTTGTGTTTTAACCTCTGCTGGGGGGCCTTGAGCCTTGGGGAGGAGCGGAAGCTGGGAGACCGAGGAGATTGGACTGTCCCTCTGGAAGGGTGGCTGAGCAGGGATGCGTGCATTGATGCCCACTTGCTGATGTCTGTGTGCCTGGAAGGCTCCAAGGAGGAATGGCCCAGCCTCAGAGAGTGGGGTCAATGAGTCCCCTTCTGCCTCAGTTCCTGCACCTCCCTTCCAGGTCTCAGGCCCCTGGGGCAGCTGGGATAGAGATCTGGGACCCAGGATCAGCTTTCAGGGACTGAACTGAGCCTGCGTCACCTAGAAGTTTTGATTTCAGAACATGGGTCTGGCCTGGATTTTTGTTTCTCTCTCTCTCTCTCTCTCTCTCTCTCTCTCTCTCTCTCTCTTTTTCTTTTGAGACAGGGTCTCACTCTGCATTTGAGGCTGCCCTTAAACTCACTGTGGCCCAGACTAGTGATCCTCCTGCCTCAGCCTCCCAAGTTCTGGGATTACAGGCCTGTGCCACCACACCTGGCTTGCTTTTTGTTTCTCTCAGGAGCCCAGTCACAATGTGCCCATGCTCTGGGTGGCTGAGTGTTCTTGAGCCTCTGTACCCTCATCCCAGGGTTCAGGGGAGGATCCAGTGAGGTACTGGATGGAAAGAACCCAGCCTGGGCTTGGCATGCTGAGGTGGGAGGAGAAGCTTTGTAAGTCATATCTTTAGTGGTCAGGACCACCCACTAATTTAGGAGGAGGTCCTGCTTAGCTCCATCCTGGCTGGATTCCCAGCAAGCCGACTGGGCAGGCTTAACAGTGGATGAGAGCCTGGGCGGAGGCAGTCACAGCCCTGGGCTTGGTGGATTTGGGCCTTAGCCCCACCCACTAGTCTCAGCCTCAGTTTCCATTTATTTATTGTATGTATTTATTGAGAATGGAATCCTGGGATCATTGAGCTAGTTTTCTTTCTTTCTTTCTTTCTTTCTTTCTTTCTTTATGTATTTTTGACAAAAAGAAGTTTGCACTATGCAGTTTGAGTTTCACTATGCAGATCAGACTGGCCTTGAACTTGTATAGATCCTCCTGCCTCAGCCTCCCAAGTGCTGGGATTACAGCTATGTGCCACCATGCCTGGCTGCCCCACCTTTATTTTTGAGAAAAAGTCTTGCTAAATTGCTAGACTGGCCTTGAACGAGCTGCCTGAATAGCTAGAATTGTCTTTGGCTCCTTCTGCCTTAGCTGCCTGAATACCTAGAGTTGTACACACGTGCTATGAGCTGTGTTTCTTCATCTTTATTTAGTTTTTTTGTTTTTTGAGGCTGGGTCTCATTTCAGAGCTCAGGCTGGCCTGAAACTCACAGCAATCCTCCTGCCTCACCACTCGAGGGCTGGGATGGCACAGTAACTATTATTACTCTGAGAAGGGATAACTATTATTACTCCCAGGAAGGGTCCTGCTGTCCAGACTGGGAACAGGCAGTGAAGAGTAGAGAGTGGGAAAGGCTGGCAGTGCTGGCTCTGCTCAGATTCCCAGTTTCTCCAGGTTCCCGGCCCCTGCTCTGGGTTCGGACCATTGCCAGCACGTCCGAGGGAAGCCGGAACCAGCTGCTCTTCCATGCTCACCGGGAGAAATCTGGGCCCGAGTCTGGGCGT